TATATATATATATATATATGGATGGAAACTGTCTCAATCAGCTCGTTGAGCAGGCAACCATCAACGATGACGACGGCGCACCTCCGGGTCGCAAAGTGGGAGGACTGTCCTACTGCCTCTGACTCTTACTTCGACTCCACAGACAAACCGGTTCAAGATTCTCTTCAGCGGTCGCGCTCGCCGTAAGCGCCAGATCCGAGCCCAGAATGCCAGCAGTCACTCCAAGCTGACCCTGTGGACCCTTCCGATCGAACTTCAACACGAGATCATGAATCACCTCGGCAAGCCATCACGCATCATCCTGGGCCTGACCAGCAAACACTTTGCAGGGTTGAGCCTGCTTTCAAGACTGATCTTACCGATCGGCCTTCCCTGGCCCAATGGCACACTGCGGCACCATACAGCCAACGCTTCACCTAACCCATCTCGGATCGACGCATCCTGAGGTTACTTCTCAGGACCTACTTCTCGCGCAACCGCCGCCTCTGCTGGATCTGCCTCAAGTACACGCCGATCCACGGCCACGCGTGGCACTTTACTGCCCCGCATCAACACCCTCGATGGCAGCCACCTCGACCTCCCGTTCCTCAACGAGAGGCTGGTGAGAAGAGTCTGGGGAGCGCGCAGCGCATAAATCTCAATGGGTTGACCAGCGGTCGTGACCTGGGCAGCTGGCCACTCAGGACCGCTGGGGCCGCGGGCGGGCGGGATACCTACTTCTCGTGCCGCCTCGTTGCTGAGCTGGAGCTGTACAAGCAATAGAAGGGTGCCTGCGTCCTCGTTGGACACGACAGGCCGTGCTGGCACATCGAGTAGATGTGAGAACGATAGATTGATGGTGAAGATTCCTGAGCGAGGACCAGCCATCTGCAATCCCCTGGTTGCATGAACTGAGGGTGACGGTGGTGACGGAGGAGGCTGGTGATGGGGGGTTTCTCGATCCCATATGGCTGATGGAGCAGGGTGGACTTAGCTGCCTAGTGCTTAGGTTGAAGCCTGGAAAGCGCCTAGAGGGCGAGTGGGTGGAGCTTTACTGAGCCTGGACAGAGCCTCAATCAGGTGGCAGTTTGTGCCTCCCGCGCCTATCTGGCGGGGAATCACCAGCGTACTACCCTCAGAGTTGGGCAGGTGGATGCTCCTTGTCCTCCTCGTCCTCCTAGACCTCATCGAGATCTACCTGGAATTGATCTCATCGTGTTTCAGCAGCCAGCCGCACAGGGTGGGCATCACACGAGAGCTCTCAGTGGACCATGTGTCGTCAATTTGAAGGTCAAAACGACTTAGCTGTTGGCGAACAGTTCTTAGGCGTTCACCCAATTCTTTGGGGTTGCAGCTCCGAGACGATGACGCCGCCTGTGATGGCGGTCTCGACTGCATTCAGCATTGCCCTCGGGGATGCAGCCGGCGAAGGGACGAGAAGCGTCGATAGAGATCTTCATTGATATGGCGATTCCCGTGAACACGTCTATTCGTGAAACTTTCTTTCCTCGTCTTCTGCTTCTTCTTCCCTACCTGCCTCCATCCAGCACTTGCTGTCGCCGTCGCCAGCGAAGCGGTCCGGAATGGAGGCAGCTGGACTCGATGCCCGCATCGAGGCACGTCCAGTAGAACGCGCTCATGAACGGGCGCCATTCCGGCAGGACGTTCGCGGACGGCCAATGTTTGGCTGATGGTTCGCTTCCGCGCCGACTTCGTTGCTTTCCTGTGTTGGCGTGAGAGGAGAGAGGGAGGAATAGAGGGAGGGACGATAAGCTCGGAAAAACGAGAAAGGGATCTTGGTAACAGGAGAAGGGGGGAGAAGGGACAGGACACCATCACCAATGGCTACTCCCTTTATACATCCAGGGAGAAGATCACACAAATAGAGAGTCAAGCATGAAAAACCAGTAGGGGGAGAGATCGATCAATGCATGAATGGACATGTCCTCCATCCATCATCCATCCCAGTGCTCAATGACTGTGCATACATAATATAACGTACCTTGCAACCCTGCACCTCGTTCAACTTCCCCACAGCATCCTGATCCTCATCCTTGCCTTCCTCGCCCCCCCGGGTGGCCAGGGCACTCGACACCTTCTCCAGCTTGGGCCACGAGTACCCACAATGCACGGTCCAGCCGGGCGGGTGCGGCGCGCACGCGGTCGAGGACGCCTTGGAGTCGGGTAGCAGGGGAAGGGTTAGAAGATGGATCTGCTGTTGAGGGCAGGGAGAGGGGGAGATGAGTGGTGAGAGGCCCATGATGGGATGTTGGCGTTGGTGTCGGCATGGGTTGAGCTGGTGCTGGTGGCTTTGCCTTCTGATGGGGAGACAGACCCCATGGCTTGCGGGGGCTTTGTGCTCGTGAATTGGGTTCCGCTGCAGTGCTCTTGTGTCGGGGGATATAGGAAGAACAGGATGACCGAGTGACGAGTTTCAAGAAGAGCAACGCCCCTAGGAGAGATCCTACCAGCTTGTCCCACGATCGACGTGGATTCACAACAGATGGTGTCGCACCCTTGCTTCTCCATGCCAGGAGTCCCGCGAGAGGCAGATCGTTCGCTACAGACCATTCGACCGTGTTGATCAGGAACTCTCGGAAGGCCTCGTAATCCGTGGTCTGCAGCGGGGGGGTATTGCGGGCAGGCTCGTCGTTGTTGCGAGATGAATACTGCGACCAAAAACCAAGCCAAGCTCTCTAATCTTGTTGCTTCCTTCTCTCCACCTCGCGAACTTTTGCACGGTTTTGCCGTTCAGCCAAGAGGGGAAAGACCCGGTCGTAGATGAGACTCAGATCGTCAGCACGGAGCTTCTTACTCCCTGGTCCGAAATTCCGGATTGAGATCCTTTTAGCGAGTGTTGTAAGCCTCTCCTTAACGCCGTCGATGTGTTTATCTCTCAGCTCCTCGGCACTCCCGTGCCTATGCCGGCAATCTCCTTGAAGGCCGTCACTGTCACCCGGGCTCCCCGGCCGACAACACCCCATGGGGCGAGTGGCCCCCATGGGGCGAAAGGCGGCCCCCACGAGGCACACACAGAAAGAGATAAATAGGACCTCTATTCTCGCACTGCTGGAGAAGCCCTCAACAGTGCGAGAAGATAAATAGGACCTCTATTCTCGCACTGCTGGAGAAGCCCTCAACAGTGCGAGAAGTCGATGTCTCAAGGACAGCTTTATACAATCAAGATATGTGTTCAACCCTCTGACTCTTCGTCTAACGATCCCACCCAAGGCTCTCTGACATCTAGATCCCCCAGGTCTATCTCCCCATACTCGGCTGGTTGACTGGCTGGCTGCTGGGGAATGAATATCTGCTGGGTTGAGTTATGTGATTACGTGTATGCCTCGGTTAAACTAAGTGCGGAAATATCATGAGTCAACTGCTCCAACTGCGCCCTTTCCCCTTTAGCCAGCACTGCAACGCGCAAAGAAGTCTTTGTCTGCAGCAGACAACTTGACCTCGATCGCCTCATCGCTCCTCGTATAGCGAGCGTGAAAGAGCCATCTCTCCTGAACGGGGCATACGAGGACGCCCAAGCCGGAGAGCCCACTACCCCTCCTCCGATTGTCCATCCGTGACTGCCGGCCGTTCCATGTTTCTACGCCTTCTTACTCTTCCATCAGATCCTCAAGTCCGGAACGAGTTGTGTATCACCTCGGCCTCCGCTATCTTCCCACGATGGCGTGTTGTCAGCCGTAAAAGGCCAGGATTGCAAGAGATATCACAAACTGGCGGAACAGCACGAGAAGGAAGAAGAACGACGAAGGCGAAGGCAAAATCGATCTTCCTTCCGATCGAGCAGCGAGCGCGAGGGGATGAGGCGATCTGGCTCCTACTCAGCAGGAGGAGGAGAGAAGCAAGAGCAGGAAGTGGAGGAGGATCTTAGGACATGAGAATGTTCATTTCACACCTGCACCTGCGTTGCTTGCTCGTTCGCCCGCTCGCTCTCACGCAAGCGAGGAGCCAGACGGAGAAGCAGACGCAATTGACGCAGATGACGCCTTTCTTGCCGAGCGGAGCGGACTCACTGACTCGCTCGCGTTCCAAAATTCAATGAGGATGAGGGAGGGGGCAAGACCAGGTTCAGGCTCAAGCTCAGGCTCACCCAGTCAGCAGCAGCAGCGGCACGGGCGTCGGTGAGAGAGGTGTGTGCTGTATGCTCCCCGGACGTCACACCTCATTCATTCATTCATTTCACATCCGGCAGGACATGTGCGTGTGTATGTGGAATGGAATGCGGCCACTCCATATCAGGCCTCACCACATCAGTATTAGCACCAGCAGTCTGCATATTTTCCCTTGGTTTTTCCTTGACTTGAATTCATGCAACAACATTAACGGCCACACTACAAGTGTCATACTACCTACAGACATGCATAGATGGGCAGCATAGCGCATCATCACCAACCATTATCGACCATCACTAACTATCACGACAGCGGGAATTGATTACTGGGGAAGGAAAGGAAGGGGATGGGATGGATGGATGAATGAGCTGGATGGGAGATTCATGGGAATGGCATGGAAATGGCATGGCAGTTCAGAAATCCCACTGGATGGCGAGATGCATGAAATTGATGGAATGGATGGAGGGATTACGGGAAAGACAATTGCACTCAGGGCACTTAAGGCACTCAGGGTACCCAAAGCATCTGGAGTACTCGGCACTCTGAGGTCGCTCAGGGCACCTAAGGCCTTTAGCCATCGCTATTAACTATCGGTATCAACAGGGCGCTCGGGGGCCTCGGGGCACTCAGAGCACTCAGGTCCATTAACCATCGCCACGCTCAAGAGGTCGCCTTAGGGAGGTCTATACCCCGCCCTACAGCATATTTTAGTTCAGCCCACATCCTGCATCCTGCCCAAACACCCGCTCAACCACCCAAGGCATTCATTTATTGATTCATCCCATTCTCTTCTCCGCTCTCCTCTCCTCATCTCTTCCTCTCTCTGTGTGTGTCTCTTTCTCATCTGTTCTCTTCTCTGCTCTTCCTTCCCGCTGACTGTGCACCAGAACAGAACAGAACGGATGTCGCGCTATGTCCCCCTCCCCGTTGCCGGTCACCCATGCGTCCCCTCTGCCTCTCATCACTGTCATCACCGCCACCACCATCATCCCTGCCTGCTGCCTCCCATCAAGTAAGCAAGCAGGACGAGACGAGACGAGACGAGAGCGCTGCGGCCGATACCGTGCTGCCGGCGGGCGATTGATCAGATGAGATCGGATCATATCAGATCCAATGCGCGCCGCGCCGACAGACTGCGGACGGACGGACGAACGCGATGCCTACCTGCCACCGAGCGAGCGAGCAGAAAGAGACAGACAGACAGACAACTTGCGGATGGATAGATGGATGGATGGATGGATGCTCTTCCTCCTTCCCTCCCACCCACCGCGAAGACCGAGACGAGACTGCACTACGGCCGCGGTTGCCTCACTCCCCTCCCCTTCCCCCGCCCGTCCACCATCCACGCAATCCCCACGCACGAAGTATGTGAGTGACCACCATCGGCGTCCCGGCGGCGTCCCGTCAAACTCGGATGCTGCTGCGATGCAATGGATGCTTGGTTTGATTGATCCCCGTCCGAAGGAGGCAGGACAGAGGATGAATGATCAATTCTGCTGTGGGCAGACGAACAAACAAACAAACATACTCTTGCTTCGGGGAAGGAGCTGATGATTACCAGCATGAGCACATCCATCCATCCATCACACACTTGCTTGCTTTCTTGCCATGTGGACACACACACACACACACACACACACATACACGCCTGAGGACGACCCGACCAGCGTGTGTGCACCAAACAAACAAACAAACAAAAAATTGGTGGTGACGCGGATGCAGATGCAGATACAGAAGAAAGAAAGACTCTTGTCTTGATCTTTAGTCTTTGGTCTCGTCAGACTAGATAAGACCAGATCCAGATCCATCCATCTCCCATGCTGTGCTCTGCTCTGCTCGGCTGCGGCTGCGGAGGGGGGTAAGTATGTAAGTATCCGCTCTGCTATGTTGGGCTGTGTTGGGTTCGGGTTGTTGGATGGATGGAAGATGGATCGGGATCCCAAGCAGAAGCACGCGAGCAAGCAAGAGAGCAGCGGCGGGCACAGCCCAGGCCAGCCTACTACGGGAAGGAAAGAAGCATTCACTCGCTCAATTACTCATTCCGTCCGTCCTCCGGCCGCCCTGACCTGACCTGATGCCTGATGTATGATGTCGTGGAAGATCAATACTAGAGAGGAAACCACGAACAAGTCGAAGATCTTCATTCAGCAATAGAGGAGCGCGGCGAGAAGAGGAGGAGAGAAGGGAGCTAGGCGGGGTACTACTCAATCAGGAGGATGTGAGGACGTTCGGACGTTCATTCCGACGGCTTGTTGCACCATTGTCAATCAAAGCCCACTTCATTCACGCCGGCGACATGCCGATCTGAGTCCTGCCAGAGAACACCGCTTGGGTTCTTGGCTCTACACAGGTCCTCACCGGTGTCAGAACTGTCGTCAAGGAACTTGTTGGCAAACGCTCTCGTGCACGTACAACAGCACCGTCACAACCTCGCCCGAGTACCCCGACTACTGCTCTATTAACACTTGATCCTGGAGTCACCCGCCGAGCTATGCCATTGTGGCCAATACTTACTCTTGGAGTCCTACAGCGAGATAGCAGCGAAGGCTCCTCCAGCAACAATCGCCTCTTTCCTGTCGTCTTACAGCCAGTCCACGGCACTCGCATTACCTTAGACAGGCCCCGAACGCACAAAGGCAAAGAATCGTTCTGGGATCAACTTGAGCCTGCTTGACATCAAACATTTGATAGCTATGGTCCAAGTCACGTCAAGGTCCAACGTGACAGAAACCAAGGTCCGTTTGCACTCGTCCAGTTCGAGGACCAACTTGAGCTTGCCTGTCATTAGACATTGGTGGTTATGGCCCGAACTCCTCAGTGACCAGAGGGATTAGCGAGCATCATTCTCTGCTGCCTACATACATACGTCAAATACTCATCATTGAACTGTTGCCAGCTCCCGGTCGCCCCCGACTACATTCCACCACCTCATCCTCTTGATACCCCAAATCACGTCAAGATCCGATATGACAGGAATCAACCTGTGTTTATATCTCCGGTTCGAGGCGAGCTCTATTGGAGAATGCCCGTATCATCAACCTTCCTGTCTGTTGCACAGAAAGATAAAGACGTCGCCCGCTATAGCTATCGCAGGTGGATATCCGATAGCGACAGGAAGATCTAAGTTATTATGTTCGCCGATGGAATCTCTTGTCCGTGTCGCATTCTTCTCGTGTTTTAATGGGAGAGGAAGGACTATATTTACCTATCTGGTCTCTACAGAAGAGCTTCTATGAGTCTCTTCGTTCCTGATGACGATATGACCATCATATTGTGACAATCCTCAAATCGAGACGTTATGACACCCTTTCTCACCTTCTCTACTGTCACCATCGAGAAACCCGGCAGCTGAGACTTTCTGCACCTGAACAGCATGACCCACCATTCAAATCGAGGCACCTTAGCTTCGCGCTGTCCACGCCCTCTGCTTCGTCGAACCAACCAATCTCATGGGGTATCTGATCTGACAGCACAACTTCCTGTGGTGTGACGGTGGCGGCGGTCCTCCTTAACGATCTCCCCCCCTCGCGTCGAACTGCGGAGATCTCGTCGTGTGAAGCAGCAATCCTCCTCAACGACGTCACCCCTTTCGTCGAACTTCGGAGAGCTCGTGGTATAAAGACAGCAATTCCCCTTCACGATATCGACCGCCTCCCGTCGAACTGCAGATCTCGTGGTGTGACCGCCGGTCCTCCTTAACGGTATCGACCGTGACAGCGCTGGAAGCGTGGACAGCGTGGACCGCGGAAGTGCCAACATTGAATGGGAATCCGTCAGCCCATTGCAGCACCAGCAGCTCCGCACCTCGGCAGTCATCACGGTGCGTCGGAACGAGCTGACTGGACGGCTGTCTGTTAACGCTGTTGTTAGGAGCCGAACCGTGACAGCAGCATATGTTGAGCAGCCGTTGAGAAGATGTGCCGCTGACGCACTGTTTGGGCAATTGAACTTGGTTTGACGATTTTGTTGCACTTGGGCGGCCTCCATGATGAGGACTCAACTTAATCACACCGCTCACATATGCGTCGTTGATTGTTACTCTGTCGGCGTCCGCGAGCAGGATGACACGGTGGGCCTGCGATGGCCCCCATCCTCAGCAGAAAAAGAGTGCGTGAGAGTAGATCACGTTCCATATCTCTCTCGGTAGTTGATGGAAAAGTGCAATACCAGGCTGAAGTGATGTGACGTTGTTGTACTGTGGCATGGTTGTGGCACGGTGCTTGAACGTTTAAAACCGGTATAAGCGCTGCTGATGCATTGTTGGCACTGGGAACCCTTCAAGTAGAACCGATGCAAATGACATGTGCCGGAGGTGTCATATGGTTGCAATGTCGGCATTGGCGCTGCTTTTTCAAAGAACGAGCTCTTCTTACATTGACAATGTATTCATTCCAGACGCAGGGCTAAATGCATAATGGATTAAGGTGCAATAACTGGAAACAGCGGTTTGTCGTCCGTGGCATTGTTCTCAGAATTGAAGCTGCTGGCAGCCAACACAATCTTTTTCGCGATGCCTGCTGTACACTCTGAGTTTCTGACTGGATGTACTATAATGAGGCTCGGGAAGCTTTGCCGCTGCAAATCCCATGCCCTGGAAGCTGCGTGACTCAGAATGCGTGAACGTCTTGTACAGACAGGCAGCTTGTCGACGAGGTCACATCTCCTCAAGCATTCGGGGGTCTGAAGGACGCCAAGCGCAGCTCCGTCTCGTGATGGTTTTCCTTGCGTGCTCCGTGCTGCTGTTGCTGCTGCTGCTGCCCTGGGGCACCGTGCACGACGAGCATTTTGACCAGATTCGTCAGAAGGAACTGGCGCGCCCGACAAAGTTGCTTCTGCGCGTATGGCCGTTTCCGTCTCCGGACAAATAATACTGATATGTGTTCTTCCGCACGAAGAGGTAGGGCTCAAGGCTCAAGCGACAACGACGTTCGGTTCATGCACCAAAGAGTCGCCCCAGGTGTTTGGCGGTCTGTGCTATTCACGAGGCAGACAAGGAGGGGAAGATTGAGCGACTGTGGCTGTGACACGCTCGCGTACAGGATCCCGGGAGGCAGCGAGGAAATCATGCTGGATCTGAGTATGCGACAGAGATTGAAGATGCACAAGGCACTGCGGCATGAAGCTATAAAGGATGGACCGCCGACTTAAGGGATTCCACCAAAGCTATCGCTGAGTTTTGATATCTACATAGCCCTCGCCTTCCGAGGCTCCCATCGCTCCTATCACGCTTCCCTTTATGCTTCCCTTCTTCTTCATCCCTTTCCCCTGCTTCGTCGCCCTCCTCGTTCTCCTCCGCCCCCTCATTCATTTAATCCTCCTCTCCTTCTTCGCGCCCCTCATTCCTTTCGTCGTCCTCTCCTTCTTCGTCACCCGTATCCTCGCTATGGTCCTCGACCGTGAGAGCACCAAACATGACTCTAGACCGTATTCCCTTCGCAACAAATGGGTCGTCGTCGTCATTATCTTCTTCTTGACGCGAGCTTGAAGCCACCGAAACGTAGTCAGCAGCTAATCGATCTCTCGGGCCCTCCGTAGAGGGACGGGGATGCGGGAGTCCGTTGTTAATAAACTCCGTCGCGTCTGTGGGCACCATATTACCGATACGTTGAGCCATCGTAAAGAGGGTGCTAGTTCGAAGGTACTCCCCCGGGCTCGTAAAGGGCTTAATATCCTGGCTGGCGAGAATAGTTTGCCACCACCCCGGAACTTCGCATCTCTGCATGCGGAGTAGGGAAACGACGAAGGCGAAGTAGAGATAGCGCTTTGCTGGGCGGAACTCGGTCTGAAACTGCAGTACCTTCCCATCAATTTCCTCCAGCGTAGAGTCGCCGCGTGGATCTCCAAGGACAAGGACTTTCAACTCGTAAGGTCCCTGACCGGGGACGATAGCGAAGCGACCATCGTTAAAAGCGATTTCCAGTTCGATACCCATAAGTAGGCAGTTCCCTGGGGACATAATATGCCCCGGTGGGCCTCTTTGCTCGCCAAATATGTAGCTGGCCTGGACCTCCCCAATCTTGTAGGGGACAATATGCGCCGCCACGACAACACTGGCGTTTTTGAACCCGCCGCTAATGCAGCACCAGATCAAATCGGGGTTGCTAGGGCAATCGGCTCCGTACGCCTTGATAGCAGTCGTGCGGAACCGGTGCTGTTCGTTGACGTCTCTTAGCTTGAAGAGACTCAGGTTCGCTCGTGATGGAGTCCTCATCCGAGCTAGAAGAGAATCGATATACGCCAAGTCGGATGTACTTTGGCGCTCGAAGCGTATATACGTATCTATCCATATTCCGACGAGAGTGCTAAGTTCATCCCGTAGAACGACCGTATTCTGCTGTAAATCTAGGATTTTTTGGTCAAATCGGGCGGTCTCATTCTTGACTTCAGCCTGCGAGAGGTCGAGAACCCCACGATGGTGGAGGTTGTTGAGTATTTGCATGTGGTGCCTTGCAGACTCGCAGTCGGCATCTAATGCCTCGAGGTAGCTCGTGAGTAACCGTTTCAACTCCGGGCGGATATTTTCTTCGTGCTCATCTCTATCGATCTCTTCGTTTTGATATCGTTTAGCGGACTCTTTGAAAGTCTGCTGGCTAGAGGTCGAAAGTTGTGAAAAATTTATTTTCTTCTCGCTCGCTGACTCGAGTAGAGGTTGGATTTCCGTTTTGAATATCTCCCCGCCGTCCACCTTTTGGACCTGGGCAAGGACTCTAGGACTGAATTGTATCGGGGGAGGTGGATCGACGGATCCCCGTCGTGGAGTCACGAGAGCCTTTCCTTTCCATTTAGGAGTAGGGGGCATTGTCATATTGTAGTGCTAGGAGTTGGCAGAGCTGTCAGGATGTAGTGTTGTGCTGAAGGTCGCAGGAAGGATGTAGTGCTGCTGTCTTGATACGGTGCTGTCTGGATGCAGAGCTGTGAGCAGTAGACAGGACTCTTGGGATACAGTACTGTGAGCAGCAGGCGGAACTGTGAGGAGGGAGACCCAGAATGGTGTGTGGGAAACCGAGAAGTGGATGATGTAGAGACATGAAATGTGATGTTGGGTGTTGAGTCATATTTATGACACACGAAAAAAAGTTTTATGGAAGCTTCTACGTCATACTGCTCCTGATCGTAGGCGGGAGGTCGAGAATTCGGGCTCCGGAGAAGGTCTTGGGGGCTCCGTCGGCTTAAGTTGTGCCCCGAAGCACCCGGCGGAAGCGCCCGTGATTATGTGCCCTGGCCCCTTTGCCACGGCAGCGTTCATCCATCAAGTCAATTCAATCAACTATTTTACACTTTTCGTCTTGCTGGGTTCAGCAGCTTGACGAACGCGTGACCGGTCCTTGGGAAGGTGTAGCATTTGAGGAAAACTATGAGATACCTGTAGAATACCAGAGAGGTGCATTCATGATGGCCAGCTGCCCCCACCGCCTACCTCAAAGACACCACTTAAGCGCTGTTCTGGGTGCCTGTGATGTTTTGTTGCTTGTGGCAATTGTCCCTGCCCAGGACATGTCTCTGGGAAATGTCTAGGCGGCTCCCGTGCCATAATGGGTAGCCAGTAGGTGTCCATTAGGCGTTAGGCACTAGGCACTCACTGAGCACACGTATCGAGCTTCTCCCCCCAATCCGCTACCACGGGTACTGAGCCCCGGGTGCCACCCCCCAGGCAGGTATGTGGCCTACCTGAGTGCCTACAGCTCCCGTCCAGCTTGATGCACCGGTGCACACCATACATAAACCTCCCCCCTCCGACACCCCGAGCCCCCGCCGCCCTTGGAGGGCGCGACCCCGTCCGCCTCCCATGGTTATTTCTGATCTCTGAGCAATTTCCACGCAAATTGGCATGCATTCTTTGTACGGTTGAATTCACCAATCCTTGTGGTGTGCATTCCAGAAGAGGTCCACATTCCGACAGAAGTCAAAAGTGAGCACGGACGGATGTTGAGCTTGGCTGGTTGCATCGACAGGTGCCTCACAGGCTCATCGAAGCATTCGCGTTGCAAGGGATAGCCACTAAAAATCCCCCTCAAGCCTCCCTAATGTCCTTGCATTCCAGGCGTAGATTGGCCCTTGGGTGACCCGGAAGGGATTACCCTTTAGCTCCCACGAGTTCCATTGGTCGAACACTCTTAGGGAAGGGATGGTAACCTAGTTGCCCCCCCGCCTCATTCACTTCCTCGCTGCAATTTTTCCTTTTTTTTTCCCCCGCCAGCACATGATGCTCCTGACACCCTTTCGCTCGCAGGGGATCAGACTCGAGGAGGGAATGTGGCAAGATGCAACGGAATGTGGCAGAGCGTAAAGGACTGGGATGCAAAGAAGCCTCGGTTGAGCTGTTCAAACCCACTGAATGAACTCTCATCTCTGTACTTCGCACTTGACTGACTCTGGATTTGTGCAGACACCGACCTTCTCGATGTGACGTGAACGCATGATATTGATACACGGGCCCCCTTGACGGCTTCCACCCCGTGCTATGATCCATGGAGAATTCAAGCGTCTCGAAAAGTGCAATTAGGGCACTTGAGGGATGGCTGAGTCTCTTTGGCAGCCGAGGGTCACCGACAGCAGTTCCGATGATCGACGTTTGTGCCGCCAGAATCGCATCGCGATAGTCCAACAAGCAATCTGTATAAGAAGCACAGAGTCCGAAGACGTACGCTGAGAGTCTCCAAGTGATCGGCATGGTTTTTGCTGAGCCTGTCTGCAGTGTTGGCGAGATGGTCAGCCAATTCAAGCGCTTCCACGGTTAGCTCCAGAAATTCAGTGTCTCCAGATAGGGCGCTCAGTTTCTTGCCCGGCTCGATGTTAAACACAGGTCCAACTCTCAACACGACAATGCACGCCTTTAGAAACATGAAGCTATACCGGAAGAAAAGGACAAGCTGAGAACCGCCGTTATGAATGGGGATAATGTACGAGACGCAACGGCCGACGCCTTCTCACTTGTACCGCTGACGGAGGACCCCACGACTGTACGGAAGCATATCGCAAAGACCCGACGACCTATGGCATGTGCGACATCCCCATGCATGTGTGGGCCTTCCCATTCGACTCATGGTCCATACTACAACTGAGCCTGCAAAAGTGTCGTTACAGGCACTGCCCTTCCTCGAAACGTGGATATGCTCGATTAAAGGAGCAAGAATGGATGGGCAATCCCACCCCACTCCTGATGACACAGAATGCTCTAGTCAAGGGAGCGGTCGACATGTAGAGGTCGCCAGCGTCGCTGTTTACGTCGGCATAGTTCAAGAACTGCCCGAGCCACAATACAAGCAGGGAAGAGCACGAATAAGTACGATCGGCGTTCCAACCAGGTGGACGATGACGTGAAGGCGTCTCTTCGGCGACGAAGCTGTTCTTTACTTGTCTGGGCCATCTCCGAGACCATGATGATATTGGGCGAGAGGAATGGGCTCGTATCTGGGTCGTGTCTTCCGTATCACTTCGTCTGGGGACGTGGCCACTGCTCCGCCTTTGCCCGTATCGAATGGGTACCACGAAACTCGGAGAACGTGCTCACAGCCTCGTGTGTTTGTGCTTCTTCGGACGCAGACCAGGTTGTATGCAAGCTCGGCCAGCTGCAATGTCTCGGCCATTCATCGGATATGTAACTCAGAATACGCATATCACCATCCCGCTGGATTGACAGGCTTGGATGCAAGAGGGACAGGGGGCCGTGGTGAAGTAAAGTCAAAATCCTTTCGATTCAACGGCACTACATCGTGCTATTGCGTGACTGTCTCACAAGAACAACTCACAGCTTCGGGACATCACCACTGCGCTAGCCATCGGGCGACGAACAAGACCTCAGTGCCCAGCAGCAAGCATATCAATATCAAACGCAAACAATCCCACGCCCAAACTCCACGACGAGACCCCACCACTGCTGTTACCACAATTAGAGAAGGAGAAACGCGAATGCCGTCGATATCGTCTCGGGCTATTATCTTGTCGGAGGCTGGTTGGTATGTCTCAGGCGGCATTGCCGTTAGAGCGAGCCATACAAGATTTGGCATAGCTTCAGACCTTCCAGAAACCCGAAGCGAAAACGAATGGTGCCGTGTTGAGGTCGCTTGCGGGATACCTCCATTCTAACACAATCGGTTATTCCATAGATTCCTTTTCCCTTCTCCCACCTCCTTAACTGACTCGACTCGATTGCCTGAACGACCTGGCGAGGTAAGAGTATCGATACAGCGAACGTAGCTGCCCCTGTGAATATGATATATTCCGTGTCAACTATTTATTAGATCGTTTAGTATTGATATTCTCACTCGAGCTTTGCAACTTACTGGTGTCAGAAGGTGATGTTCCCGTTGTGTCTAGCGCTTTGTCCCCATCAGAGCCGCCATTTTCGTTTTGACTGAACAGGAGGGTTCTGCCCAATTCCGCCAAACCTGGCGACTTGGGGAACAAGAGTCTCGCTAAATGATCGGCGGAGTCGACATCCACCGATATGATACCATCCTCGTGGTTTGTTCGAGGGAACTGCGCACGCACCGTCTGCGTCACTAGTGTCTGACCTTTTTCTTCTTCACGAAAACGAGGTGCCGACCTCTGATTCATGTCGCCCACGCAGGTGCCAAAGACCGTCTCGATCGATCCCGGCTTCGCCGCGTCGTATGCCCATTGGTTTTCGCCGTCTGCGGCAGTAGTCGGTCTCGTACGGAAAGACACTTTTTTTTTTCTTCATTAACACTACCTCGGCGGAAGGGAACATGCAGCGCACCATCTGGAAAGAGAATTGACACCACTTTTCCGAAGTGGGGGTGGTCATAGATTCGATGCTCTTCAGCAATTTTTTCGAAGGCGAGCTTGAGAAGAGGGTGAAGCCGACAATTCGATCTTTCCGGCGGCTTATCAGGCAGTTGAGGGAGATTGCTGGGGCGTTGACAAGACCTGACGCTGAAGATTAGGATGAATGGAAGAAAACCCTCAGGATCAACCTCAAGGACTCTTAGATACACCAGGCTAGCTCTCGCCCGCTCTCTTATATCCCTGTGATCTTTCCGTCGTACCCCTAGTGAAGCTGATCGTCGGATTATATCGTAGTCCTCGCAAATGATGCGGAGTGCCAGTTCCAGCTGGTTCGTAAAACATGCCCGGATTCTCAACCAACTGTGTACGATTCTCCGAAGGTCTTCATAACGCTTGATGAGTCCTGGAGGCATGGCTGGCAAGAAACGGAACGGGACGAAGAAGGAGGATGGGGAAAGGGAAAAGAATGTGAGACTGAGAGAAAGGTCTAGCTGTGGCCGCCGGGAGAAACACGTGGAAGTCACGTGGGCTTGGCAGCGCTGACACATCACCATCGTCATTGGCAAATCCCACCAACCTCGAACCAAATACATAATGGAGTGCTGTCATCCACACCTCCATCCTCTGCCGTTTCTGCCATGTCTACGGAGTAAAGGTTTCGGTGTCCCCCACTCCCGGTACGTCTGCAAACTTTGATACGGCCTCAAGCTTTCTGAGGGACCGGGCCTGCAGGTAACGGGCCCGAGCGCGGAGGTTTGGAGGTGTTCCCGTCGACATCCAGCAGCTCCACAAGGAAGCCAAATCGAGATCAGAACCGGGCACATCAGTTACCAAGATGAGCAGGCGATACGGCGCTCCATATGGCTGCGAGATTCGGCCACGAGGAAGGCGCGAGATTACTGCTCAAAGGTACAGACGAGCAGAGGGCCAATGTTGAGCTACCTGAAAAGGCTTACAGATGGACGCCATTGTTCATTGCTTGTGTCGACCGTCATCTTCCGGGCGTGGAACTGCTCATCAACCATGAAGCTGGTGCCCAGCGTCTGGATCTGTCGGTCTGGAACGCAAAGGAGCACGCAGTTTTGAGAGGACATATCCACATAGCACAGAAGCTTGACAGCGTTATGCCTCAACCCGACACGCCGATCCAGATGTCTCCGTGGCCTCAACATCTCCCCCATTATTCTCATTGCTGACAGAGCAAAAATTCCAATGATCTGGGGTCGAATGGTCAACCCGTTAAGACATCCGAGGCAGGCAAGACGTTTGGCCATCGATATTCGAACACAAGAGCAATCAATAGCATGAGGCTCATGGCCCACCACCCTCGCAAATGGGGCATGGGGAAAGACATTCAACATTAACCCGGGGGAGGCGAATCTCGTTGGAAAGAGTGTTTCCGTGTGGGGTTCACTTTCCACCATGAGCTTCATTTGGTGTTACTTCCGGCTCCCGAAGACGAAGCACAGGCCCGTCGAAGAAATCGATTATATGCCTGAACATTGGGTCACGCCGAGGGACTTTAAGAGGTACAAGGTTGACGAAGATGGCCCGAAGAACGATTTGGCGGAGTGGAGCTCAGACTCGGCCCACTATGAACGTGTGTCCAGATCCATTCCTCCACTCGCGTCGACATTGAGATCCGCCGTCAAGATATCTGTTCTACCACCGTTGACACCAGCATGGCCTCTTCTGGCACATCTCGGCCCCCGACATATCTCACACGAATGACACTCAGGGCACGAAGCCGGACCTGGCAGCCACCTCCAAGGCCAGTATTGGCGCCCTGTTCCTCGGGACGCCTCACAGAGGAAGCGATCCCCTGTTTGGGCTCATGTTAAGACACGGTTTTGGCCCCTCCAGGTTTTGGACTATCCTGTGGCCGTAATGGCTGCCATTTCCATTGGTTCGTCTTTGCTTGCCAGCATCGAGGCCGTATTCATGAGAGATCCCATCAGTAGGATGGAGGTCTCCTCGTTCTTTGAAGAGCACCCGAGACAGATGGACTGAATGACCATCCCACCTCAAATTGTACAATGCCTGCGATACTCACTCTTTTCTCCGCCCTTCCTTGTCTCGCTCGTGCCCTTGGAAACTGCACAATGTGCATTGTTTTCCTTTTCTCTTCTTCTTAGCCTTGAAAGCCTGCCTTCATTTACGAACAGAAAATGAACCGCTCAACAGCTCGTTGATCAGAAGGCCGCGACGATCGGCTACAAGGGCGAACGAAAACTTACTCGCTGGGCTTCTTACTACGATGTGACATGGGTGATCAGTGCCTCGGGCCCGCGGTACAAAGCGACTGGCCAGTGCTATCTTTCAGATACTGGATAACTACCAGAAATTTCTGAACTAATCGAACTATCTGACATTGGGGCTCAGCCGAGCGTCGCTTCGGCCATGGCGCAAGATACAATCAGCCTCATCGGGCCATTTGTGCTTTTGGAACAGATGGTAGGTGGTGTAGCTGTGGCCACAACATCAGCATCATGTTCTCCAGGTGATGCGACCTCCGACAACTGATTCATTGGACATGCGGTGGCATGAGGAACAGTTCCATCCCTACATGCATCCCCTCAGCATCTCGGTAAGCAGAAAGTAATTACTAGCGTTGCTCATCACACCCTCGGCCTCGTCGAATGGTTTTGGTCGTACGAGTCTGTGGCCCTGCGGCGGAGGACCCGAAGTGAGGCATTTCTGGGACTCGAAGGGGGAAATTGCGCCGTGAAACGTCCCCCAGTCGCCCATGGCTCGACGACTTGACCATAAGGGTACGTTCCTTTCTGCTCCGGCGCTGCCGACGTCCCAAGTGCCCAAGCGCAGGTGAGCATGAATCAAATTTCGATGGCGAAACTGGCATGAACCGCGCTTGGGATCGCTTCCGTCAGGGTTTTGGAAGAGTTTCTGCAAATAACTAGCCAACCTAGTAACAAGGAGGATAAATTTGAGGAGAGGAAAGAAGAAGAAGGGAGAGTCGTTTTCTCGCTCCTTATATCATACGCCCTGAGTAAGGGGGTTTCCGATCTTGTCTCTCCCCATTGCTCCCTTGTCTCTGCTCCTTGCGCATATCGTTCCTCTCTTGTGTCGTGCTCCCTTGCGTACGTAGGTTCTCAACCGAACCTTCTCCTGGGTTCAACCCATCACAGCTTCGACTCGATCGAACGGCCGCCTTAGACGACGGGCGTTCTCTGGGGGGCGGGCAGCAATAACTCGACAGGCGACCGTGTCGAGATCTGCGCGCTTGGACACGGGCTCATCGATGCAGAGCTCGTGGTGGTTACGGTCGACGCACCTTGGGCAGGGGTGTTGTTGATCAGGAGGCTGCTGGGATTCTTTGGCTTGCCAAAAAGGCCGAATGACTCCATTCCTGGCGTAGAGGCAGGTAAAAGAGTGTGCAAGATGATAGGTGCGTGTGGGAAACTATCGGTTACCTCTACGATGACGATCCTGAGCCAAACCAACCGCACCCTCCTTATTCGAACCCGCATCAGAGTGCAAACCTGAAAATCATAAGTTAAAACCAATGGCCACCAAATAGACGGTCATGAGGCACTCAGGAGGACGAGCCAGGAAGTTTTATGGAGGGAACCAATACGACTGGAAAAATCTCCCCTCTCGGTGCCCCAGATCGTGGGCAAACAGGACTGCTCCATAAATCAGAACAGGGACGTTTGTGACCGTTCACTATCTCCTTCCCGCGGACGTCCACCCTCAAACCCTTCCAACAACAGCAATCAACCCTTTCGAGCAGCCAGCCTCAACCAAGTCCAACCATTCAACACAGCACCAGCACCAACACAATATTGGATGTCAACTCCTTGGTGATTTTCCACGACGTCTGCCAGAAGGGCACCAGAGGCATTCCATCAATGGACTTGATCTGTAGAAGATTTCACTTGATGACGCCTTCCATTCACCTTGCGTCGGCAGCGCTCAGGGCAGTATGCAGTGGTAGAGAGCTGCGAACTCTACCGAGACGGCGTTACACAAGCCTCTCGGTACACGTCCGACCGGTTGAGGACTGATCTCTTCTCCCAGGTTGAGCGACCACTCCGAGTTGGTTCGAGCAGTTTTGACGCCCATTGGGCCTGTAGCCTGTCATGTTTGGTGACTCTCAACCTCTTTCCGCCCGTGGAAACAGTCTTCGGCATGTAGACGCGTGATTCCGACGCGCCTGTCACGAGCTGATTTGAGCGTATCCTCGTAGAATTGCTTGACACTGTCTTGAATACCGGAATCGACCTGAGTAGGGGTGAGGGCGCCGTGGGTGCTGCAGGTGGCCATCGTGGAGTTGCCGCCAAAGAAGTCTGCGCGGTCATCAGCGACTGTGGACTTGTGCCGAAGAAGTGCTTGACTCAATGTCCTCGCCCGAAACAAGGACGTTGCCTCCGTTCAGACAGACGGTATGGCCGGCGGTGCAACCGGACACTGTAGTTTCGGAGTCACCTTGTCAACCGACTTCACTTCAGCGATCATGCTGGCGGCGTCATCGTCCATGTACTGTTGTTCCTTCATCCGCGCCGTCCGCGGTCCTCGGTGCCCGCAACATGCTATTGACAAGCTCGAACTTGCTGCTCGATCAAGAGTGACCTCGTAGACTTCCTCGATTCCGCCAGAGGACGAGCGGTCCCGGCTCCCTTCTCTTCTGCAGCTGACGTTGCGTTTTCCTTGTTATGTTCCGGCTCTTCCATTCTGACCTTGACGGCGGGGAGGCAGGCATCGTGCTCAGTCGTTTCTTGTCGGCGCGCCAGTACCGAGACTTCTTGAGGAGGTGAGGGGCCTCATTCGTGTGGTAGAAGAAGTCGACGCTGTGGTCGGGGTAGTGCTTGAAGGTGCAGCTCCCTTCCTCGCAGCGACGGGACTGCTGATGCGAGCTGACTCGATGTCCCTGCAGTTTGCATTGATGTCCGTCGAGTAGGGGTGGGAGCAGCCGTCCTGGAGGTCGAGGAGGGCGCCAAAGATATCCTCTTGTGCCTCGCAGATATGCCATTCCTGCTCTTCTCGTCTCCAGACGGCTTCTCGTCCACCGACGTGTCTGATACTCTCTTCTTGTGTCTCGCAATTGAGGAAGTCGAGGCGGTGGTGGGGTTCTTTCGGACGGTGGTGCTCATAGAAGTCGGTCTAGCGGGCAGCTTGCTTGCAGTTCGTCGATGGTAGCTTCGAGCAGCCCCGAATGCCCTGCTCAAGTCAACTCACAGCACACAGAGGCGAGATAGGTACTTGCCAGAAGGCGCTGCTCTGTGACGAATCACCCCAGCACTGAAGACGCCGACGAGCACGAGGAAAAGGATAAGAAAGCCCGCGTGTGGAAAGGTGCCTTTCCTTGTCATAGCGACTGGCAGATCTGGCGCCGTCGAGGTTGAGAAAAGTTCGTCTGACGCTTCTGCAAGCGGTCTTGAGGTAGGATGAGCTTCTGTCACGACCTCACAGAGATTGCAGCATCGCCTCCCACTCACGCCGACACCACTGGCGGATAACATAGGGGCTGGACTAGTGACTCGAGGTTGCATTCAGCATCCCAGCACTGCCCCATCCCAGCACTGCCCGGGCGGTTGTGTTGCCCTGGCGAGCCTGCGCCCGTTGCCGAGGAACTGGGCTCGGTGCCTCGGCTATTCATCGCTGACCTCGGATGACATGAGGCGCGAGCAAAGAATAAAAGTTACTTTATTCTAGCGATGCAGCGCAAGAGACAATTTTTGAAGACACCAGAAGAACCCTCCAACGGTCCCGGCTGCGCCTCTGCCTCTCCATCCTTCAAGGTTACCGACTTCATGCACGTCTCAGGGGTGAAGAAGATTACTACAGGTACGTAGCAGCCTGATAGCCCGGACTTCCTCCATCCAGCAATCAACTGCGACTGGATGGCCTGTTACTGCGCCAATCGAGCTTCGCCCACTTTCTCTTCGGCCAGCGCACATTTCTCCAAGGCATTTGCCAGTGGATCTTCGCCAGTACCCGAAGTGTTGGATTGTTTGAGCATTTGGGAGCGTGCCAGCGAGGCTCGAGCAATGGCATGGTGGAATGTCTTGGGCTGAGGCCTCGCCGATGAAGGGGCAGTGAAGGAGGTTGCTGCTTGGGTTGCATTGTGAGCTTTGGGGAGGAGCGTCACCGTCTCCGAAATGCTGCGGCCGAGATTGCCAAAGAATTCGCGGATACTGGGTGGGTAGTCGTGGGCTTCATTCTGGTCTTGCTTGCTTGCTTGCTAGACACTTGTCGCACAAATCCCAGTGTTGGGTTTGCGGGACTCCTCGAGCTGCCTGACGATATTCTATACTACCTGACTGAGTGAGAGGTCCGGTTACGACTCGACTGCCGTGCGTGGATGAAGCACATCGGGCTTTGTGGGCTCGAGAGCAGGTAGTCAGGGACGTCTTTCGGCGAGCGGGAAACAAATTGCCTGGGATATGGCTGGCCCATGATGGGGACAATGACCGTCGACGCCTTGGGATCCACACCTTTGTCGCCCAGGGCATGCGCAATGTCTCAACGCATTGTTGATGCTGCTCGAATCATGCCAGTGCCTGAGTCCGAGATGGGAATTCGTTTTCATGGCTTCCTTGCCGTGGCTTCACAACTTGGGTGGGTGAAAGAGATTGGGGAAATGTAGACATTCACAATCTCTCTTTCTCTCGTCTCATTCTCGTTCTCCTTTCCATCCTTTGCAGCAAGGTTCAATTTCCGGCCAAGGGGCATGTAGGCAGCTGGTCCTCCTTGCCGAAGGGAGAAGACATTTTGGGGACGGAGCAAAGAGGCAGACAGATCGTCGGAACGGCTGAGATGCGTCCCTTTGCATCACCTCATGACATCCGTCGTTGAAGCAAGCACCACACGAAGGGCGCAACGGTTTCGAACACCAAGTCCCTTCTGCACTCTGGGGAACCAGAGATATGCACCTTGGATGAGCAATTACAGCTCATCAAGCATCTTCAAGCACCCATTACGGCACGGCAACAGGCAAGCATCGACATCGAAAGGAAGACTGGCTTGCGGCTTTTGCAGTATTCATGCGGGACATCAAGCACCTTGTGATGGACTTGCTTCAATGCGTCAACTCATTTCTCGAACTCAAGGTCGTCTGCGGGCAAATCGACAGCGAGAGTGTCAACATCTCAATGCCAGAATAATAAAATATCATGCGCAGAGTCTCTCTCGAGAAACAGAGAGTGGTGATGTCTGCTGCATATGTCTGGTCAATTGGCCGCCGTCCGGTGTATGTACGTGTCTCCGAGAGTATATTCAATTGCCTTTGGGCGTGGAAGAGAGAGGATGGGCGTATATGTGCATAGATGTACGGATGGACGTGGACTGGCAGAGTAGTATGGGGCTGCATGTTGTCGTACTCGGCAGAAAGGATATGGTGCTGGCACAAATGTCCATATGTACCATGATCAATCACACTCAGGATGATCTGGATGTCAAGATGGCGACACAACTCGGACAGCAAGAACGTGTAAGGGGGGGAGAAGGCAGGGGACGATGGACAGATGGAATGAACAGTGAGCGTCATGGCTACCGAGACAAGAGATGGATGAGAGAGTTGTCATGATATGGTGAGTGAACTTCACGAAAAAAAGACCATTGGACCTGCCTGAGCCGATCTTGGGCTCCGAACCCCGTATCGTCCAGGAGGAGTTTGATCCCTTCGGCCTGGATCTGACCGACCTTCCTTTCCGCCAGTCTGAAGAGCAGAGCCATGCATGCATGGGACATGGGACACAGGAGACACGCGAGAGCTAGCATCGCCTGCGATAGGTGGGACACACGAGAAATCTGCCATGAGAGACAGCGGAGGGGAGAGACGCCGGCAGCGCGCAAGAGAAAAGCAAAGATGCATGCAAACGAGCAAGAAAGCAAGTAAGCAAGGGAGATAGATGATGATCATTATGATTCAGACTGACTGGGTTGCTTTTTTCTCTGCAAACGGCCACTTCTCCCTCTCCCTCTGAGCTGGCTGGATGGCGGTTTGTGGATGGTTCGCTTGGGAGTGTGCATACCTACCAGAGAGGACAGGAGAGGGAGCAACAGCAACAGTGACAACGACAGCGAGGAAGCCAGTCAGGCAGGTAGGCAGGGAGAGAGCGCATCCACTGGCCAGTGCTTCACCGCGGAATCCTCGGGGTGAGCCGCTTAGTCGCTCGAGATCCGTCAGACACCGGATCTTGGAAGTGCAGCCTTGGTTTGCCCAGGTGCTGTCGATCTTCGATGTCAATACCGGCGCCATTGTCTTTGGCTTGGATCACATGAAGAATGTTACTGTCCAGGTCTCGCTTGCTTGAAATGCCTCCTCACTCCCTCTTCCTTCTGTTGCAGAGTGTCGATCCTGGGCGGAATTTTCTCTCATACGGCGATATAGCCTCCAGTATATGATATATAAGTATGATGGACGTCTGACTCCCACTGATACTCCCTGTCCTTGGCCTCATTTCATCTCTTGATAAAGTGGGAACGGGCAGAGTAACGTGTTCCATGACCACGCCAGCAAGTCAACACATTCCATCAGGCCGGCATGGCCGGGACTTCCCTCGTGGACAGCCTGTGTCTCCGAAGTTCGACGAAAGAAGCTCGATGTTGTTGATGAGGATTGCCGCCTCACACCACGAAATCTCCGCAGTTCGACGGGAAACTGGCACTTCCAGTCAGACTTTTCACAGGAGCTTTTGGCGGCGGGGGCGGTTCGCTCACTTACCCGGCCCGTTCCATTTGGTGTGGAGGAGTGATGCCGCCCTTGCGCAGTGGATATCTCGGTACTGGTGCAGGCATTCCTCCTGGGGTGGACGGACCGCCGTTGCGCTCTCCCGGTGGTATATAAGGTTCAAGGGGTGGAGATGGTGGATTAGGTGCCCGTTATCAAGCTTTGCGTCTGAACGATTTAAATTGCAGTTGCGATTCACGTCAACGATATCGAGCCTCTTTTGTCGAACTGCAGAGAACTCTTGGGGCAGAGCCCATCTCTCGACGCCGTAAGCATCCGATAACTCTTGCGTCTGTGTTTCCTCCTCTTCGTCTTCCAGAGTCTGCGGAGCGCAGGGCTGAATCACGATCAAGATGAACAAAGGGAACTGGCGGTGATGGATCACAATCTGCGGAGCGTGGATTGAGCAGCGATCAACGGTGTGGACGATTGTTGATGATGAATTAACGGTCGATCGATGATTGATGATGGATGAATTTAAAAGTTGACTGTTGAATGGATGAAACCGAGTCTGCGGAGGGCAGAGCTTGGTTGGTGGTGATCATGTCACGGCACCGACACACCGTACAGCGCAAATGATATATATGAATACGGACTCAAGAGGGGTCTACGAGGTAGAGGTTGCAGGCAGGCTGTCCAAAGGTCAGTCACTGTGCCAACCACGTGTTGACGAACTCGTGACAGCTCAGGGCTTGGCTTGGCAGCAATCAGTGAAATTGCGGTTTTTCGACTGCCACTGCGACATCTTCCTTTTCCTCCTTCGCACTACCTCGCACAACCACCAGCCCCTTCATTTTCATTTCACAAGGTTGGCCGATCTTGCACTTTTGCACTCACCAGTATCTGTCCCAGGACATCGTCACTGATACCTTTGCCGCACAGGTTCAACAACTCGCTCTCCTGCGCGCCTCACTCACGCGTCTCTTTTCTCATTCTTCTTTCATCCACTTCAGTTCACCATGCCTTCTCGGAAGTCAGCTCCTGCCACAGAGGTGCCGGTGAAGGTGCCACAGCCTACCTCAGATGTTCCCTCCGACAAATCTGCCACCGCCGAACCGGCTCAAACCACAGGTACTCTTGACGCATTCACAGTGCAAATCATATTCTAATCTTCATTCACAGATGCTGCAACAGCGAGTGGCCCTGTCGAGACCGTATCAGCGGAAGCCAAGGAGCCGGAAAAGCCCGTGACTGAACCTCAAGCTGCGTCAGCCGTTGAGATCAAGAAAGAGATGAATGGCCCAGCAACTGCTCAACCAAAGAGCAACGGGACAGCCTCTGCCGACAAGAAGTCATCTGTCGCAGAGTCCAAGAGCAAGCAGGCCAACAAGAGGAAGTCCACGTCGAAAATCACTCATGTTGATGCCCAACCGGGCGACTACTATCTAGCCAGGGGCAGAGGGTTTCGCCCTTGGCCGTGCATCATCGCAGATGAAAGCATGCTTCCTGAGAAGCTCATCAACACCAGACCCCCCAGCACCAAGCAGATCGATGGAACCTACAATGAAGCCTACGCAGATGGCGGTAAGAAAGTGGATGAGCGAACATTCCCCATCATGTTCCTCAGCACAAATGAATTGTAACGCCCCTCTCCACATCCCTGGTTTTTGCGGTGAAGCTGACGGCAAATAGCATGTGGATTCGCAATACGGACCTTACTGCATTGACGCCCGATGAGTGTAAGGACGTGTCTACAAGGGGCAGAGCTAAACCACTGCTTGCCGCATACAAGATTGCGGCTGAGGGTCACGATTTGCAATTCTTCAAGGACATTCTTGACGAGCATGCTATGGCTTTGCAGTATGAACTCGATATGAGGGAGGCGGAAAAAGCTGAAAAGGCCTCCAATCCTGATAAGAGGAAGCGCAAGAGCGAGGTCAAAGTGAAGACTGAGGATGCAAAGATGGAAGACACCGACGTTGACGTTGAGCCCAAGGAAGCGTCCAAAAAGCGCAAGATGGAAATCGACGAGACGGGAGACGCTGATGTCAATTTCGAGCCCAAGAAAGCGTCGAAAAAGCGCAAGGTGGAAGTCGACGAGAAGGAAGACGCTGATGTCGATGCCGAGCCGAAGACATCGCCGGACAAAGCCATTACGATCCTCGACTCCGAGGCAAACGACTCCGATGAGGACTGGTGAACGCGCGTCTACAGACTTCGACGCCCATCTTCAGAAAGGCAACATCACCACAAACCGTACTTGATGGCAGCGACAGATCCACGTATCTGCAGGGCAGTGTATTTTCTATGACAGAGACAGAGTGTCTCTTCTGAGCGAAGTGTCCCAAATGTGGCACTCTTTTGGCGGAAGCTTTTCTTCTGCTCTGGTATGCTTCTTCTTTCTCTTCTTCTTCTTCTTCTTCTCTTCTGCATTTTGTGCCAGCCATGTTAGTGTGCACCCACCCGGAGCGAAGCAAGCAAACACGCGAGCAAAGGTCGCCCGCCAGGCTACTTCGATCTATACATCTCTCTCTGTCTCATCTCTCTCTCATGTCATCTCTCTCTCAACCAACTATGTGTGTGTGTGAGATTCTGGTCTCTGGTCCTTGGGCCTTGGGCCATGTGCCTCGTCTTGCTTGTTCTTGTTCTTGTGCCTCATACAACAGCGACCGTGACCGGCTTCAAGAACTGGCTGCGAATGGAGAACCATAGCGTGGTCCACCCGGTAGACGAACAAGTCGTTCTCCAGGGCACCCATTCAGCCCGAATTGACGGGTATCATGCTCATGCTTTGGGTCCTTGAGATCCTGATCGCTGCTCAGCCACTCTCCGCAGACTGCGCCCATTTGTTTCATTATCAACACCATCTGCGCTCCGCAGTTGCACTCGGTCCATTCGACTTCAACGATTATCCAACGCCTTTACAGCACCACAGTGGCTCCTTAAGGCTGGTCAGAGGGGGCTTTGGGGGAGCTTAAGGGCCCTTCCCACCCAGAAATGACGTCCGAGACGAATCCCCAACCCTGGCTTCAGCCACCCGCTCAAATCTTGAACTCGTTACCCCCTTCGCACTTTCTTCTGCGCCGCCTGCCCCTCTCGTCACCGCGCGCCATGGCACCCACCCAGAGCGAAAGTACGTCGTCGCAGCGGAGGAATCATTTGGCCCTCCCAGTTTGAACCTCAGTGCTACCATGGCGGTCTGGGTCATTTGCGAAGAAAGTTTCGGGCCCCGACGCACCGTCACTCACGCTCAGAAGGCGCACCACCTGGCGAGTGCACGCAACACCTTCAAGAATGGCACTCGTTACTCGTCACTCTCATACTCTTCATGCACCAACAAAAACCCCGATCCAGATCCTGGCTGGGGACCTGGGCCTGTCCCTGGTCCGGCTTCAGGCTGCGGATTCTGCTCACCTACACGGCGTGAGAGATGCTCAATTCTACGCAAATGGAACTTCTTTTTCATCGGCCCTCTACTTGTTCCTCCTCCAAGTGCCTCAGCAAGGGTTGTGCCCTGCTCCAGGATCATCACCGTTCGCCATCCCACAGATCGAGGCCCCGCCAGGACGACGATCCCCCTACCCATGGCGCAGCCAGCCAGACCTGGCGGAATTCCCTGGTCCCAGTCAACAAGCATCATGCACTGCTCTCTTGCACCAATTGTTAGAACGTACCGTAGCTCTCTCTCCTGCACCACCTGCCGGTCAAGCAAACGAGCAGAGAAGAGATCTGTGGGTGGCTGCAGCAGAAAGAAGGTGGTGCCACACAAGCGACTGAGAGGCTGGATCAGATTTGGTGATGCAATCCCATCCCCAAGAGCAGCGCCGGCAAGGTGCTCCGCCGGGTCCTGGCTGAGCAGTGCTTGTGTTATTGGCCACGGGTCGTGTGCTGGGCCCGACTCTCTGGCAGCGCCGTCTCTGTGCCGCGTCAGCCATCTTGACATGCCCGTCCGGGGTTGCCGAGGATCTGTTCGGTCAAGGATGGCTAACACTGCCTGTCGCGGAAGGGATGGACGCACTGGCGCTGGAGGCAGCGAACATGGCTGGGGAGGCCAGTATGTATAAAGGGAAATCTACGGTACGTGGAGGGCGAGGGTTAGGCCATCAGCCTTCATACGCCTCGCAATATCCGAGGAACGGCAAACAGATCGCCGTTGACGCTGAATGCAACTTCGTTCGGGGGTTTCGGACACCTTGACAATGCCGAAACCCGCCGCCGAAGTTCCACCGCACAAAGGTCCCTGTAGGCCGATCGTTTCTGTTGGGATTGCACTTTGCTGAGCGTTTCCTGCGTTGCCGCTCTCCGTCAAGCAGCTCTGTAGGCACCATAACGCAGAGATGGCGCTTCCCGCCATGCCTCCCTCCATGTTTCAGGCCCAATTCTTGGAGCATGCCATCTGCTTCAAGCGGAACGATGTCGCGGTGAATGAGGAACTCCAGGACCGCGAGGGATGGGTGTAGTACCGCCTGCATATTCATCTTGTGCTTTGCTGACACTTGCATTCCTACAGATTGTGAAGTGCTCGCTCCCTAGCTGGCTCTGCCTTCTACCGACGACTTGTGCGGCCACGCAATCCGACGCCCACTCCCTCTCTCCCTCTCGACAGGGCCGTTTCTATCCTTTTCTTCCCTCGAATCTAAGTCGTCCCCGAACCAATTCCTACGTCCAGGCCCTATAGAACGTCACTCCTGATCTTGCCAGTACTCCTTTGAAGAGCGTAAAGTGGGCACAAAAGTTATTCGCATGAGAACTCTGCTTTGAAAAACCAACTGCTGCTCAGATCATGCAGAGGGTTGGGTTTCATGCAAGAGATATCGCTCGAAACGTCTCCGGGGAGTCCCAGAGGTCTGAGAGCTTCAGGATCCAGCGGACCTCTGGACGGCCGGGGGCAAATTGGTTCTGCTCACCGCAGTCCAACAAGGATGCTATCCAACGAGGTGTCCAAGTTCTCGAGCAAGGAGTTGCGGTACGCAGGCGAGGTCCAACTTGCGATATCTCCCGATGCCTTTGGGGCCTTGCAGCAAAGGCAACCTGCTTCAGCTTTGAAAGACAGAGAGACATTGATTCCATCTGAGCCCCGGTGGTTCTTTTCCGCCGATCCGAAGGAGTCGAACGGGCAGATGTATGTACATGGGATACTGCAGTTGGGTGGCGACAGCTAGTCTAATGGTCAAAGCCACGATTTTATCGAAATTTACGCTGTGTATATATGTACTGTTTCGCTCCGCTCAACAAAAACACACGAGCCACGCATGGATCGGTCGACATGAGAGATCCAAACGATCTTGTAGGAAAGCGGCAGTCCTGGAGACTGATACACAACAGGAAGTGGGAGCGTGGAACAGGTCCGGAGGCTAAAAGGGCTCCTTATTGTGATTCGAGGGCTCCCTATCAACACATGGATGGCATCATCTCGTATGTGTGTTGAGTGCAGGCGGAGTGCAAGTGCAGAGAGGGATGATCCACCATGGTGAAGTCTTCGGGAAAGCTGAAGGAGACAGAGGCACAAGAGATCAAGTCGGAGGTGTTGCCAGTCGCCCCACGAGTCGCAAGGTATCAGGGATGGTCAGCTGAACCATTTTGCAATGCGCATCGCCCTCCTTCCACTCACTTGCTGGGACGATGAGGGAGCACTGTGCACTTGGAAGCTGGGAGACATGTGCCGGGATCGCCAACGGCAACACCTACTGTAAGTGCGAGTATGCTGCTTGTCCCCCCAAACACCGAACTATCGAATCATGTCGACGACGCCTGTTGGGAACAGCACACAGTGCGAGTGCTCCAGGATACCTCTGACGGACACTCTCTCCCGTCCACTCTCCTCACGTTTGCCCAGAGAGGATCTTTCAGAGCGAGTTCAAACTGTGCAAGCAGCTCTGCTACACAACCCATCTAATTCCATCCTGTCCCCGCGCCAGTAACGTCGTTTGTCGGGTTTAACCGCGGCACCCAGATGGGAAAGTACGCGCTCGACTCTCCGTGAGTGTGGCATCGGGCACAACTTCACATACTGAGGACACTTTGACCACTGACTCCCGGAATGTGCGGCAGCAATCGTCGTGCCGAACCATCCAAACCATGAAGCATCATGTGGCCGTGGCTGGACAGCTGCCCGGGGAGGGGTGTTTCTCAACCACTCGTCGGCGTGGAGCTCTGGGCTCTCACCGTGGAAAGATGCAACCTGCCCTCCCAAAGAAGTCTTCCCGTGCCCATATTTCCTGAGATGAAACCAAGACGCTGAGGACAGGCCACAGCTCAATATAGCTTCCCAGGCTGTGCTGACGTGGGAGAATCTCACCTGCGATGTTCCTACCTCTGCTGGGCAGTTGCCGCCACTGAAGGACGTCTTCGGATACGACTCGCCAATTGGCATACCGAAGAGGCCAAGAGGTATTTATGTCAAACTGTCAAGCAGGTCAGCGACGGGTATGATCTCGATTCAGCATCTCCATACCCAGTGGTTCACAAATATGGAAATCGGGGTGTCCAGCGCCCTGCAAAGGCGGAATTGCAGACCAGGGACCAAAAACAAAGAAGAAGTACTCCGTATGGAGGGTGGATTTATCCAGGGTCACGATTCATCGGAGCCAGAAGAACAGTTGTGAAACGCAGGCGACGGGATTGCGCAGTAGCAGTGGAGATAGTGGACGAACGACGAGCTCCAATACGAACTCGTGCTGCAGGGCAATGCCGGTGCATAAGGACCGCATTCAAAAAATACGAGAGCTGCAGCTCACAGCTGTTGCTGCTGTTGTTGTTGTTGTTGTTGTTGTTGTTGTTGTTGTTGTTGTTGTTGTTGTTGTTGTTGTTGTTGGTATGCAGGAAAAGAATGATGTTGACGCCGTTCCCAGTCCGACGGACTCTTAATCCGGGAGGAAATCAGGCATCCACTCTTCCTCCACAGCAACAACACATGCACACCCACATCACCTCGGCCGGGATAGAAGCCAACGCAGATAGCTCTATTGCTGGGGCTGCTCACCAGAAATGCTGGAACCCCTTCCAAGACACCAGACCTCTCGGGCAATTACAATGCACCGTCACACGCAAAGGTTCACCACTACGTCCGACGAGCTCCCAAGGAAACGGAAACGGTCGTGGGGTGATGCTGCGAAAAGACGACCAGCCATGAGGCTGTCCGGAACAAATATTGGCCAACAGCAACCATGATTTGCAGGGATTTCATCGCCCAAGATCGAGGTCGAAGTGCAGAGCAGCCGGCTTGGATGTCAAAGGAACGGGAGCAGAAGCAGCAGCAGGAGCGGTTTTATTAGCTCCGACCTTGACACCGCTGGCGCCAGTTTCATGCTTCACTGTTCGCAACACTCTCCACAGAAGTAGTTGCAGAGATCTCGTGGGAAGCTTGCTTTGTGTTCGTCCTTGGACCCAAGCCAGACCACTTGCCCATAGCGGCATATGCGTTGTTCTTTGCGGTGGTGAACGATGTCTTGAATCATACCCCAAATGCTTGCGTTTCACCCGCTGAGGTCTCCAGTCTGATGACCAAACCGTTCTGATCTTGGATCATGTCACACCACCAGTTTTCTGGGGAAATGAAACTGGAATGGTGTAAGCACGGCTTCTTGTCCGTACGATGATCAAACAGCCTGTGGGCTGTTGCTTGTTTTGAACGGCTGGTAGCAGAAGCAGAACGAGTGGCGGAGGTCTTTGAACGCGAGGGCGAGATGGCCATGCGGGTTCTCGAAGGGAGTGTCTGCGTTTGAACGATGTGGAATGGGGTGGAAAGCGGATCCTCATTCTTTTCTCTTCCAACTGATGACGACGAGGTGGACGGCGCAGCAGACCAAGTATTGATTTATGTGCTGCATGTGTTTCTTTGGGGGCGATTAGGATCTTTGGGATATTTCGAGGGGAAATGCGGAGTTGACCATCGTGTTCTGCACGTACGTACTTTCGAAGTTTCACAGGGGCAACCAAAGAAAAAGCAGATGGGGAAGCAGCACCTTTCCGCAACGAGGCGTGGGGAAAAGGGGATAGAGGACTCCAATCACTCAATCGAGACATAAAAGAACGATATGCGCAAGGAGAGAGACAAAGAGGCGAAGGGGAAAGACAAGGAGGCAAGGGGGCGAGAGTGCACAGGGGTCTGTCCAGTACGTCGGTAGCTGAGAAGGGATTGCTGGTCGAGGCACGGACTATACCACTACAACCAACACCAACGATGGCCCAAATGACCTTGCGTGATCGTGTTGGGTGACCAGAGGCACTTGGGGACGAGGAACAATAAAGAAAGGAAGGTCTCAGTGCGACCGGCACTCGATTCCCTGTGAAGCAAGGATCAATACTTGATCTACTTCTCCTGCTTGTTGTGTTGCTTGTTGTCGATCAAACCCAGTGCCCTCCAAAGTGTGAAGTTACCCTGGTACAGAGTTGTGGCTGTACTAGCCACCACCGCCCCTAAGCCCGTTACAATATGTGTCCCTTTTACCACTCACATTTCGGAGGCTTGGGAGGGTATTCTTCCAGAAAGATGACACTCAACTTGAACAGGCCCCCTTCCCAGATGGTCCTTTCCTGCCCTGGCCCAACTTCCCAGTTCTTGAGGTCAGCCACACCACTCGCATTTCGCATGGGTCGTGCGAAGAAGTCTTTTCCTCTGTATTATCAGGAAACAATTTAAACAAGGGACGGTCGCGGCGCCATTGTTTTCTGGAAGTAGGGGTTAGTGGGTTGGAGCTGAGGACACTTGGGGGCGGCATCCTCCCCTTCCTCTTGAAGACGGTTGAGATATAGCGACAAGGTGATGTGCCGGTGGGTGGTGAAGGGTTGTGGAGAGAGACAGAGGAGAAGCTTTCTTAAAAGAACAAGAAACTCGTTCTGCATCCCGACAATGCCCGTTTTGGCCGCTTTCGCTTTCTCCATCTCTTCCCATCTCGCCTCTTCCTCTTTCTTGACGGCCGAGCACACCTCAATCCCCGGAGTGTTTAGATCGCGTTCCGCGATCCCCATAACCTTGTTCTTTAGTTGCCCATCCTGGTGCAACATTTCGCCGAAGTGGCCAGGGAATCGTACCTGCGTCCATTCGATATCGGGTCGTTTAGGATCCCCAGGTTTTGTGTTGTCTTGATGCGTCGTAGCGTTTTAGAGTAGACGACTTTTGGTAGCGGTGCCTTCTTGTGTGCTGTCGTTGTGGTGTGCGTTAAGATATATATAGTACGAATGTGAAATGATGTAAGTTGGTTGAAGGAGTGGGCGTAGAATTTTCTGAATAAGAGGGCATCTGGTCATGTCAAGGCTCCGAGTGAATTTCGAGCCTTTTCTTGGCGACATTGTTCAATGATAGGTGCACCGCCTTCCGGGTCCTGTTATCAGCAGCTGCTCTAGCCTTCCTCGAGGGCATGTTTTCTGCTGCTGAATCTTCTTGTCTGGACTGCTGGCAGCTGTTCGATGTCTTTGTCAAGTTCCTCAGCCAGTTGTTTCGCGTTCTCCAGCAAGTATTTTCTGTACCATCTGTTTTGTCCCGGGCCGAATCCTTTCCGTTGGGTATCGTATTCTTCTTGACCGTTTTGTATGCGCTTTCGAATGATCCGTTTGATCTTGTGTTCGTCGTTGCCGACATCTGGGTGGTGATCAGGCTAGTTACTGGCGAAGTTGTAGCTGGACTCGGGCGAGAAGAGGCGTCTTGCAAGAGGAGACATCTTTGTCCAGCGAGGGAAGATGCACATGTGGAGGAAGCCCTGTGCTTGCAAGGCAGCCAGGCTGCTGGCGATCCAGCCGGAGAGCAAGGGATTTGAGATAGATGGCAAAGGAGCCTTGACAGAACAGTTTCTGTGATGGCCTGGGGTGCCAGCACCATGCGGACACCTTCTCTCCTCTCAGAGCCCAGCACCAAGCACAGCCCTAGCCCTGATAGTCCTGGACCTGGGTGACAAAGCTGGCCACCGGGAAAACCATTGCATCGATATGAAGATTTTGATAAAGTCTGGCGAGTCCCTGCCATCGGCGCCATAGCCCGTCGAACGCCGTCGAGTCGTGTATGCGACTCCTGCCCGCTTGTTAGCGAGAAATCACTTAATAATGGGGATCATTCAAGTACGTGGAGATGCTTGGTGCTGCTAATAAGTGAAGGCTGGCAATTTTCTTATCCTCGTTGCAGTATTTTGTGTGTGTGTGTGTGTGTGTGTGTGAGTGAGTGAGTGAGAGAGAGAGAGAGATGTGCACCAATTCTCCGCACGTAGTGACAACGTGGGCCCTTTGTCTGGGGTTTTGTTTTCTCTCCTTCTTTTTCTCCAAAATCCCCCTTCCACCTCTGCTTCATGGACTCCTCTCCACCTAACCAGAAGAACATTCAACTCTCAATGTCAGCTCCGTTCCAGATCATTGGCAGACATGGCGGTCCTCTTTGCTTTTAACCCCAAAGATATAGTGCGTCTTCCCCCGTCCAGCGCCATTGAGCTGCGCCTGCGCCCACTGCAACATCCTTGGTCACTGACTCCCACCTTGCAACCAGGTCTTCCGCCATCCTCGCAGCTCTGACCGATGTGCGCCTGCTCAGCCGAGTCAGTGAGACCACTGAGACCTTCGGTCAGGTCGGCCCAAGATGGCGGGAGACCTGGTTCCGAGGTGGGAGTCATCGACCAGGGATGTTGCAGTGGGCGCAGGCGCGGCTCAATGGCGCTGGACGGGGAGGTGGGAGCACGTTTGTGCGTCGTCCACCACCCACCAACGAACGGGACTCCGTCAGTCATCGTCAGCAGCGGCAGCGGCAGCAGCAGCAGAACCAAAACCAGAACCAAAACCAGATGCATATGCATATGCAGACGCACCAGCGGCAGCCAGTTAGCCAGCCAGCAATGAAACAGACATGGCATCACATGATATGACAACACGAACAAGAACAAAGACAGACTCGGGTCGGATGCCGCGCTACGTTACGTACTCACTCACTCCCCTTGCACCCCTTTCTGCGGTCCGCCAGCCACGCGAAGAAGCCCTTGCCTTGTCTTGCTTTGCTCTCCTTGCTCTCTCCTCTCTCCTCTCTCCTCTCCGCTGCGCTCAAGCTCGCAGGGGGCGTGGCGTGTTGTGGCGTGGCGCTCGAGCCGACCCTGTCCTTGTTCTTATTCTTGTTATCATGACATGTCATGTTATGGCCATTCCGATGCTGGCCGGCTTTCTGGCGGTGCTTGTCGTGCTGCTCCTGCCGGTACTTCTGCTGCTGCATGTGTTGATGCTTGTGCCGCTGCTTGTGCCGGTGATGGTGTTGATGATGATGACGGTGTCCCCTTCGTGGGTGGCGGAAGACGACGTACATACATACGTCCTCTCTCCTCTCGTGCTTGCCCATAACAGAACTCCCGGAAACACAAGTTGAGAGAGAAACCTCGTCGACCCTCCCCCTCCCTCTCTTCCGCAGAGCTTTTCCAAGCCCGCCAGCCATCTAGGCATTCCCTACACCTCTTCCTACTCTCTGTATATACTCCTCATCATTTAGCATGTCGCCTTCCCATTCCCAGGCGCTACTTGGCCGAAACAGGTCCGATCCAGGTGTCGAAAGGGTCCCCCGAAGTCACGAAAGCTACTCTCACGCCCGCGCCACACCCCGGTGAGCAATTCCGTGTATAGTTCCGTGCGTTTTAGAAACGATCGCGTCCGCGCAACCTTATATCTTCTTCTATTTTATATGATTTCTGAAAATCGCTTTCTTTTTCTGCAGCTGCCTACTAAGCGAGAAATCTTCGGCAATAGTGGTTAAATTTTAGATAGGGGTTGAGCTCCAACTATATCGAACCGGTCCAAAACAGGACCATATTCCGCCAATTCCCAACCCAAGAGGCGTCTATTTCGGTATTTTCGAATGTCCCGACGTTGACACCACCGTTATATTGCGTATTCCAGTGCTGAATGGTGCTGTAATGTGTCGGTAAACTGGTGGCGCGGAGGAATGCCCAGCAAAAGTCGATTTGCAGATGACCTTCGAGCAGATTTCCGAGTCGTCTCGCACTATCATCACCCGGGACATCCAGGATTACGACCTCAATGCTGTACGTAGTATGCCAGTGCACCAACTCGGTGATAACCCACTGACGGCTACACCAGGGCTGGCCCTCACTGCCCGTCGCTAAGCGATGCCGGTCCATGGTGTTTTGAGAGAAGAGCGAGAACAAAAAGTTGATACACCGCTGTTGAATGTGCTCCCAGACAACCCACACGGCAAGTCCCACGGTGCTCCGACTGATTCAGACCGACACGTCGGTAACTTGAGTTGTGCTCCATGCTCTGCTGCAATGCGCTCGGCAGGTCATAGAGGCACCGACCACGGAGCATATCACGTGATCCGGCTTGCCAGCGAGGCTGTTCTTTGGCCCAAGTTCCCTTTCCCGTAGGCGGCGCTTCGGACATATGAGAGACCAAGCCTCAGCAAGTTCGTACACCTTGCAAGCTGCGAAGGGACCTTTTCTGGGGCATTGGGCTCTGCAATCATAGGTATCAAGGCAGCTATTGCTGAGGAGATTCGGAGCCGGTTTGAGTGCCAGATGCATGCTTGCTTGGTGAGGGATTAGGACCCCTTCCATCGACGATCCCTTTAATCACCTCCGAGACATCTTTTCCATAATGGAGTCTGAAGCGATGTGGACAGCCTTTGTCGCACGCTCTGAGGAATCGGGAGCGAAAGTTGGAGGCGAAATAGCGAGAACATGGGCAGTCAGCAGCGAGGTGCTCTTTTGAAAAATGTGCCATTGGAGCCTGCATGTTCACGAGGGATTATGGACTCCCGCAAGCAGCGCAGTGATTGCCGTGAGCCAACTCTTACATCAATGCAACATTGAAACCTGAATTACTTTGAACATGCATGACCCGGAGAGACGATGATGATATCCCTGGCGCCCAGAATGCCTGATAAAGCCCGAGGCCATGAAAAGCTGTGTGCGTGGAGCGTCAGACGATGTATGCGCAGCCCAGAGCCCATCGACGGGAGAAATACATCACGCGAGGGTATGTGTAGGCAGCGTCGGCGCCATAATGAAGATCACAATTCGCACAGCTGCTTTTGCTGGAGGAGGCCGGCTCAACCAGAGCGGGTGGTAAAATGCTTCCGTGTTGAAGAAGAAGGAACAAATGTCCCGGCGTCAATGAACACGCTTTTCTGGCCACAACATCGTCTCGGGGTTGCTAGGCAAGAATGTGAGGTGTGAAGGTATGTATCACGTGACTACGGATCACCGAACATAAACAAAGGCTTCAGTGTTGTGGGATTTGGATTGCGGCGTAACGCACGATTCTCAACCTAATGTCAGCCAAATCCTGTTGCTATGCAACACAAACACAATGGCCTCCCTCTCTGTTTCATGGGTCACAGATCGAAATGGCTGGTGAAGGAACGTGCACGCCGAATGCGGTGCTCCCGGAACAACATTTCCCAATCCGGTGATGTGGGCTTTGTTCTCGTGGAATTCACATTCACATCCGCATCCGGCACTCCAGGAATTCGAGCTCTTTGTTTTATTGCCTACGTGTTCTGCATTGTCGTGCTCGTAAATACTTACTCTTGTACTTCTGTACGTTTGTCATCTCTTCACTCCTGCCTCCCCTTGTCACCAAACTCCCTGCGTCACTTGAACCCCATTCGTCCTGCAAGTCGACATTACCCTCGTGCCACCTACTCTTCTTGTCAGGAAGAGGTACACAGCCCCTTGGGGATCGCCCAAAAAGACTAAGAATCCTGTCATTTCATGACAGATCTTGGACCTCTCAGCTTATATGCTTGTCATTCATGACAATTAATTGTCAGAGAGCCTTGGGGTGGGATCGTTAGACGAAGAGTCAGAGGGTTGAACACGTATCTTGATTCTTGATTGTATAAAGCTGTCCTTGAGACATCGACTTCTCGCACTGTTGAGGGCCTCCCCCGTAGTGCGAGAATAGAGGTCCTATTTATCTCTTTCTGTGTATACCTTGTGGGGGCCGACTTGGCATTGGGGGCCGTTGGCCCCATGGGGGCCATTTGCCCTTTTCGCCCCATGGGGGCCAAGCGCCTGATGGGGGCCACTCGCCCCATGGGGTGTTGTCGGCCGGGAAGCCCGGGTGACACTTCTCCTGTCCGGCGAGAGTCAAACCACGATGTCTCCTACAGCGATGATACAGGAAGAAGCGATGCCTACGACAGAGAAAGCAAAGGAAGAAGCGATGTCTTCTACAGGGAAAGCAAAAGAAGAAGCGATATTACCACCCGACGCCTTCGAATATGTCAATTCCATCAAACTTCACCAGCCCGAATTTCTCGATCTGCGGAGTAAGCAACGTTGCAATTGGTATCAGCCGAGCTATGTACCTCCTCCCAGCCACCGGGTGATGATATAGGAGGCAGAGATTGAGTGCGAAAGGATCCTGAGCAGGATTCAAGATGCGTACAGTCTTCCATTCTACGGAAAATGTGATCTCAAAGAACTTCTGCAATGGCTACACCGGTTCGACTTCACCCAAGACGACGAAATATTTTTTAGAACATTTCTCGGAAAGATTATGGGAGACTGGCGAGAAAATCGTGTTTCGAGTTCACCTATCCTCCAGACCCAAACTCACGATTTTTTCCTGGAAGGTGGTTCATTAAGAACAATGAGAGCTGCGCACGCATCTGACCCTGACGATAAACATGAGAAGGATGAGAAGTCAATGAAGCTTATTCACGAGTTCGTCCCAGCTCTTCAAATAGAGTGCGACGCTGATACCGAAGAACGTGTTCTCCCTCTGCGATTCGGCCTCCCTGTGGGAAGGCTGCTCTGCTGGAACAAGAAAGGGAGAACATACGGTGACGATGGTTATAGTGCAATTCATCTTGTCTTCCATCCAATTGACAAGAGCTTTTGGATCGTGGTGGATCGCTACTTGGGCCCGGAGAGGTTTGACGATTACCCCGAGGTGGAAGACGACTGGCCTGATTGGGAGTATCAGGACAAGAAACTCCTAACCCGAACCCTCCGCGACCGATTTGAGAAAGGAGATGATATTGTGATGGCCGAGGCATTCCGCCTGGGGACAAAAGATCTTTGGTTCCCCCAAGGCTTCGGTCTAAGCGAGCTCGATGGCGACAAGCCTGGAGACCCAGTTCCTAAATACGATGCAAGAGATGGGCCGCCGACTATCGAATTCTCCAGCCTGCCAAAAGTATCGCTGTTTCGAGACACCGAGCCCCTACAAGTTCGCTTCGCAACGCGCTCCAGCTTCCAGAGCTATCTTACAGAACACGGGGTGGTGAAAGGACGCTCATGGCGTAGTGTGTCTTCAGTGCCCAATTGAGATTCTCCGTAGCTGCTGTATGGTGATAGTATCACGGGAGCGACTGCACGAGCTGAGTGAACAACGGTTAACGCCGAAATGTGATATGAGTTCTTTGACGTCCAGGTTCAACATCCTGGACGCGGTTCTATCGAATAATTAAACAAACAAATACATAAACGAACATTCCACCTGCGGCGTCACGACTAAGAAGGGAGCGGCTCGTACAGACGTGTGGCTCCGGGAATCGTCAGGAAAGCTGCCAAAGACGGTTGAAAACTACCTGGACCGGCCTGCCAACCCCATGGGTTGAGAAATACCATATCTATTCCGACGGTGGCAGCGATCAAATACCTCTCAGGCAGCCCTGCATGGAAACACAGTGTCATTCAACAACTCTGCAAAGTCTCCCTCCCGAGAGAATGAAAACCGAGGAGGACGGACCTGATCTTCCATCCCCAAGTTAGGAACAAAGCAAAACTCAGACACCGCCGGACGGTGTGTCTTCCAATCCAGAAAGCTTGGGGGAGGTCGCGGAAGACACAAGGCAGCATTTCCTCCTCCGCAAAGTATGTTGGGCCGATCTGGTCGATCCCATTGAGGTGCGGCCACGTCGGATGCTGGACCATCATCATGTGCTTCCGTATTCGTCTCAGGAACTTTTACTGATTCAGGGATTCAGGAGACGGGATAGGGACATGCACGCATGTATCTCCGCCGATATCGCCTGTGGCACATGTGCTTCCGTATTCGTCTCAGGAACTTTTACTGGATCAGGAGACGGGATATGGATCTCTTCGCGTATGTAGCACGTCGGACACATCTTGATGAATCTGTCGACCAGTACTTCGGGAACCCGCGAGTACACTTTTTTGACCTCAGCAAAGGTTCTAACCTTTCCGCCGTGCTGGCACTGTTTGTGTGCTTTGGTCAGAATCTTGAATAACTTTTCTTGCACCACCACGGGTTTTCCGTTACTGCAAATCTTTCTTAGATGCTCTGAGACTTCGCTGTCATCATGTTCCAATGTAAACGCCTTCCTGACCCAATTCCTGTAGGAGACCGACCCTATCTCCGCTGCCTCGTCGATGAGAATGCGTTTGATTTCCGCCGCCTGTCGCGCGGGAAAGATGGTCTTTTCCTGCCTTGCGGGCGAGAGACCCTGGAGAAAGCGCTTCAGCATCTCATCGAACTCGTGGACATCCGGATAGCCCTCCAACGGTGGTAGAACGGGTTCCGAGAGCATTGTGTCTTCATTGGGAGAATCCTGGCACTCTGTGCCCTCCATTGTAGGGGAGTCTCGTGGACGAGCGAGTTGTTGGAACTCATCGAGGCGACGATCGCTCTCAAACGGTGGTAGAGCAGGTTTCGAGAGCACTGTATCTTCTTTGAGGGAAATCTGACACTCTGTGCCATCCATTGAGGGGAGTGCTCGTGGACGAGGGAGTAGTCGACGTCGACGAATTGTGCCATTTCTCCAGACCGAGACTTGTGGTACAGAGGTGGGAGGCAAAAAGCGAAGAGTTGCTGACGTTGCCTGAACTGGTGTGTAGCTTGGTGAGTCGCCTGCGAAACTGTTGATAAACTGATGCCCAACTTGACCATCGCTGTCTGGGTAGCTGAGACCGGGCCCGTCAGAATAAGGCGACATGGCGAGGTACTGGCTCTGAGAGAAGGAATTGTAATCATGACTGCTTCGTGGCGTCTGGTCTGCCATTCTTGGAAGTGCAACAATTGATTGAGAGAAAACAAAACTGCGGTGAGGCAGCTTGTCGCGCCTTGGAGAGCATCTGAAAATCCATGGAAATCCGTGGAAACTGAGATGACCAGGTGAGCACGTGACGGCGTAGGCAACAGCGCTCCTACGCCGCCACCATATCATCCTCTCTGCCGATCCAGCGACCTTTGAGATAATCCCTCGTGCTACAACTTCCCTCAATCCGAGCTCAAAGCGCGATACAACTATCACTTCCAGTGAGCTTACGAGGATTAAGTTCGATGCCCAGACCCGGACACTACAGGCAGCTTCCTGGTTGGCGGTGATTAACCATGCTAACTAATTTAAGTAGCCTCACTTCATTCCACCATTCCAATCGATCGAACGTCATGAAGACGAGCTTATATGCCACAGATGCGAGCCTCCCGGATTTTGAGCGAGTTGGCCTGCGGATTTGCGGCGGTACCTGCTCAGAACTCAGAAGTGGTTGAGAACACTTTTCATCCTTTCTTGGAATGCAATAACAGAGTGTCCCTATCGATGCAGCGATAGTGAGATGTCTCTTTCAACCGTCTTGAAACCTCCGAGTCTTGCCACCCACGCTTCCTACCAACCCGACTCCTCTCTCCTGACCGAGTTCTGCGGCGCGAACGAAGAATTGCGACGAACAGGAGAGGTGCAAACTCTATGAGACAGGAGAATGGCACTGCACAGAAATCATCCGTTGAGGTTAGCATGGGTCACCACAAACTATCCGGGAGGGAAACTGGAACTCTGTCCGTGGAAGCGGAGGCAGGCTCTTCAGTATCAGAGATGGTATCTGAAGCGTCGTTACCGCCTCGTTCACCTCGTCCCGCTTCGGCGGAGGAGGTGGTGGTGGTAGAAAGACGGCATGTACTTTCTGGAATAAGGGTTTGCATGCATCGTACTTTGCAGCGAAAGTGAATCATCCAGCTTTCCGGTCTTCTTGATGTTTTCAATCAGTCCGTCGCTCATCAAGAGAGAACTGTAGGTGACTCGCACTTTCTTCGAGTCTCGCCCAGGGGTGTGTGTCTGGAAAGGATGGACCTGGGAGAAATTGTCGAACCAACGGTTGACTTTGAACTCTGTGTCCTTCGAACTACTCGCCCAAGGCATGTACGGAATGCTGTGCCCACTGCGTAACCAGAAATGATGCCTTGCACTCTTAGGCCAGCCGGGGTCTTCTCTTCATAACTTGTATTGAGCTGTAGAGGCGACTAATCAGGATTGTCCATGATGCAAATAGACATACTCACTGGCATGATATTTCGCCAATCTATTATCGTAGGCAGTGGTAGGCTCCGTCATACCCGTGTTCTCCATTGTCCTTTTTGAGAGTCTATGGCTGGAGAAAGACCGAACAGCTTCTTACTCTAGATGTCACAGTGTTTTGTACTCGAGTAAATCCCGTTGAATGAGCGACATTCCTTGCTAATAATCATGGCCAACAGCTATCAGACTCTGCTTTGGATGATTTCTTCACCTTTGCTTTATCTGGCGAAGTGCGAGCTGAGCTGGCTTTACCGGCAACCTTGCCATTTCCACCTCGCAGCCGCCCGCCAACTAGACTTGCAACAATTTCATCTCGACACCATCATTCTGTTCGTTAAGCGGCCTCAATATATCGTTCTGTGACGTTAAAATCATCTATGATCAGCCTCTCTTATACATTATAGAATTATGGGAGAGGTGGGAAAGGTAGAACTGTAAAGCTGACGGATTGCAGAACCTCTAAATCGCGCCTGGTCAATCGGAAACCTTCTCAATTCCTCCGATCAATCTCTCCCTCCTCCTTCTCTCTTTGCACCTGAAGGCCTGCTGGCGTTGGACAGAAAAAGGTGGAATCGTGACATCACAGACCCTGGTCAGACTCGCAGTCAAGATGGGCATGGCAAGCCCCAGTGGGCAGTCATTCGTCGTCATCAGTCGGACGCAGGTCTCTATGAGTAACAGCATGACATACCCGCTTGGCTACAATATCAATACACTTTGTGGGCGGCAATCGTCCTGTCCCTGCTGGACAGCAGGCGATCCCCACCATCACCTCCAGGATCACCGGCAGGATCACCTTCAAGTCCCACCCCAGGGCAACGTCCGGGACCGAGTGTCCGACGACCTTTCAGGACGACTCCCAGACCTATTGAAACCATTGAAAGACCCTACTCGCTTCGCTGGCGCCTCAAGGGGTCCCAGAACGCTCACGCCTCACAGTCTATTTGACATTTGGCCAAGTACGACAACCAAGGTTTCCTGCTTTGAGTTTCTGTTTCACGTCTGTTAAGGACGTAAAGACGCCGACACTTCGGAGACTTCTTTCTTCGCAGTTACCTGCAAGATCTTTGAGAGACCAAAACCGGGTATAGTGTGCGAAGTTGCAATTGTGAGAGCCTTGCTGGTATGCTTACGGTCCACGACATTCCCCTGGCGCTGGAATTTACCCCGTTGCAGGATTCGAAGAACGTTCGCGCGGGCAGATCGAATCTCACATCCAACACAGCGTTTGCCTCGTCGTTCTGGGACGGGTATGATTTCTTCAAAGTTGCGTTGTCTCGGGCAACAAAAGTTGTCTGAACAAGATGACAGTGTAACAATGCCGCGCGCAACTGTCCCATGAAGGCCAGTGAGTCCTACGAAGGAGGAGTGCACCCGGAGCATGGATTCGGGTAAGGGCGGACTGTGATAATGGACGGAAGCACCACTTGTGGCCCACATGCTGCGACAGAAAAGAAAGCCGATACTCCGATCATATTGCATATAACTTGTTCTGGTGCTGCTGATAAGGAGTGAATGGAATCCTATTGACAACACACTACATGGCGAAGTTCATAGGCATTGCGGTATAGTCCAAGTCCTATTCAGAGCTGGTGTACATAGCAAGAATACAAGCCCAACTGGTTCTCAACCCGAATGCCGACATCTTGTGGCACTGTCAAGACATGGAGTATCCAAATCCCCGTTCCTCTCACCAACGCAGAATGGCAGAGTCTGGTCTTCATCTGGCTTCCTCTGCTCAGGTCGCTGGTACCCGTCCGTGGACTTTGCCGTCAGGTAACGCATATCTTCGACTGCACTTCCATCGCTGTTAGCAAAAGGATGTCCACAACGGATGGACGTCGCCAACAGCTTTCTGTAAAGCACGTCGTCCAGAGAGAGGCAGATGAAGTCAGGTAGAACCGCAGCCGGTCGAGGATCGGGCGATCCTCGAAGTCGTCTTCCGGCACACTCCGAGCGCCTCTTCCCCCTCTTGCAGAGCGCTGTTGTTGAGAGCCAGAGAGGGTTTGGGGAGCCGCCATATGGTTCCGGGACGGCACGAAGCTCCAATCCCCCCGAATCAGCTCTGGCTCCGTTGGAAATTGCGCAGGCCGCAGGTAATGGGTCTGGCAGGCGTCGGTCGACAGTCTGCGACACGATCCTGGGGCACTTCGACTGTCGCGCTGACATTTACGCCGTCGGTGACGGGATCCGAATGTACGACAGCATCTCACGCCGGGGGAAGAATCGCGAGGTTGTCATCTCCCCTTCCGCCCGAATGGCACATATTTTCGTGGGACCGAATTTATACGGGAACCTCACCGAAATATTTCGAATCACTTTTTCATCACAGTACTATTGTGGAACTGAAATATTAGCTGTGTATGCAGCAGATGTTGGATACGGCTTTCCACATCAAGGCTCAAATAAGGGGTATTGGTGGTATATAAAAAGTATAAATGAAGAGATTTTAGTTGAGGAGCTTGAACGAAATCTTTAACTATATCGAGGGGAACGTTTAACGAAATCTTTAACTATATCGAGGAGAGGCTTAACTAAACCTTTAACTAACTTCTTCGTGTTGCCATACAGATTCGGTGCCGAGCAAAAAGGTGTCATTCGGGCGGAAGGGGAGGTTGAAGCTCTCAATCTCTGCCAGCAGCATGTCGATGAAGTTCCGGAAAAGGTCATCACTGCGATGGACTGCTTCAAGTATTCCAGCTCCTGGGGCGATGTCGGCGAAACCCTCCTACATTATCGCTTCTATACAACCGTGAGACCCTATTTTGAGCCGTCCACAGGTGTCAAGTGTAGAATCACGACAGGCATTGTCTCTTCCGTCAGCGAGTATCATAAGGCCAGGGCTTCTACACTATCGTAGTCACACCTGGGCCTCAATTAATCCAGTGAGAGACGCAAGATCGATATCAGGGCAGCTCTATGGGCGGCACAAGGACAGCCACAAAAGGAGTTATGCGCAAAGTGAAAGGACACGGATGAGTTATGACCAGGCTGGACCAAAAACCAAGTTGTTCTGTGCTATAACGAGCGACTATGGAACAAAAATTGACTGGCTGGGGAGACACAGCGATAAGGTCTCTAAGAGACATGGTCCAGAGCTTAGGCACAGCACTCGCCTGGGAAACATCCCAGGAGAGCCACCTAAAGTCACTCGTGGAAGCAAATGTTTTCCCCCGTAACTCATTCCCGGGTGGTGTCCGATACCTCGACCGCACGTTGACGCAACCAACATCCAGCGCGACGGACGCAAAAGGATTCAAGGTTGCGAACCAGATGGAGAACGACAACTCGGAGACCATTCTCCTTCCAGATGGACGAAAGCTTCAGGGACAGTTCACAAGGACGTGGTTGTACATGTGAGTGGTCTCCCTCGCGGAGTTAAGCAGGTCCTGACAATCGCTTATGACGGTAATGATATGAAGAACCTTGGGGATGAGCCCGTCATTGCGGTTCAGTGCCGCTACCACATCCAAGACGTTGTCGCGCCTGAAGAGAATCTTGCACTCAAGGAGGGGCCTCGCGATACGGCCGGCGACGGCGAGCTCTTCCTGCACGAGCTCGAGGACCCTTATCTTGTGAAAGGACCATATCGCTCGGAGCAGGGCCAAGGGCACAACGCACTCTTGGTCGTTATACCCTTGGCCCTCGCATACTTTCTTCGTAAACGAGTCCGCCACCGCCAGATCCTTCAACGCCTCCTGCGTCTTGTTATTCATCTCCTTCCAGCGCGACACCTCGCTCTCCAGTCCTATGGTGATGTTGCAGTCGTGAAGGATGTCTGCCACCAATGGATCTTCTTGTTGAGACGCAGACTGAGATCCTTCAGATGGCTTTGCCGGCGGTTGCTGGCCCGGGGTACCCATGTTGGGTTGGATGCCGGGGTCTGAGGGCCGCCGAACTGTCTTGTGGAAAAGCTGGAAAAGTCTCGAAGAATGGTCCTTGACTTGCGAAGATTAGTGCCGAGCTGAGAGATGGAGAGTGAGATATTGATGATACGGCGTGAAGAAGGTGGTTGATTTGATGCCCATGTAGGGGAACACTGCTGGGTGGGAAGGCGAAAGAGAAAGAGGGGGGAAGAGCGAGATGCAGAGAATCAGGCTGTATTTATTCCTTGCCCAACGGCCCCCAAGCGCCAAGGCGACCCCCCACGAGGCACATACAGAAAGAGATAAATAGGACCTCTATTCTCGCACTGCTGGGGGAAGCCCTCAACAGTGCGAGAATCGATGTCTCAAGTTCTCGCACTGCTGGGGAAGCCCTCAACAGTGCGAGAAGTCGATGTCTCAAGGACAGCTTTATACAAATCAAGATACGTGTTCAACCCTCTGGCTCTCCGTCTAACGATCCCACTCCAAGGCTCTCTGACACATTAGGTGGGCAAAAAGTCGCCGGGCAACCCATCATTTTCCACCCAATCATAGATTTTTCAATGATTCACGCCACGTTTTGCACCGAAGGAGGGATTCTATCAAGGGGGATTGAAGTGTAGTAAATTATGGATTAATCAAACGGGCTTTTCCGGTGACCTTTGCAGGGGTGCTGTATTTGGAACTGGCCAGAGTCTGTCATTGTGTGCAAGTTGACTCTACACAAGGTCTGTGCCGCGGCTCCTTCTTCCTCTCTAGGAAAACGCTAGTGACATTCGCGGTTTCTCAGGCGTTTGCCCCCAATACCAAACATCAGGACCGAGCGGCAACGCAGTTCTCAACAGCGAGAAAATTCGCTTGCCAAATGGTAGCAACGCTTGCTAATCTCCCTGTTTTCTCACCAGTAAGAAACTACGTTCAGCAGTTCCGCGGCACCAGCAGAGACGGCGAGGTTGACACCGGAGCAACCAGCTCCAGGCAATCAGGGCACAAGGGCGCAGGCCAAGCCCAGCCGTGGCCACACCTACCACCATTTCTCACCCATCGCAATTTGTTCACCACATCCTCACCTCCGACCACACCACGCCTACAGCAAGAGCATTTCAACCTCTTATGGCAGTGAGCCGAAGCGAGGCGCTACCGCCAATCGATCCTGAAGCCATACGACTGGCTCACAGACTCACCCAGCACTTCGTCAAAAGAAATTCCTTCTCTGAACGCCCCCAGATCAGGAAGCATCATCGACGTATCGCTTTCGTCGTGAGACGATACTCCCTACCAACGGGCAAATTGGCAGAGCTTTATGATCCGGAAGACCCTACCACCTATCCAGACGAGTGGGCAGCTGACATTTCCCAACTCAGGAAAGCTTGCCAAAAACTAGTTACGGACACACAAGTCCTCAATTACCTGCTCCGATCGACAGGTGAAACACCAAGGGAAGAGACGGAACAGATATACCCCACCCGGTCTCGCAGACACCATGCCCAACCAGCTCGCAGAGGCAAGCAATGCCGGATCGCCTTTCACCCAAGCCCAACAGCAATGGCTTCGGAACTTCTCCGACGATATCAAGAGATCCGTGGATGATGCGGTAAGGGCAGCCCTGGCTGGCATCCAACCCGCCCGGACTCAATCACAATCCTCCAGCCAACCGGCCAGAACACCATCCGTCCCGACACCTACATATGAGGATCATATCAAACCTACGGAGATCGGCTTCTTTTACCCTAATGTCACCACCGAATGGACCTCGGATTCCACCATCACCAAGGATGGCAAAACATACTACCGCAGCCTCCCGGCCTTCGTTGACCGCGTTCAGGCTCTGGCTGTGACAAGGAACGCCGCGGCAATCCGTCAGACTCTCGAATTATGCTTGAGAGGAGAAGCAGAGTCCTGGTGGAACGAAGAGCTGGACAATATCAGTCGCATCAGTATCGTTCAGAGCCAAAACGGGGTAGACGAATGGTGCAAAGCCCTGGAAAATCGTTTCAAAGATTCACCATTAGACGCATTGAACAAGCTGAACTCGCTCAAATACACAATGACTGACGCCCAGAAACGAAGGAGTCCCTCTGCGTATATGGCGGAAGTCATTGCCGCAGCTAAAGCATGCGGATACGATTCCGACGAGTCCGCGTTCGTCCCATTCGCCTGGAATAGGATCGACATCCGCCTGAGGAACTCAATCGACGAACCGGCACCAGGAACCTCAGTCGCTACGTTCATGGAAACACTTCGCCGAAAGCAAGCAAACTGGTTTGACGAAGCCGCCCAAGCATTCATAGGTCAGGACCGTGGAGCCAACTCCGGATTTCGCGACCGTCAGGAATACTGCCCATGGAGTACGAATTGGAGCCGCAAAACCCAATCACGGGGAATGAACTTCAATGCTAATGCAAGCCAACCCTACGGATCAAACGATTCTTCGATAAAACAGGTTTCATTTCCAACGAGAGGATCCATCACGTCAGGAAACGAACCGTCAGGTCCGCAGAACCAACTCAACCAGGAAAAATCGAAACGCGCCGGAGGCCAATATCAAAGAAACACCCAGAAAGCCCAGCATGCGGATGTGCGAGACGAGGACGACGAGGACTGCGACCCTGACAACCAGGAGGCTAACTGGAACGATACAATTCGGGAGGAAGACCTCAACGATTCGAACCGATTGCCGGAGGACGACAAATTCGATGAAAAGGCCTGGGCCTTCAACGGATGGGTTGAAAAAGCTAGTGCACCAGTCGTCTGTAACGTCTGTGATAAGGGATTCGTTTCGATAAATCAACTACACCAGCATATCAGAACAGAGCACACTGCAAAAGCGTGCGAACCCTCCGATCGCCAGGCCGAACTGACCTTCTCCAGCCTTCGTCACAAACTCGGTGATGAGCACTTGGAATTCGTTCCATGGGGATGCGTAAACGACATGAGTGAGAATCTCAATCTCGGTCGTGTCTACGACTTCTCTTACGACAACACAACGCCACCCGAAACCGAGAGCCGTCCGAATCAAGACGTGGAACGTAGCGCTGCGGGAATTTTCCATGTCCAAACCATCCTGAGAACCGCCGCATCGAAGACAGACAAGAATGTTGACAAATGGCTCAAAGACGTGAACTCCGGATCCGTAGCGGACATGCAAAGTTCGGTTGACGGGGTCATGAAGGAGCTGTGGGATACATTCAAGGGCGCGCTGAATGAACTACTGCCCTCCAATATCAGTATTGCATCGCCTGTCCAAACCGTTCTGAAGCCGGAGGCATTCCAGGAAACACTTCTCAAAGCGCTCAACTGGAAGTTGGTGGCAGACATGGATCCTGCGCAAATCGTTCGGGAGGGCGCAACCAGGGACAGGAAAGCTGTGGAAACGGCCGTAACCAGCCTCTGGACCAGAGGACAAAAGGACTTCGCAAGGGAATACGCAGAGATGCCACCTTCCGATGTGAGGGAGTTCGGATTGGCTCAGCTGACACGCCTCGAAAAGGCAGACGCCCAAACGGTTTCGACCCATGAGACTCCATTAACCGCTACATACTCAGCTACCGCCACACCATCCGCAGCCGCCACAGGTGATTGAACGAAACGAGCTATGGAGCGATGGAGCTCACCGGAACGAATCATTGGGCTGGGGGTCTCGCAGAGACGGGTCACGGCACAATGAGAAGCAATGGGCATGCGAACGAGGACATCTGCCTGTTCTCGCGAGGGGGAGGCTGTCCGGGGCTGCGCGTGCAGCTGTGGCAAGGTAGATAGCTCAGCATCCGTTCTGTCCTTAGATTTCAATCAAAAAGTTCATTACCTACGCTTTCGCTTGCCAATCTTTCTCAAATGTCTGTGTCTGAAAGTGTCGAACCACCTCATCCTGGCCGCCGCAGTACTGGTCAACATAACTTGAAGCGGGACAAAAGTACGAGCAGCAGTCTGGGGGGGGATTCAATTTCTGCCTACCTGGTATGGGAAACCTTGGCGGAATCGAGCACGCTTCAACACTCTCCATCCCCGTGAGTTATCACGGTCTGAAAATGTTGCTCTGACGGTGAATCAATCTAGAACCCCTCTGTGAATGCGCGAAATCGTGCTGAAAAGCCTGTAAAGAGGTGCTATCCGATGTGAAAAGAGAAAAAAGCCAAGTGGTTGGGGAGGTAAAGTGGATGAAGCCTGCGTGAAAGACTGGCTTCTGGAAGCACAAAGTCAACATCCATCGGCATCGACTGAAAGGTTCACAGGCATTATCGGATGGGACAATTGCATACCAATCGAGGATGAGCTGGGCCAAGATCGACAAGTGGGTGTTGAAGATAATCAAGGTTTCTCTCACTACCTTGACGGTTGAAGCGTGTGATTTTGAACAAAATTCTTTACTCGGACGAAAAACAATATTACGCCATGTCAGCAAGCGTGTGATCACCGCGCTCTTCCTGCCAACGTAAAAAAGCATTTTCCGATTCCCTGGATCGCGACATGGAGCAACACCAAGCGCCTGTGGTACCCCCTCGTAGCTCTTCGCCGTCCACGCCGACGTCCAGAAGCACGCCCCGAGCCAATTCCATCACATCCGCGCATCTGCACGTACCTATCGATCTGGCATTGTCTATGTCAATGTCCAGGTCAGTGCTAAGTTGTGCTTTCGCCCCCCCTGTTGATCCACCCTGTGCCGAAACTCCAAGATCCCTCTCGTCAACGCCTCCCCCTGCTCAGGCGCCATCGTATGCACCCTAGATCGATCTCCTTGTCCATCACCACCAGGCGCTTGTCGTTGTGAGGCTAATTCGTGTTTCGTTGGCCGTATCCTTTCTGGCGGCCTCATAATCCCGAACTGTTCCCTCGGTACTGACATCTGCAGTATTATGTGGCCTTGTCGAACCAATTGGCGTGTTTTTGACGAAGCGTATCCATGAAGGTGGCCACTGTCGTCCCTGGACCCGGTTCATCAATTGATTCCCTCAATTGGATATCAATCTCATTCCATGCGAAAAGCACCATCGAATATTCATTGTCGTATCCACATGCCCTAGCGGCGCTGATGACTTCTGCCATATATGCAATCGGGCTTTTCCGCTTTTGGGCATCGAATATTGTGTATTTGAAGCTGTTCAGTCTGTTCAATGCGTCCGATGGCGACTCTTTGAACCGATCTTCGAGTGCCTTGCACCATTCCTCGACACCGTCTGGACTCTGGACAATGCCTACCCTCATAACGTTGTCTAGTTCATTCGTCCACCAGGATTCGGCTTCGCCTCTCAGGCAAGATTCCAGCGTCAAACGAATGGCTGCGGGGCTTCTCGTGACTGCCAGGGCCTGTACACGGCTCACGAATGCCTGTACGCTGCGGTAGTAGGTCTTGTCGTCCTTCGTGATGGTAGTGTCGCCACCCCATTCGGACGGGGCATTGGGGTAGAAGAATCCAATATCTGCTGGCCTTATCCGCTCCCCAATAGGCGTTCCTTGAGGGGGGTAACTCGCGGGCGGTCCTCTGGATGGGCCAGTCTGTCCGAATGGCTGGGGTTCTCGTGGTTGTGTATTAGGATTTGTGCTTTGTGCCAGGGCTCTCCGGACTGTGGCGGAGATCACTCGATCCGTGAAATAGTCCAGCCATTGCTGTTGTGCCTGGTTGAATGGAGATTCCCCCGATCCTTCCTGTGTGTTCCGCATGTGGATGGGGCTCTCTTGTCTCTGCACCTCTTCCGTACGTTCTCTGTCGATATCTTGCGTTGCGGCTGACGGTGCGGGTGTACCCTCTCGCAGCAAGTGGTTGAGATTCGACGTATGTCTGGCCAGGGCTTGACAGGCCTCTCGTAAGGCAGTGATGTTTGTCACCCACGAATCGGGGTAGGTAGGTTCGGCGTCAGCTGCGTATTGATCCGGGTGGCCGTCTTGTAGGCTGTATCTGTTGACTATGAATTCGATTCGTGTTTGATGAGAAGTGATGCTCTGTCGTCGACTGAATGTGGCTCTTTTGTAGAGGTATTGGCCAAGAGAGTAGGCGAGTCGTATATCCCCCTGATCAACTGGAGGCAGAGCCTCACTTCTTCGCACAGATGACATGGGAGATTGAGGTTGAGGTGAGCGTGGCGTGGATGGAATCACGTCCAACTGAGGCACCGGTGTCTGGTGTGGTTGCAACTGCGCTCTTGTTGCCAGGTCGGCTGGCGGATGTTGGTTCGCTGTCAACTTCGCCAAACCAGCTGTGAAATGCGGATTCAGACTGGTTAGGAAAGAGCGGAAGGTTGTGTAATGATGCTACCATTTGGCAAGCGTTTGCATACTCAATGAGATGATTGATGGATTAATGTTGTCTAGCTATCTGGGTGTCGAATGGCACGAACAAATCTAAGCTGTTGAGTGCCAAAGCCCCTGGCAGTGCCTTCCGTGAAAACCCCCGGCATCCTTCTTACACGCGTCTTTCAGCCGGCTCATCCTCTGGGAGCCGGTGCCCAGGTCCTGCACCACACAGATGGCGAAATTGTTCGGTGCGTGTAGTATCGAGTTTCTGCGCAGATGCTGATGGACCGAGTTTCGATGTGCGCGAGAAGATTGAGATGTGTTGAAGCGGCCTCCCGATAGTCGTCGCCCGTGGGTGTGAGCTGCGGGTGCGCAGCCGACTCCGCGATGTTCTTTCCCATCCCCTAAACCGTCAACGACGGCGAGGCCGACCGCGCGGGTCTGGAGGCGATCGATCGGGTACGCCAAAGGGTGGGAGGGCAGGATGGCGACAGCTCTCACGGAGATTGAGAGCTTTGAAAAGTCGCTGAAAGAGGCGCTGGACATGCTGGACTGGATGGCTAAGTATGTTGAGAACGTGATGCGTAGGTGTATAGATAAATTAGGCTGTGAGGGGTGAGCACATTGGGACTCCTCAAGGCGCCAGCGAAGCAAATAGAGTCTGCGCAGGGTTCAACGGGCCTGGGAGCTGTCCTAGTGGTGGCCCCGGAGCTGATCCTGGAGCTGAGCCTACATCCTGGAGGTGATCCTGGAAGTGGTCCTTGGAGTAGCCTTGAAGGTGATCCTGTAGGTGATCCTACAGGTGGCCTTGGAGGCGACCCTGCAGGTGATCCTGAACCCAGGACGGGATCCTATGGTAGTCTTGAAGGTGATCCTGCAGGTGGCTCTCGGGTTGGCCATGGAGGTAATCGTGTAGGTGATCCTGTATCCTGAAGGAGGGCTTGGAGGTGATCCTGGGAACGGTCCTGGGGATTGCCTGCTGGGCACCAGAGACGTCGCCATGGCTGCTCACAAGTGTAGAGAGGTATTGTAGCGAAACAGGTATATTTTGCCAGCAGTCACAGAGACCCAGCCTGCACTCGACTGTCTGCGACGAATGGCTGCCAACTGGGTCTTCCCACGCCGACTTTGACTGCCAGGCTGGCTTGGGTTTGTGATGCCACAGTTCCACCTTTTCTTGTCCAACGCCAGCAGTCTTTCAGAGACCAAGAGAGAGGAGGAGGAGGAGGTGGAGGAGGAGGAGGGAGATATTGATCTCAGGAATCGAGAAGGGTTCAGGCGGATCAGGCGCGTTTTCAGGGTCCTGCAATCCGTCAGTTCGCAGTTCCCTAACTTGTGGGGAAGGGTATTCGCAGATGATTTCAATGTCACAGAGCGACGGTATTGAGGCCGTTCAGCGAGGAGATTGATGGTGTTGAGATGAAGTTGTTGGAAGTCAAGTCCGGGGGCGGCGGCATATAAAGGGTGATTGTCAGCGCGCGGACGCAGGAATCGGGAGCCGAATAATCCGCCAAAATCCGCCAAAGCCACGTTATCTGTCTTCACCAGAAGCGTGGCTATGCATTCACCTTTGACCGTAAAACTAGCTGAGGTAACGCTTCGCTGGACCATCTGGCCATTGTCAAAGTTGAAGCCATCAGGCTCTTCTGATCTGTATTCGCAGATTGCCTTGCTCTCCTGGTGGGAGAAAGAGTGCTCGGTTCAAGCGACGGCACCGCAATATCACCGAAGAGACACCATTCTCGTTCCTCAATCCGACTAAAGGTAACGGATGTGCGCAATCGCTGTGCAGGTGGGCGAGCTCATTGGGTACGAGGGTGCCGGTGCTGTCGAACTTGTCGTGGACGAGACGATGTGACGACTTTGCCCCTGTCAGGACGTTTACGAAGGACATAGTTCACGGTGGACATCTTATATACCTGGTCATCGTCCCTCATCTGGAAAACCCTCACGGAGGTTCCGGAACGGACCATGGAGAGTGTGGTTACTCCACACTCCTCCTGTTCGTACTACGCTGTACAGATCTAGAGGAGTTGCCAGGCTATACTTGTCCATGTTGGAGGGATGCAAAGGATTGCAGGAAATCATGGCAGCCGACGAACGATCCTTGAACATGGTGAAGTGATACACTACTGGACCTAGTTAAGGCCTCAGACCCAATGTGCTACGAATGCAAGGACAACCACACCCACCGATGGGCCCTGCTGCACGGTTCCTCCTCCCAGTCCAGCAAGCTGAGTTCCAGATTACCAACTCAATGGAGCAGCTGCAGAAAAGAACCTTGGCCTGTCGCGAATGACCGCAGGCCACTTCACTGTACTAGTGTCGCCCTGAGTATTGCAGTCGGTTTGCTGGAGACGTCAATCCAAAAGACTGGAGCCACAATCATGCTCTTTGCGGGCGGCCCGGCCACTGAAAGTCCTAGTATGGTCGTTGCTCTTGAACTACGTGAGCCTATTCGGTCGCCCCATGATATCGACGGTACAGCCAGGAAGAAGCGCAATGACGGCGCCCCGGGCCACAAGAGATCCGTTTCCGGAAACCTTCTGTCGTGTCTGAGTTTCCTCAGCACAAACGGCGACCAGGACAAGACCGATGGTGGCGATCGAGATGGGCCGGACTCTCCTCATCGAGGGCGAGGTGCTATGGCAGAAGCACAAGCTCTGGGCAAGATAAAGAGGAAAGGGTACACCACTGCACCAGGGATCTGTTGCTGGGGATCGTGAATAGCCAGCAGATAATGAGTAACAACATGAACAATGCGCTGCTGTGGCCATGACACAGTTTGGATCCCAACTTCCACCAACCGGCCCCCCCGTCGTCGATACATCAGCTCAATAAAGTACCTCCGTGCCAGCCTTTGCAAACCCAGTCCGCTTCCATCCAGAGCAGACCACGACGACACAGCGGGACCAGCCCACGTTGAAGCTGTGGCCGATGGCGCCGGAAGACGCCGACGCGTGCCACAACCGTGAACAGAGCGTGCTTGAATAATACCACATGTCCAGTCTGCTGCAAAGCGTTTGTGACACGCCGTGCGCTCGGGCGCATGGTGCTTTGCTATATACACACAACACTTCCGTGCCTGCCGACCCATCTACAGACCAACATGAGGTCGACAAGCGAAATCAGTACAAAGGTCAAAGGACGTGCAGATAGAAGACGCAATGAAACGAGCCCCTACCGTATCTAGACCCCATTGTGCAGCTGGGGATTTCTCATCAACACAAGAACCACCGACATCTGCGGAGGGAGTTCTCTCGGTCCTCCCCAGCCGACGCATCGTTTGCTCACGGCGCCGCGTCCAATAAATGGCTGACAAGTCTCATGCCGTGTCAAAGTATTCGGAAAGACAAAGCCACGCCTGCGCGTGAGACTGAGCCATGCGTGGCCAATCAAACCCGCCGCGCCACACCTTTGCAGCCTCACACATTCCGACAGAGAATTTCCCTCGAAGGTCGACCGGGGGAGTTGCTTCCGACTCTGTTGAAAAGTCGGCGCCCCGGCAATTCAAGAAGCAGGGAATCAAGTGACTTACTCCCTGCGTTAGCGCTGCCTACTTTTTCCATTAGCGCGCATTCCTGCGAATCCTTCGATTGGATTGCTCATTGTGATGGTGATTACATCTGCAGTAGCGTGGAACCCCAACTCTGCATTAGCGCCTACGCTACCGGGCACTCTCCGGACGGCCACACTGTTGAGAGCCCAACTTTTGATTCTTGCAACCTGTCAAGTTCCCACTTTTGATTCTTGCAAACTTGTCAAGTTCCCTGCTTTTCGGAAAACACTGCTGCTGGGGTCAGGGTGAGGGTCCGGTCAGAGGCACGCACATGGTGTCGCTCAAGTTGGCGGTCCTGTTTTGTGTCAGGGAAATAATACACGGACAGGGAAGAGCGTGGACACCATGTCTCAGTTCCCTTCAAAGTGTCTCTTGTCGAGATGCCTTGCAAATGGTGATACCTCTGGTGTCGGAGAGTCTGATGCAGTAAGATGGAAAATGAGAATGTATGCACTCATTATTATCAACCCATTCAGTGCCTGGCTGATGGTTCGGGTCTTTGTCAATGTGCTCCGCCGGGTGTTGTAGACGAGGGTCAGGTTCGATCCGCCAGGGGATCGTATGGGCAGCGACCAAGGCTCCACGGGCTCTCTGGGCACTGGACAGACCTTCTTAGGCGCCAACCTGGGCTTCTTGCATATTTTCCTGGACTCCTGTAGCGTCGAGTTTGGCTGTCTGGGCGTCGGGTCGGGTTGGGCATAGCCGGGCGTTTGGCCGTAGAGGGGCGTCCGGGTCCTGGGTCTTACATTTTATTTAGGGGGCAACGTGCCGCGTTGGGCTCGGGCTGGTGGGAAGGTAGGCGGTGGCATTGGCGCCCGGGGCAGGCGCTTCCTGGGCTTTGTTGGGCCCCAACGCGCCCTCAATTTTTAGGCGTCTCCAATTAAGAATCCGAGAATCTGCCCCCCCGGATCGGCCCCCAGCCGCCCACACTCCTTCCCCCATCAAGCCTGCTAGGTTGATTGACTGCACCAATGTGTCTCCCACCGACGAAGTAAGGGATACAACAAGTAGCATTGCTGTTGAGGGAACGAGAGTTTCATCAAGATGATAGCGATAGATTTGACTTCATTGACCTATGAAATAAACAAAAGTACAAGTACACGCGTCAATCTCGCCACGCCCCTACTGCGCCAGCTTCGCTCGCTGCAGCTCATCTTTTTTTTCTGTGCCTTCTCCCATTTTTCCGCATGTAAACGAGTGTCATCAATCCAAAATCATGAACAATCCAAAGAATACATGAATCAACTTTTTGCAATCAGCACGAATGAATATCCCCGGAATCCCTGATCCACCTGTCCAAATCCCACAGCACCCTAACTCTTCAGAGTCCGTCCTGAAAGGCGCCCTCGATTCCCCCATCCCCTTTACCGTCCCGTTCCTATCATGATTCGTCATCCCATAAAGTCACATCCTTCTGCGATCCATTCTTGTCTGAAAACAGGATCATCCAGAGGCCAGTCTGCACAGCTCACGAAGTGCGGCAGATTACCTCTTGCCTTTGAACTTGGACTTGCCCAAGTAGAGACAGTCTTTGAAGAAGTCGCTGACGGACTCCTTCCACCCGTTGGGGCCAGTATCAAAATAGGACACCTCGTGAACTGGTACAAAATCTTCTGGGATGGAGGGAAGAGCTTCTGGGATGGGGGGAAGAGCTTCTCGGACGCGTGGAAGAGCTTCTGGGCCGCGTGGAAGGGCCTTCGGCACGGCTCTCGGGTTTTCGAAGTCTCTGTTGGGCTGGGGGTATCGGGATTCCCAGAAATTGTACCACATTTGTCCTGCGCTGGAGTGGAACTCTATGAATCCCGGTGCGAAGCGGAGGAGCTCTTTGACCAAACCAAAAGTTATCGCATATGTAGTCACCGCCTCTTGATATACCAGAAGCCCTGCGCGACTAAGAGAACGGGGCAAGGATGGAGGCTGTGTAATGTCTTCTCCGATTCCGAATGCATAAAGATGGACAAGGTAGCAGGTGAGAAGCAAAGCCAGTCGAACCTTGGACGATTCTACCTCTTGGAATTCTTGGACCGCCTTCCAGATGAGGAACTCGCCTTCGGACGTTTGAGAATAGTGCTCGAGTAAACCAGTGCATCCCTGGCTCCGGGCGCAAGCGATGATAGTCATGTATGTGGGGTCGAGAGTATTTCCAAACTCATTGTGTAGTTCCAGTAGGGGATGTATCGCTTCAGCTAGCACCATGAGAGGCCCCTCTTCTCGGCGCTGGATGGACAAGGCGGAGAGGATCATAGTCCGATCTTCGAGAATTTCTTTTTCAGCCGTAAGAATCTTCAAGCGCTGGAGGACTAAGCTGATTTCCGGAAAGGTCGCTGACTGACAGCTGAATGGCTCCATACTCCAAGTCTTTTTTCCAGAGACCCGTAGGACTGGATCTATGAAGCTGCGGAGGCAGTCTTCGGTGAAATTGGGATGTAGATGCACTTTCTGTGTCATTTGAAATAGGCACTCTAACACGTAGAACCTCCTGGATCGTGTGGGGACATCTGGAAAGAAAAGGCGTTCAAAGATGTCTTTGTTCCATTTGATGCCCACCGTCTTCGGGACAATAGTAAGTATGAGGATAACGATCAACTGCTGGAAAGCTAGACAATTTCGGCCATTGAACGCCTCTTTCTTAAGGTTGCCCCAACGCCATCGGTCTTCGGGTGTGGGAGAGATCTCCAGTGGTGGCGGCGGGAGAAGCACCGACTCGGGCCTTGCAGGCTCCATGGGAGTATCCAATGACAGATCGAACGAGGCGGAATCGCCCATGGTCAGAAACTTAGCAGTTGGGAAGTCACTGGGACAAGTGAGGGGCGTAGAGGAAGGTTTGGCACAGCAACCAGTTTGGGGGGAGGTGCTATTCTTATGCCCTTTCGCCGACCACAGCGAACCAGCGACCCAAAGACCTCGACGACCCCGGAAACCAATCACGAAGTTGATGTTGGGCCACCCCTCCTATGGCTGGTTACAGGCGGTCAATGCGTGGAGCGAGAAGATGGCAGCTCAGCGAGTAAAAGACTGAGGTTGAAACCCAAGACCTGTCACCAGGTGTCAACAGCTGCCAGATTTCAGGAGTCACAAGATGTCCGAGATTGTCGCTGTGAGTCGAGGTCAAGACATCCTGGAAGCACCACGCTTTCTCGCGTATGTCTTGAGCAAAGAGCCCGGTTCAAAGTCTGGTTACGAAAACCTTCGACGTGCCCCTGACTGCCATTCGTTCCTTCTTGCTCGGCTCTTTTGGCGGCAAGAGGCTGTTGGCACTCTCTAAGTACCTCCTGCAAATCCAAACCCGCTGATTGATGGCGACGGCTGAACTTCATCTACGTCATGACAATGGGATCTTGGCCCACTTCGAGAAGGTCATGCCAGTCGCTGCGTCCAAGGTGGCGGATTATGACACCCCCAACAAAGCTGGCTTTGACCCCCTCCTCGCCTCCGAGAAGAGTCGTCTGCAGGAGGCTTGTTTCACCGCGAACTGACAGCCTCTTCGACTTCAAAGTCTCCAGGGCACCTTACCACTCACTCGGGAAACTTCTTACTGCCATCGAGCTCCATGAAGCCAAGCTTAAGGAATGGCAGGAGCGATCTGAGCGGCGCCGTGCTGAACGCCAGGCCAGGATCCAGGCCGCGTACACGCGAAATTCAGCTACTGTCAACCGACACATGGGTATGGGGCCCAGGCTGACCCGCACTCCGCACGCCGACGCCCCCACCTGTGAATACACCAAGCGGACCCTCGATGGACCCCTCTCTCTCGGCGGGGAAGTTGGTGCCGCTGTCAATATTGCTGATGGTATGGCCAACTGATCCGGGGAGAAATTCCTCTTTCGGCCTGACAGTCAAAGCATTCGCCGAGGACGAATGCAGCTTCAGACGCCCTCTCCTGCGGCCTTCAGCCTCACCCCCAACCGCTTACGCAACCGGATGATTGATTTCGGAGTAACAGCCCAAGTCGTCAACTTTGCCATGGAGACAGTCATGCCAGTTGTCACTCAGAGAGGAACTTAGAAGTTCAAGGAAATCCCATTTGAGCGTGCAGAAAAGCATGGCGGAACGACAACCTCCCGTCGCGGACCACGATCCACCCGAGGAGAAGGAACTCCTCACCCGAGACTGCGCAGAGGCTGCTTTACCTGAGTACGATGTAATCTGAGACCTGGGGGAGGTGTGTATGCAGTTCGGCTACCTTTCGCTCTTCCGTGTAATGTGGCCACTGACGCTAGTCTTATAGTACATCAATGGCTGGATTGACTTGAGTGGAGACACTTTCAAACTGACCATCGAATATCGACGACCCAATCCTGCCCGAGCAAATATCATTGGGCCACTCCATTTCATCCCCCATCACCCCGAGCACCCAGCATGGAGGAGAAACCTCCTACCGTGAACCCGGATAATGTCAACCTGCTGTCTTTGTCGGTCATGCAGAATTCATCCTACCTTGGGACATCCTCCGCCATGGCTGTCCGGAGAGTAATCACCTGGCTTGATTCACACTGCTTGACCAAATCTCCCGAGAGGAGCATCATTCCCACCCGTCAACCGTCACCCGCTCTAGAAAATCAAAACGAGCGAGTGTGCTCAGACAAGAAACGACACCTCTTCGGCGACCGCCTGGGGCAAAATTCCTCTCATCAATGCCTCCAGCGCCGAGCAACGATCTCTATTTCCTGCCTCCACGGCGCGGTGTGAACTCGAGAAAGAAGCTCACATTAGTATCAAGTGCCGCAGGACCTGTCATCACTCGGCTGCTCAGAAGTGACAGCACACCAGCCAGGTCGAAGCACTGGCCTCCCCCAGGCACAACCTTGGACGATGACAGAGCCTGACAAGATTGTTCTTTGGAAGCCTCCCATTTCCGAGGTCGGCCGGTGGCGTAGGCCGAAACGGTGTCCCAGCTGACGAGGCTTCGGGAGACAACGTAACGAGAACGGAGATTTACCAGTCAAAAGCTCAGCGGTGGGAGCAGCTGCCAAGAATTTGGGCTGAACCACGGCAGAATACGAGTCTCGACTCAGTTTGTCTCGGTTATACATCGGCAGAAAATATCCTGCCCAAGCAGCTCGGAAGGAGCCAGCAGTCCAGAGCGCGTGAATGCAGCAGGCAGCACAGCTCGAGAAACAAGGATTGCTGGGGACAAGCTCAGTTCTGAGACTCTGGAAACAGCCGTTCAATGCACAGGCTCTGCGTCTTCCACCAGGACCGTTGCAGGAACGTCATGGGCGAGTCACTTTCGTTGTCAGCGAGCTGACATGTGGCCTCAGAAACCCAATTTGCCAAAGTAGAGCACTGATGGATCAATAAATGAATGAACGAATGGATTAAATCTGAGATGGATCTTGTCGCAGATTTTCAGAAGTCTGTAGTATCTTGCTTCAGCCGTATTTTCTCAGCGAGTAATACTGCCAGCGCTCGAAGGGCCTTGTTGATGTTGCCACGACCCATATCCTGCATTTATGCAGAGAAAGTCAAAGGAGAGGAGAGCTGAGAAGAGGTTGAAGCGGTCGGGGAAAACAGGAAAAGGGGAGCTTTTGTGATTGTGACGAGGGCGCTGCATGCGAGAAGTCAAGGCGTTGGCCGTCGGTCACGACACTTTCCTTGTCAATTTGGAAGGGCGTAGCGACGCCCCTTTGGAAGGTCAAGGCGCCAAAATTGATCTTTTGTCGTAGCGAGCTGTTTGCTGGGGCATCAAAGGCTGTTCAGGCTGCTGAGAGAATTGTGGTTGAAAATATGATAGCTGTTGCCGTAATCGAGGCATTGACCCCAGCATCCATTGCGCTTGTGTCGGCGGTTGAGGTTGTGTCTGGGATTGCGTGTACTGGATATTGGCGTAAGGAGATTGATTTTGAGATATCGGAGGACCCGGAGCTTGAGGCCCTTGCTGCCGCTGTTGGAAAGGGCTGTTTTCGGTGGCTGATTCTGGGCCACAGTACCGAACAGGCCTTGTAGTTGTGTTCGAAGGGTCAAAGACTGGGAGGGTGGTATCCCAAAGCGATTGAGATTCCCCAGAAGCGAGCTTTGTGGAGGTTGCGAAGAGGTCATGGACAATGATGGAGGAGGGTGTCGACAAGGGCGTCGTCTCACGCGATGACTGGGACGCCAGCAAAGTGCATGGCGTAGTTGTCACAATCCACCAAATACCGACCGCCCAGAGCAGGTAAGCGTTACGGCTGCTCGGGGGGCCCTCGGTGCCACAAAATCTACTCCCACGCCCGCACCACATCGCAGAGAGCAATTTCACGCATAGCTCTGTGCATTTTGTGACACTACCCTTACGATAGCGTTGTTTTAGTGTCGAAATTCGGTGGTTGAACTTTTGGCCCCAAAATCGACGGCGTGGACAAAACTAACTTGGTCAATTCGCGTCGGATTCGCGTTCTGATGGTTATCCGACGGAGCGACTGAATGGAGGAGGTCAGTGATATACTCGATGTGCTCGTCTAGGGCGTAGTTAGTGGAAACTCGCGTCGTGCACTACGACCGGATTTGCCAGCGTCGACGGCCCTATCGCGTCGGTATCCGGGCTGGACGCTTCGAAGGTATACTGAGGAGACTGCCCTAAGCGTACCTGAGGAGCTCGGTGTGGTTTTGTTTGTGATTTCAGTACGGGGCGAAGTGTAATCGTGACAAGTCGGTTTTTTAGGACCAAGTTAACCCGTCGCCGATAACGATACCGTCCGCGTAATCTTATATCTTCCTCCATTTTATATGTCTACTGAAGATCATATTCCCTCTTTCTAGCTGCCTACCAGTCGCGAAGTCATAGGCACCAGTGGTGATGGTTATGGATGGGGGTCGAGCTCCAGGTGTGTCGGATCGGCACAGACGAGACCATTTCCCGCCAATCTTCCGCTTAGAAGCCATCTATTTCGGAATTTTCGACTCTCTCGACATGAAGACGTCCATTATATTGCTTATTCAAGTGCTGAATGATGGTATATTGTATCGTTGGACTAGTGACCCGGAGGCATGCCCAGCAAGAGTCGACTGTCCCAGCTGAATTGGCGCTCTTGGCGTGTCCAAAAGACCATTCCTTAACCGGACGAGACGCAAAATTCGTCGCGCTCTCGCTTCCGGACGCAGTATGCTATCGACGTCATCTTCTGGCTGACAGGAGACGGTTTGTCTTGTCGTTGCCACCGACTCATTGTGTACGTAGAATATTTCAAAGATCAGGACCACTCAGCCAGGCAGTAGCCCATTCCTCATCCGAAGGGCCTTCGGACAAATGCCTGGCAAAAGCTGGGAAGTCGCTTTCGCGTCGGGATATATACTCGGGACCAGGAGCCCCAACGGCGGCTGAAAGTATCCAACATCGTGCCAGTTGGAGGCTGCCGTGCGTTGCGCAATTCAGGCCGGGCCAAATGAGCTTTTGGAGGGCGTGTTCACATTCTTCCGCACCGAAGGATGAATGGCCTTTATATCGGTTCCTCACTGGTCCCGACGTCGCCTCGCTCAGCACAACGGTCAAGTCCAAGGCGGCGCCGTGCGCTCGTATTGGTCGGACTTTGTCGCAAACAACTGGAAACCGAAGGCGGGTGTATATCACTGGATGCGTCGTGGTAGACCGAAGGTGTAGCGGCTCCTCTGTCACGGATCGCTGGCCTTTCCGGTGAATCCTGAGAGACTGGAAGCCCCGAAAGGAGGAATAGGTGGTCTCTGACGCATGGTGGAGCTTGAGGGGTCAGAAGAGAAACTCGTCGTTTTCGACCTCTTATGCCCAGAAACCGAGGGTGTATGGACTGACCGACCCGAGGGTCCAGTTCGGCACGCTCGCCGCCACGACCTTGAGGCTGCCCGAGACCTCTGACGCCGACATTCCGCCGTGCAAACAGCAAATTAATCACCGTGGTCGCCCCAAAAGACAACGTTGGGTTCAAGGTCCGGCCGAGGAGGGCGATATGCGGGCGTAGATCATGTTATGTTCGAGAGCGGGATGCTGTTCGAGTCGAGCCCATGCAGCAGCAGCGACAGCATGGCAGTGGTGGCGTGTTCTCCGATTTCTTTGCTTGTGATTGAAAGTCGGAATGGATGCCGGTCCCCTCCGGGTCAGTCAATATTGCCGACGGACATATTGAACAAAGAACCAAGAAGACCAAAGCAGAGTAGAGCTGTTACAGAGGCGATCATCGGCGCTCTCTGTGTCTTTGATCAGCAGTCGTTGTGCAGGTGAGCGTGAGAGCGGCAGCCCGTTTCTTCTGCCTGTTCCCTCCATCACCACAGACTCAGCAGGTCACAGTCATTTTCATCACGGATAGAGGAGTGAAGTCCCATTCTGCCCTCTCTTACTGGGCATGAAGCCAGAAGTCGCGTCTTTGCTCTTGGAATGTCTTTGTGCTTCATAGCTGTCTCCCTTGCTCTCCTGTTGTTGATAAAGGCCGGTGCCGCCAAGCCCTGGAAAGCACGTGACCATTTGACTGGCTGCCTGCGATCTTGACCTCGTCGCAGGCTGGCAACACTGAGATAGACTGACTTCTCTCGACTTCGTCTTCATATCATTTGCGCTGTACTGTGTTCCGTGCTGTGACACGATCATCCACAACACTCCGATGCGGCCATCGTCCATGTTGGACATTGGACATGAAACTGGTTCGGCCGATGTCGTCGTCGACCTGAAGCAGATTTAATTCTCTTTCCATCCTCTCCCACCCCCCCTAGAATGCTCGCCCCCTCACCGAATACCTCAATTCGCATGGGCCATGCTCTCTTTCCGCTACACTCTGCGCTTTGTTTTTCGCAGACCGACCTTTCATGCTGTTAGATATAGATTCCCGTCCAGCAGACAGACAAAACGTAATGAAAGCTCAAAGCGGGATACAAGACAATATATATCTCCTGGCAATCCCTTTGGAAAGGTCCGAATAACAATCTGCTGTGTGGCGACCAAATGGCGAGGGAGAGTCGAGACTTCCAAGGATCAAAAGAAAAGGGCGACGCTGACCCCACCCATCCTGCTTTTGAGGGGGTGCTTGCATGCAAATATGACCTGGACGCGGGTAGCAGGCAGCATGGCATTCTACGCCCTGGGCCAGGCGCCCCCCGAGAACGTCTTGTCTCACCGGGTTGGCTTCGGGGAGAAATGGACAGGTTGAATGAGATTCTTTTACCCCCTTTTCTCTCAGGAAAGACTTCCTCGGCTCGTATGGGCATATTCTTTTGTGCTGCTGCTGCTATGCTCGATTCGTTTTGGGGGGGAATAATGTTGGGTTGTGGAAAAACACAGAAGATAGAGTGCCGGGAGAGGCATCCGACGTACACTCACACAAGCTCCGCAAACATGGTGTTCGATGTAACATATTTAAATAGACCTCGCGACCAAAAGCAAAGGGAGCAAAACCTGGTCGACTGCTTCCCAGATATAGATTGACCATCTTAGATTGTGTGCACACACTTATTTTGATGCCACCTCCATGATGCTCTGGTCTCGGCGTCAAATCCAGTGGAAGAGATAGTGATAGAGAGAGAGAGAGGGTCGGGTTGACCTTGGCGCCGCTCTATGCTGGAAGCTCTCGCGGGCGCCGGAAACACATTTTTCTCTCAAAAAAGATACGAATCTTCTCGCTTCAGACTGACCGCCCACCTGGCCGCCCGTCCTCATATCGGAAGTAGTCAGTCTCCAGGTGAACTGCCGGCTGCCGGACTCATGAAGAACACCAAGGGCGCAATCAGCATGGCGGAATCTAAGGTCATGTTGGACTCGTCACCCTGCACGAAGCTGTTCATGTGGTAGTGAAAGCCCTTTTGCATCACCTCCTCGTAGATGGTGTCTCTCGGCTCGAGCACTTGTTGTGGTTGGGACCGGGGAAATTTCTCTTCTCGGAGAGATGCAGGGCAAAGACGCTATGGAATTAGTCGTATTATCTTGAATGTCGTTACATGGTAGTCAGCGAGACTAAGCGGGCAGTGGGTTGGACTTGGGTTGGTTACTCCGGGTTGGTCTCCGGTCCTTGCAGCCTTCCTCTTACTGAAGCTGACATTCCGCAAAGCGTTGAGAAGGGGCGAATTCTCAACATTGGGCATGCCCACAACCATGAGCCGGGTGCCGAAGAGGGAGGTCTAGGCATTCGAGTGCGCCCGGACAAAGCCAAGGACCCGGTTGACGGCAACCCGGGACCCCAGACACGCCGACCTAACTGGACCGCTCAGGTCAATTAACTTGCCTCTCACATCTAGAAGGTGAACCTTTATGAAATCCCCATCTCGACTGCTCAGGTCACCGAGATCCAGTCTAACTCGCAACGTATGCTCGTGGGCACGATTGCGCTACGTGACGGCACCAAGTACCACAATGTGATACTCTCGCCTGTAGCCAACAAGGAGATTCAGGTAGCTCATTGACTCTTCCAGGTGAAAACGAGGGGGCGCTCAAGTAGGAGGATGCTGAAAACGATGAGGGAGCCATCACAAGCAGTGAAGAGGAGGATGACAAGGACGAAAGTTATCGAATTTGCGATTGACGAGGACGAGGAAGCTGGTGATGACTGGGAAGATTCGACCTCGGACGACGGAAAGGTTAAAAAGTAAATAATAAACTCTACTGGGATTCGAACCATGCTCCTCCTAGTCTATATAGACTAGGACCAAAAAATTCGCATCCCACCGCGGTCCGATGCCACCTCTCCCCTCCTCTCGATGATATGGCGAGACCCCCCGCTACCGGAGATATATATATATAACCCCATGATGGGATGGGCGCAACAAGTGAACACCAGTAATCTCCTTTGGCAACAGCAAGCCATACCATCGATAGGAGGAGGGGGAGGCCCCTCCCACCAACCCGATAGAACATGAACTCTTGTCCCAAATCTCAACTTCGAAGTGTAGCCTCGGGGTCTCGAACTGTTGCACTTGCTTTCGAATTGAGAAATGTTGAAGGAATTTCTGGGGTTAAAAAATATATTTGGAGGGGCTACTCCGCACGAGGCTCCCCACCCCATGCGAGGCTAGGCTCGCCTTTTACCTAAAATACAGCATGAGGTGAGCAGACTACCTCGACCCCAGTCTCTGTCAAGAATGTCTCTATATCCTGACCACGATAATCGCTGGTTCAGGTGAGGCGTAGAAGCGACGACACCGCCAATGGAACGGTGGCGCTGCTCATCGCTGGTCAGATTCAGACAGTTTCTGACCGACAGAAACAAGAACAAGACGACGCAAAAGGGACTTAATTCGAACCGTAGTAGGATCCCTGTGTTAGGGTCAATGCTGACCTGCGAACAGTCGCCGATGAGCACCAGCAAAGATATAAAACTATCTGTATCTATTTTATGCATTCCCCGGGCCACTCCGTCGGCGGTGCTATATCAGTGGGTAATCTTCCTTTATTTGAGCAAATATAAATATAAGCTGCGCAGACCACGTGAATGATATATAGTCTATCCATGGGACGCGCGACCATGATACCACCGAGGCCGTCGAAGACAATGGAAATCAACGACATCGGACTCACCAAACCCAGGCTCAGCCAGACGTGTGGCAGATTGAGGGCGGGGGAATAAATTGTTCAGGCGATGCATTTACAGACAGGATGGGGTGGATAATCGAGCTTTTTGAAGAAAAGGTTGTATGGAAACGTCCCCAATGACAGAGTCTCTCTATTCCGTGGACCGGCTTCAATTTTGGCAGAGAAAAAGCACTTGTTGGAGAAGAAATTCCGAGTGGAGGGAAGGCCATTGGGCCGGATCACGCTTTGGGAATACACTCGTTTCGAAGGAAGAGTCAGCCTGCACGCCGACGTCGTCGATGCCAGACTCGCTGAAACTTCGCGCATAGAGCAAATTTATTTTTCCTTTTTGAGCACGATGATTGGATGTCCGATGGCTCAGTCAAATCAGGGACGGTGCCGGAGCCGCCACCGTCGCGGACATTGAGAACGTAGAAAAGAGATCGCACGAGTTGGGAATTGTGTTCATCTAACAACCACATGCATGGGAAGAGTTGAAACAGATCATTGGTGACTTGAGGGTTGGAAATAGTGCCGTTGTTCTCTCTGTGAGTGCAGATATATTGGCTAGAGTTAAAGGCCTCAATATCGATAGATCAAAGACATCAGATCCTGTCCAGCGAGGCACTGACTGCGGTGATTCTTACCGGCAAACGTGAACGGAGAGCCACGCTTCTGATCAAGGCAAATAACGTCACCTTGGGGATTTCGGGGGGATTTCGGGGATTATTCGGCTTCCGATTCCCGCATCCGCGGACCAACAACCATCCTTCCCATGCCGCCGACCACCAACTTGGCTTCCAGCAACCTCATCTCGACAACATCAACCTGTTCGTTAAGTGGCCTCAATCTTATGTTCTGTGACTTTGAAATCATTGAAGAGCCTCCTTTACCAGTTGTGGAGTTGTGGGAACTGAGAACTGTGAAACTGACAGATTACAGGACTCTGAAGTCCCGCCTGGTCAGTCCGAACCCTTCTCCTCCTCTCCTCGAAACAATCCTCAGCCCTTGAAGGCCCTGCTGGCGTTGGATAGAAAAGATGGAACTGCGGCTTCACAGACCCTGTTCAGACTCGCTGTTAAAGTCGGAGTGGCAAGCCCCTGGGGGCAGTCATTCGTCGTGGTCAGTGGAGCGCAGGTCTCTATGACTGTCAGCAAGACATACCCGTTTGGCTACAGAACCAATACACTTTGTGGGCGGCGATGCTGCTGTTCCTGTTGGACAGCAGGCAATCCCAGCATCACCTGCAGGATCACCTTCAAGACCACCAGAGCCACGTCTGGGACCGAGTGTACGACGAACTCCAGAACGACCTCTAGGCCCATTGATCCCTTGGGAAGACCTTACTCGCTTCACTGGCGCCTTGAGGAGTTTCAATAGGCTCACGCCTCACAGTCTATTTTCTTGACATCGTCCGGAGCGGCAGCTTTGCTGGAAGCTCCGAGCTTGAAGGCAAGAGCAGTGTTCTCTGACGACATAGATCGCGTCAGGTGGGCGACACCCCCTCGGAGGGCTGGTAACGACTGCGTTAAGTAGGGCTTTGCCCTCACGAGATGGGATAGGGACGCAGATCAAAATCTGTACAGAGCACGAGCCTCGACGTACTGCTGCCTCAGGTACATTGGCTGGAGCCAAAAAGTCCCGAATAGTCGGCATCGAAGAGATTTCTCTTGCGAGTACCATGAAAGAACACTATGTTCCCATAGATTCGGGTCTCTGGACGACAAGGATATATGCACCGGCTACTCCGTGTTGGAGTCGATGGTGATGGCCAGTCCTGACGAGAATACCAAATCCCAATCAGCGCAAGTAGCAAAATGCCTCCGCAAATACAATTGAACTCGATAGTCCAGCCTGCTCCTTGAAAAAGAAGTATCTTCTCCGATTGCTCGCTTGCTTGTTCCAGGAGCCCGTGCCGCGGCCTCTGGACGCCAGCTGCAATACAATCCACCAACCTGCATAGAAGACTGGCCTCGAAGCAGCATTGACGGTGGTTGGTCGGCGTAGTTCTCACTGATGCAACGGATCACTGGTGCATCTTTCCTGCTGAAGCGACCCAAATAGCGTCTTCACCTTGCAGATTCGCCCCTTAGCCTCACTGTCCTTACTAAAGGGGTCTCCGACGACGACTTTGGCACGAACTGGAGCGGCCGCCGTAGTACCAATGCGAGAAATAACACAATTCAATTCCAATCAGACTACTTGGGTATCCGCTGGCTACGCAAATGAACCTGCTGAGTAGTTTGGTTGGAGCTTGCCATAACCTCTTGGCCACCATCTCGTATCGTCGGACTTTGTCAAAACTCTCGACCCTGGTGCCCTTTTCCTTGTTCTTCTGCCATGCCCAGTGAGCGGCCGGCGCACTATGTCAGAGTCTCATTAAACTGAAGACCCGGTATGTTGTATCGACCAGAATCACGTGCAGCCTCTCAGACGGCCGGCATGTTGCAAGGGGAGTGGCACAGGGACAAGGGGGTTTAGATTGTTTGCATAGTTTGCACCGTTTTAGCTACCATCCGGTCGCTGCGCCCCTCGGTCATGGAGATATTGAATGTCTCGTTTGTGAATTCACATTCTGCGGGTGCCTACCTTTTCCCAGCAGTATGGAGTCGTTGCCCATATTCAAACATCTTGCCTTGAGGCTGATCCTGAAAAAAGAAACACCGCCACTCTATGCATCGCTCCCTCGACATTGTTGCCGCTGGGAGCTTTGGTGGTGGCCGGACGCTTTGCTTGGTATTCGAGGAGCATGGATGGTAATAGTGATGGATGTGGGAGGGTAAGCCCGGTAAGAGCCTACGAGTTTATGTCCCTGTTGTGAGATTACCTTACTGGTTCTGATTCTGATTTCATGTGACAGGATCCTGGCCTACTTCAATGGAGTTCATGCACTTCCTCAGGACGGCCCCAGCTAATCCTCCCTTCTGAGAAGGTCTTCCTGTTTAGATTGCATGAGATCCCAGTGATATACGGTCAGGGCCACGAAAGAGTCCAGTCCTGCCCTTGAAAGAATCGACTCCTGTACGCGAAAGAGTCGAGTCGCGTCTCGGACACTTCGGCCATCATCTTGATCCTGTGCTTCAACTCTTCAATCGAGGCCTAGGTGTCGGCAAGTACCATGCCATCTTCGAGACATCCCGTCGCAGCCAACGATGGGACCTTTCCCAGAAAAATCAGAGTATCCTGCCCCTGACATCCACACAAGATAGCTGAGCCCATGCCTGTCGACACGGATCCGCCGCGTGACATCAAACGGACGGCCGAGGAAGCAGACTTGCCTCTACAAACAAGGATTCTGCAGCTGGTCGTACCATGCCCGTTGACACAGAGGTCCCCAATCAGGGCGCTGGTGTCACTGCTCTTCACGTCGAATCAGACTGGCCATCAAAACCTCCACCTCCTCACGCATGGCTACTTTCCACGATTGGGGACAGCAGCGACAGAACGATGGAGGATGACCTGGAACTGAGCAGAACAGCACCCTCGGCTTCAATATAACGGACACTGAGGTTTGAACAGAGCGGCGATCTGCGTCAGAATAGTGCTGGCCACGCTGGCGCGGACGTGCTGGTAAGGAGATTGTCAGTATGCTCGGTTACCTACCACGTCCCATTATCGAGACACCCCAATCCGAATTTTATTATCTTTGGAGGTGGCGGTGACTGCCTGCGGAGGAATGCCGGTAGACTCAATAGTGTTAGTCGTGCTAAAGTGGGATATAGACGAGCTGTTCAGCCAGTTGGCAGAGTTGGGGCAAGAAGCACTGGGAGGTCGAAGGAGATGGCTTCGCTCACAACAATCAGAGATCAGCTCCACATTCCTGAGCCTTCTTAGCATATCGAAGATGAAAGGACGGGGGACGACGATTTACGGATGAAATGACACAAAGAGCATCTTGGCTTAGCTGCAGGTCAGAATATGTTATTCCTTCACATGCACCATACTATCGTGGCTCTGCCGCTTCAACATGCTGCCTTGCAGGTTATTACGAGTGCGAGTACGAGTATGACGGTACCAGAGTGTGCTGCCTTCAAGGAAGTCTCCCGGCTGTCTTGCCAATAGGTCGAGAGATATTGAAGGCGGGGATCGGCTGCTGTTAATCCTGGATCGACAAACCCTCCTGACTCACCCGCTCACGATACAATACGGGGTCTAACAGTTCTCCCTCGGCTTCTTCTTCTGTTTCATCGACGCCAGTTTTCTCTCCAAATCGCCCCTCAAAGGCAGCACAGTACACATCAACTTCGTCGACGGGATCCCGCTCGCGTGAAGGCGTGCTGTCTAACGCCTCGGCTTGCACGGCTTCACATCCTTCGCTACGGTCGTGGATGCGAGAACAGTGGAGCGGACCCTCTTCTCTCTCTCTGCGTCTCCTTTGTTGGCGCATCCCTTCATCGACTCCCAGCAGGCCGCAATCATGCGGTGTGCGGATTGCTGACAATTTCAGATCGTGATGACTTTGGCAAGGAGGAGGGTGCAAATATCAAATATAAAATAGTGCCATGGCCTCTTGTTGCCGTTCTTATAACTGCCGACATCGTCAGCAATGGCATGCTCCCTTTGGTAGCAGCGACTGCTGTATTTGGCACTGTCCGGCGTCGTACTGTTCGTCTTTCTCGGTGAGATAGCTACAGGCTCATGGCCATGGAACCTGGGTTGCTCATTTCTGACCACAGCTTACACAGGCGTCTTTGCACCGTATATACCTCTCTCGTTCTGACTGAGTTCAAGATCAACCACCCAGAAGTCCACAATATGGGTGATGTTGATATGACCCTAGGAGGCCCCTTGCTGCGTGCTCCAGATCCTCTTCCACCTTGAGGAAACAAAAGGGCAGACACGACCACGGTCCCGCCACATCGGCCTCACCGTCCCGTGCCACATCTCGGTCCAACAGCTTCTTGCATCCGGTGGCATGATTATCAATATGTATCCCTCCGCCCAAGGCGAGAGCTCGTTTCGAAGACGTTCGCCTCTTCCTACGTGGACGTCTCAATTACAAGCGTGTTAGGTCACCCACTGCGGACAATCATTGAATTGGCAACGACATGTGGACTACGACGACCGTGTTATCGCTAGGGGCGGGTGGACCTTCCTGACAGTCAAGGACTTCCGGAAGGCAGGCGGGCATGGGATGGATTGATTCCCTCACTCCGTGCTGGGACCGACCACTCCTGTCCATGTATAATTGTGTATGTATGTGTGTGTGTGTGTGTATGTGGTGTGTTGCTATCCATTTCCCTTTCCATCCCTTCCCTTCCCTCCCACTTCCCCTTCCCGCGACGCATGATACGGACGAACAAGCCGCGAGCCGAACAACGACGAGCAGAAGAGTGCGTGAGGAGGGAGGGCATGGGATTGACCAGCTCCCTGTCCTCATTGCGACCTGTACGGCTCACATACGACTGTGTGTATGTATGTGTGCGGGTTGCAACCATATGATCACGCTGGATCTGCACGCTTCACAGATTCAAGACCCCTTCAACGTCCCCGTGGATAACCCCTACACTGAGCCCGACAGTGTGAAATGGGTTCGAGAGCCGCTAATGCATGCGATCGGGACGGGAGTGGAGATGAACGGATTCCTGGCAGGAGTGCGTCATTGTGAGCCCCGACGGCAGCGGAGTGAAGGAGCTGGAGAAAGTTCACACGAAACTCAATGAGAATAATTAATCGCGCACGTCCTCCCCCAAATTCCATAGACTCCGAGCCTTGTATCGTTTAGTACTGACAATAAAACCGATACCGGGGAAGAAACACGGGTTCGCACCCTGAGATCCGCTGGCACTCGTTGTAGCTAACTCTGGTTCGCTCCACATGAGTCACCGCCGCAAAAATCTCTGGAAAGAAAGGTCCTCTGCGATCACGTCATATTCTTATTTATTCCGCTCCTAATTACCATTTCCCCCTCGTCGCAACTGCCACTTCCAATTCAGCTTTTTTATCGTCACCCCCGCTTCCAACTCAGCTTTTTCATTCACAGCCCCGTCACCATACCACCCCACCACCACGAGATCAGATCTTCATCAAACTGACTGATTCTTGAGTAATACCCAATACGTCTGTGGCCACTCTCCCTCGAAAACCCCTGCGAGACGAGTTGTGAAACCGCGAAACTGACGGAGTCACAGGCCGCGCAAAACGCTCCCAATCAGACTCGCAGTCATCCCTGGGACTGTCCCGCAGGATCACTCACAGGCTCGTTGAACCTTTCGAAAGACATCACTCGCTTCGCTGGGCGCCTTGAGACGTCACCAACGTGTTCACGCCTCACGTTCTTTCCGCTCCCGTATCGTGATTCTCACATTTTGCTCCAGAAAGATGGACGCGTCACGCAATAGCCGAGACATGCGCGCTGAAAAACGTTCGAAGATGCGAGAGAGTTTGAATTCAGCATTCAACGATCCACTGCAACAGTTTCACACACCATTAGCAATCCGAAACATCAGTGAGTCTATCGACAATAACTCTGCAGAGCTCGAAGGCCGAATTCGAAAGATTTCGGACTCCTCGGACGAGCCTCTTGGTGAAGAACCAAAAACAACATCTTTCTATATCGACGAACGGCAAGCACTGGTTGAAGATCTGGACAACCATCGTCGGGAAGCCCGCAGAGTCGCCCGCGAAGCCCTTGCGGCACTATCACCAGGCAGCAAAAAAAATGAGCTCAAGAGAGCTTTGAAAGAGCTTGACGATACAGACAGCATTATCTTGAGAGAGAGGACTGCGTTAGCTGCCGACCGAATGCGTGTTGAGTATAGTATGCTCAGTCGCCCAGGCAGTGTCAAAATTGGCGAAGCATATATGATGGCGATTACCGACAATCTGCTCGAACCCGCAGGTTCATCGTACAGAAAGAAGCACCAAAGGTCAGGGGCCGATCAAACCTCATTCAAAAATAGGCTTCTCAAAGCCTACAACCCCGAAGGTTCTAAGCTACTTACAGAGTCTCAAGGATCCAAACTAATTTGGTGTCCTGTTTCCGGGAAGGAATTTGGAATGAAGCTCTTGACTGCAGCTCATATTATTCCTTACTCCATTGGCGAGACGAACGCAGCATACCTATTCGGAGTCAAGCCGCACGAAGGGTCTAGGATTATTTGGTCAGAGAAAAATGGTCTCATGATGAACGAAGACCTAGAGAAGATATTCGACGATGGACGAATGGTTATCATGCCCGACCCAACGGACGACAATGAGTTCATCAGTATTATCCTATGTCAAGATCTGAAGAAGGTTCATTGTTGGGCGATCGATGCGCCGTACGGCGCTCTCCATAGGCGACGGCTTGAGTTTCGGACGCCCGCACGGCCCGGAAAAGGATTCCTCTATGTGCACGCATTACTTACGCTATTTCGCCGGCGTCGATACAATGTGCCTGGATGGGAGAAGGACCGAGCAGAAGTATTTCATGGTCAAATATGGGCAACACCAAAAAAATGGGCTCGTAAGAGTATGATCGAAGTCCTGGCTTTGGAAGTCGGAGATAGTTGGGAAGGTATAAAGGAAGTGGAGGCGGGCCTTGGAAACTTTCCTAATGCAGCGCCACCTGAGGAGGAGAAGAGGATGGCTCAGTGGATAAAGTATGCGTTGGAGGCTCGAGCCAGTCATGTCGACAAGGACGATGAAGATGGGCTTGAAGATGATGATGAAGATGATGAATGAGGTGGAACCCTCAAGTCCCGAGGTATTTCGTTGTGGTTGGATGGGAAGACATACACAACATGCCCTGAATAGATTTCCCGGCAGAGAACACAGACCTCTCGGTGCTGCCGACCACCGCCTCTTCGGAGAGGAGAGGAGTTTCAACAGCGGCGCAAAACTGCTCCGACAGCCAATGCGAACACCAAGGTACCGCCCCTGGGGACCAGTGAAGCCGCTGGACATTATCGTCATCACCGACGGCGTGCCCTCGGACGAGATCGAGAGCGCCATCGTCCACGCCGCCCGCAAGCTCGACACCCTGTCCGCCGAGCGCTGGAAGGTGGGAATTCAATTCTTCCAGGTCGGCCGCGAGCCCGAGGCCCGGGACATGCTCTGCGAACTGGACGACGCATGGGAGGTTTCCCAGATAGCACCAGACGGATGAAACGTCGTCGATGTTGGACTGTCGCTTCTGAGCGGGGACAAGAGGACAACAGGCGGGGGCATGCTGCTGCTGCTGCTGCCTCTGCTACTGATACTGATGGCTGTGACGGCGACGACGACGGAGAAGTCCCGTTCATTCGTTTGTTCGTTAGTGGAAAAAAGACGTACATACTCACTCCTCCCCTTGCTCCCCTTTCCGCGGCCGGCGGGCCATGCGAAGACGTCCTTGCCTTGGCTTGATTTGCTCTCCTTGCTCTGTTTGGTTTCCTGTTCTCTTCTCTCTCCTTTCTTCTCGAACTCGTTGGTGGCGTGGCACTCGACCCTACCCTTTCCTTATTTTCGTCGTTCTCCTTGTCCTTGTCGCTGTTCGTGTTGTCATGTCATGTCCATTTCATCGCTGGCTGGCTGGCTGGTGCTGGCGCTGGTGCATCTACTTTTGCATCCGCTTCTTCTGCATCCACTACTTCTGCTTCGGCTTCTGCTTCTGCGTCTGCTGTACCATTTCCAGACGACATCCGTCCTCGCGTGCTTGCCCATGGCCGAACTCCCTAGACCGTACAGGACTCGAATACACAAGGCGAGAGAGATGCCTCCTCGACCTACCACCCCGCCCCCCTCCTCCCTCCTTCTCTGCACCTCCCTGTTTTCCCAGGACCGTCAGCTATCTGGGCACTCCCGCATGTTCCCCCAGCCTCTCCTCGGGGACCATATCCTCGTACATAGCGTTCTACACACGTCCGCACACGCTAACGGGTCGAAAGCGGTCCAGGTGCTCGGGAAGAAGGGGGGGAAGCGCGTCCCGGTACGACAAAACACACTCCCACGCCCGCACAACATCCCAGAAAGCAGTTTCGCGCATAGTCCCGTGCGCCTTACGTCACGCCTATTATGACACGGCGTCTTACACAAGTCCCCACGTGCTAATTGACCGAAACCTACCCCGGTGCACGGGGCACCCCCGACGCGACAAAGTCCATTCCTATACCCGCACCACGCTCCGGAGCGCAATCTTTCGTATAGCTCTGTGCATTTTGCGACACGCTGGTCACGATAGCGTTACTCCCGTGTCGAAATTCGGTGGTTAAACTTTTGGACCCCAAGTCGACGGGGGTGGGAAAAATCAACTTCGTCAATTCGCGTCCGATTTGCATTCTGACTGTTGTCCGACATAGCGATAGGACGGGAAAGCTTAACGTGATGCTCAGTTTTTGTGTCCGTGGCGTAGTTAGTTGACAATCGGGTTGTCCGCTACGGCCGGATTTGCCAGCGTCGACGGCTATATAGCGTCTATATCCGGACTGAGACCTTTATAAATATACTCAGGAGATAGACCATAGAGTGCCCAGGGAGCTCAATACTATATAATTTAATATATCTGTATAGAGCGTAGTGTGATCGCGAAAAACCGTTCTCTTTTTGGTACCGTTTTGGATAGGCGCTGAAAACGATCCCGTCCGCGTAATCCTATATGCCCTTCCGTTTCATATACCTACTGAAGATCGTCTTCTCTTTCTGTAGCTACCTGCCGCACGAGAAGTCGTGGGCATTTTCGGTCGTAGTTTTAGATAGGGGTCGAGCTCCGGGTATGTCGGATCGGCACAAAGCGCGGTCATTTCCCGTAACTTTTCCGCTCAGAAGCAGCCCCTTTCAATATTCTCGACTGTCCAGACGTGGACGTCGCCGTTATATTGCGTGTTCCAGTGCTAAATCGCGCTGTAATGTATCGACGGAGCAGTGGCGCGGAAATATGGCGAGTCAAAGTCGACTTTCCTAGCTTATTCGGGGGTCTTGGCGTGTGCATAAGAGCATTCCTTGCCCGGACGAGACGTAAGCTTCGAGCGTGCGATAGCACGGGACTCAGGAAGGTCCCGGTAATGCAGGAAAACGTGCACTATGGTAGAGCGCGGCGAAAATGTCGTGAAATGCCCCGATAGTACTCCCGCACGGCGTTGGACGATCACGTGACATGTAGTAGAACGTCCAGCGCCGACGACACTTCAGCTTTAGAACGTATGTGGAGGAGATCTGCTTCAAAAGCCTCAGTAAACAAGTGTAAAGAGAGTGCATGAATTGCGCTGCGAATGCACCTTGTGAGACTGGAAGGAATCTTCGGCGCCCGGTCTGACCTGTCCCGATCCCGTTGGCGAAGGAGTCCGGACGACGATCCAAGGAGGTTCGCAACTGTGATTCAAATGGTTAATAGGCGCAAGATAGACACAGTTGGCAGCCGGAACGCAAGCCCAGTCGGGCGGTTGACATCTTGATATAGAGAGGAGAGAAAGATTAAAGGTCAGATCATGTGTTTGTGCATGCAACGGTCTGTGCCAGCGCCAGGGCAGCGAGAAAAGTAAGTCGAGCAGTCTGAAAATTTCACCCATTCGAACGAAGATTCCACGGCATCGCAGTCCGCAGCTGGGCTGCCCGAGGAGAGTCTTGAGGCATTAGTGGCTGGAATTAACGAGCACGGTCAGCATTGTTGCTCCAACATTCCGACTCCAATGGCTCCGTGCAACGTGGAAGTACTGACTGCGACTTGAGTCGAGCCTTGGTGGAAACGGTTACCCGGACGATGCTCGAGTTGAACTGCCTCGCCGCGCCTTTCTGGCGCGGTGACTCCTGACGGTGATGGGGGGTGCGTTGACACAGTGGAAGCCTCCAATCGGCTTTCTCACTGGAACTCTCGATCATTTCCGGGGTTGCACATTGCCATAGCGATTGCGACTGATGACGGACGAAGAGCCGCCGTCCCGGACGGAGACGTGTGTGGCTTCTGCGAGGGATGCCGAAGGTGGTATCTCTGCTGCCACTCCAAATGCTGGAATGCCAATGCAATATTTATTGCCCTGCTAGTCTGACACCGGCATTTTCAGGGAGACTGCCTACTGCTTCGGGGTTTGCTTAGGCAGGTGGGAATCGTGAGGTTTAGCTTGGCCACTGGAAGCCGGTCAACCACATCTCTTGGGACCGTTGCCTCTTGATAGAACCCTACGGCAGAGTGCTCAGGAACAAAGATTGCGGCATGATGGAGGTGAACTCGGCGATTGTTGGGACATCGGGGAAGTGAGATGAGCTGGTTTTACCGGCAATAGTGAACGGACGGCCACGCTTCTGATAAATGCAGATAACGAGACTTTTGGGGATTTTGGGAGATTTTCGGGGAACTTTCGGGGGATTATTTGGCTCCCGAATTCCTGCGTCCGCGCACTGACAATGACTCACTCATTGCATGCCGCCGCCTCCAACTTAACTTTCAACAACTTCATCTCAACACCATCAACTTGTTCGTCAAATGGCCTTAACCTTATCACTCTTTGGCGTTGAAATCATCTGTTAACAGTCTCCCCTACAAGTTGCCGAATTGTGAAACTCACAGATTGCAGGATCCTGAAATCGCACCTCGTCAGCCGGCACCCTTCTCGATTGCTCCGATCTATCTCTCTCCTCCCTCTCTCTCAGCTCTTGAAGACCTGCTGGCGTTGGATAGAAAAGGTGGAACTGTGGCATCACAGACCCGAATCAGCCTCGCAGTCAAGGTCGGGTGGCAAGACCCAGAGACAGCCATTTGTCGCATTCAGTCGAGCGCAGGCCGGGTGTCCGTCGTTATTAGCAAACTACACCTGCTTGGCTACAATACCTACACACTCCGTGGGCGGCGATGGCGACGTTCCTGAAAGTGATCCTGCAAACAATCCTCCTGGTGGTCCTGGAGATGATCCTCCGGGTGATCCTACAGTTGATCCTAGGGTGGTATTGAAGGTGATCTTGCAGCTAGCCCTCCGGGTGCCCATCGAGGTGATCGTGTAGGTGATTCTACGTCCTTGAGGTGGCCCCGGTGATAGCGCTGCAGGTGATTCTGCACCCTTGAGATGGCTCTGAAGGTGGCCCCGTTGGCGGCCATGCAGGTTATCGTCTCTCGAAGCTCTCTCCTCGACGCAATTTTCAACCTTTGAAGGCCTTGGTGGCATTGGATAGAAAAGGTAGAACTGTGGCAATACAGACCTTAGGAGTTTCTCCGCAAGTGATCCTACATCCTGGAGGTGGTCCTGGGGTGGTCGTCTCTCCTCGAAGCTCTCTCCTTGACGCTCCCCCCTCGACGCAATCCTCAGCCCTTGAAGGCCTTGCTGGCGTTGGAAAAAAAATTGGGGGAACGGTGGCGTTACAGACCCAGTCCAGATTCACACCTAAAGTCGGCGGCAAGACTCAGTGGGTAGTCAATCGTCATGGTCAGTCAGGCGTAGTCTCCACGAGTGCCAGCAAGACATACCTGCTTGGCTACAATGCAATACACTACGTGGACGGCAACAGTGACGTTCCTGGTGCCCAGGATGCTATCCCCTGGACCGCCTATGGGGCCACCTCAAAGATCACTGCAGGACCATCTCGAGGGTCACAGCCAGGGCAACGTTTGGGACCGCGTGTAGGACAACCTCCAGAGCAACCTCGAGGCCCATTGTACCCTTGGAAAGTCTCTCCTCGGTTCGCCAACGCCTTGAGAAGTCCCAATGCGCTCACCCCTCACAGTCTATTTGCAATGAAATGGTCTGGACCAACCTTGCTTGTTTCTGTCTCAAGTTATTCAAATGACCACATCCCACCGCGAGTGGCTCCGCGGCTCAATCCGGTCTTCCCGTCGGCATCTGCTCCGAATGTCAGAGAACTGTGAACGAGACGAAGGTGAGATTTCTGTGGTTTGAGGGCTGGTACACCTGCCATACCTCTGGACGAGATGAGCCCAGATTTTGAATCTCGACACTATTTCCGACAGGGAAACAGCAAGCACGCGATCCGTCCCCATTTTCTGGAAGACAAAGGCGATTTGCAACTCAGAAATCGTGCTCGCGCTTTGCGCGCAGCAACGGAGAGACTCAGGATAGACAAATTGGTCTGTCTAGTAAATTGCGGGCTGATCGAATGGCAAATCCCTCAAATCTGGAGTGCTGGAAACTCGGTTCCCCGTGACGCCGCCTCCTGAATTCGCTTTCTCGGCCTCACCGTCTATCAGAACGTCAAAGCCTTTTTTTGCCGTCGTCTGCCTCGCCGTCCTCAAGCGCGAACGGAATACGACCGATAACGCGAAGACGAAAGAGAAGATGGCGGACTTTCGACGCCATCTATTTCGACACCTTTACCGAGTCATACAGCGCCTCCAGCGATTTCTTTTCGGGCTGAGAGATTTCAAGATCAACATACCATACGAAGCAAGTGTTCGGTTGCTCGGCAGCAAATGGTTCGCAGCATCCTCGGAATGACCTTCGAATTTCAGCCGGCTGTCATTGAGGAAGAACGTGAAAGGCCGCTCTGAGACAGGGGTCTTCCGAGCTGGACCACGTCGACGCGCCGCAAATTCACGGTCTCGAACGACCATCCAGCGAGAGTACGAAATTCCTGATGTCCAATGACTCGATGCGTTGCAACATTTCGTTTGGATGTTTGTCCTCTTTACACTTTGCGATACTAGAACCTGTGCGTTCGATCGGATGGTCAGCTTGTGGAGCGGCCCTTCCGTCGCGAGCTTCCCACTCCCGTCAAGTTCAGAGCGGCCATCATAGACGCGTCCAAGAGGGGGCTCTCAGCTCACGAAGGAGAATCACACAACCGGCCACCGAGTTCCATCACGTCTGCGAACGTCTCCGTGTCGACTCGGACTGCCGCCCTTGCAACAACTTGCATCTTGCTGCTGTACCTGCATCGGCGTCGGAAAAGCCTTCTGACGGCCTCATTGTGTCCGATTCTTGAAACATGCAAACTCTACATCAAGGCAGCGATGAACACCGCTGAAACTGACAAGAAGAAGCGCAAGAGCGAGGCCAAAGTTGAAAACGAGCAGGTAGAGATTCGGACTCGAAATCATTTTCATGAGGCCGGTCCTCTGTCGACTGGGCATTGTCCGCAGCCTCCTGCTCCTTTTGGTTTTCTGTCCGAATGTGGCAATAAAGGCCCGCCCGACAGCCTTCTGCTCGATATCTGGACCCCGTGCGCGATGCTCTATTTGAGAGAAGGAAAGGGCATTTGGCCAACCTCCACAGACAAGCTCTGCATTCGGCCAGTCGCCTCAGCCGTCTTCTGGGTTTGTTCCGCAAGCATTTGGCTCGTCAGCCTTTGGGTCGAACTCCCATGGCTTCAAAGTCTGGTTCTTGAGAGGCGCCATTGAGAATCCGCGAGTGTGCCGGTGTGGCTGGCTCCAAGGTGCGACTGGTGGTCGGACTCTGTAGTTCGGACTACTTGTGGAAGTTTTCATGAGATTTCCTGTCGAAGTCTGCAGCCTCAACCTAAACCGACACCGGTTCAACGCTCAACAGATACTCTCTGGCCTTTTGACTCACTACCATCTCTGAAAGATGTGCCGTGCCGTGAAACTCCAGTGGTTTTCAAGGAAAGCCGAACTAATCGTCCCAGTCCCTTCGGGACTTGGCCGATTCAACTTGCCGATTCCAACACGCTCCCCAATGTGCTAATTCAACTTGACCTCCTCGAGGGAGATAGCGGCAACTTGGTCCACTCTACGCTCAAAACCTATTCGGAAGGTACCAGTCAGAGCCAAGGCGGAACAAGAGGAAGAGGAAGTATTTTGCTGTTCCGTCCATGCAGCTGAAAGGGGGAAGTGGGAAATGCCGTTCCCGCCACAAAAGCACTGCTGCCACCCACACCGGCCGACGGCAAGCCCGCTGCCGACGTCAGGCACACGCAAAAGATCCTGTCATTCTGGCGGTATTATTGGAGTTACAGGCAGTCTCATTTCCAAGTCGCAAAACAAAAGCAGACCTTTTGAGTTTCGAGTCTCACCTTGACGATCTATTATCGCCCGACAATCTCCCTAACGAGGGCTCGCCGACGTTCTCAAACAGATGCAGCGAAAGAAAGCAGGGTCTTAGCGCAAGGCATCCTTCACCAACTTCTGAGCATACGGGCAGGCAAAAGAATTGATTCGGGAAAGGGAGAAACATGAAGACCAGTTGGTTGAATATTTCCGTGAATGATTCGTCTTCTGCTCAACCACTTCCATCCCATCCAATTCATTACAGACAAGCCTCCACAGAGGCTCAATAGTGAAAGGCGAACGAGAGCCGTGGCCGACAACGTCACGGACAATAGGGCCGCCGACGATGATTTCATCAACCCTTTTAAAATTTACGGTACTTTTGGTGTTGGTAGACAATCTGCCACTTTTGCCACAGTTGAGGACATCCCGACGCTTTGGAATGTCGACAGACGTGGACTTGCCGTTGAGAGCATTTCTGAGAGTCGAAACAGCGAAACGCAAAGCCATGCATTCTTTTCTGCTGCGGCGACTGGAATCACGTCGCGGTATTTGCGCTTGAGGGCCGAGCACGTGACAATGACCGAGTTGGAACCATCTTGGATGAGATGGTTAGCGCTGATGCTCGTTTCATGAACGACGAAAGGGACGCTTGCGATTCGCAACTCTCAGCACGCAGAAGTCCCAAGGCCGCAAGAGACGACCGCGAATATCACCATTGCTTGCACTCCATTCCTTCTTGCCATCGTCGATACAAATTGCCCTTGGTCGCACTGGCAACGGCAACGGCGACGGCAACGGGAACCTCTCTGCCAGTCGACTCCACTCTGCCAAACGACGGCTACAACCGCGCTGATTTCTCCCAAATCTTGCATCGAAGGACTTTTCATCGTCTCCAGATTCGGAGTCAGAGAGATTGGTGAGTTGCGCGATGATTGATTTTCGTCGTCGGCAACATCACTACCAGCAATACTCCGTATCATTGAACCTTTTGGCAAGAAATGCTTCAAGGATCCTTTGTCGCCTGCAGGAAGGAGTCCTGGGTAACTTCAACCTGTCGGGATTGCTGGTCATGCAATAGGAGGGAAGTTCGAAGCAATCTTTGGGTCTTGTCCCTCCAAAATACCCGGGCTCACCGCCAAAATGGTCTCAAAGTGACTCTCGCTTCGACGCATACAGATCAGCGCCTTGACAGACTGTGATAGAAGTTCCTTTTTTCTGCACCTGTCATGCGCAGTTGCTTGGCTTGGTTGCGTTGGGCCAGGGAAAGAAACTGCGACAAAAACTAAAAAGCACCCAAGGTAGTTGGCCGTGAGGGCGTGGCTCTTGCGTAAAACATAATGTGGCTTCACCTTGGGCGAGTCCATTGCCGTTGTCGGCAGCGATGCTGAGTGTCTAGACCACGTCGCCGTTCGACGGCCATTGACCTGGAGGGCTCTCTCCGATGGCAAATCCCACAATCCATTCTCTCCCACTCCCATGCGCTTCACCTCGAGCTGCAGCGGAATTGGCTGCAGCGCTAGCACTTGCACTTGCGCTGAACACACTTCGCAGGGCACCAACCGCGATTGGTATTCTGAATCGCTCTGCACCATCACGGCTTGGCATGGCTTTTGATGCGGTCACCTTCGAATTCGTGATCGCCATCATCGAGATCACGAAGATTCCGCCTTCCGGCGAAGCTTCAGTCTAACAGGGCACCATCAGGGCAGTGGCGTCATTTCCCGTCCGACAGCTGGTTTCTGGTCAGTCGGCTTGGGTAGCCGTGAGATGGACGATAACTGGTAGAGTCGGGCATCTTTCCCCATAAATCCCAATGCTCGAGGCCCAGAGTCGAGTAATTTTTCAGAAGGGGGAAATAGCCGCCCGAAGGTCCTCTGAAATGTCAGCTCCGTCCGCAATTCGGTGGTGCTCGAGCCAGAATGTTGAAGAACAGCCCAACCATGGAAAGACAGCATTCAAGTCTTGTCTATCAGCACGGAGTCGGACGGCACAGTGATTGAGATAAAGGCGTGCAAATTGCAAGTTCTGGACGGCTGTAGCGCTCGCAGCCGACTTCTGGCTCGAGTGCATCATCAGGAATTGAGATGTGGATTGGACGTCCTTCACGCTCGAGTGCAATAAATGAACGAACCACGGTATGATTTGTTTTTGACCAGCATTCAGACATCTGCTCATATTTGCTGTACACTACTCTGACAAGTCCCCAAGTACGCTCCGTCAGATGCTGGTGAAGTTGGGAATGGAATTGACGGAGACATGTTCTTCCCGCCCGAGACCGCCAACTCCAGCGACGCCGACGGCATGCCGCTGAGTTACCCTAACCCTTGCAGCAGTTTTCTGCGAAGGCAATTGCAAGAATCAAAAGTTGAGCGCTCACGTCCAGGCCAATCGGCGAGAAAGGTGCTTTGTCGGAATGTGTGAGGCGGCAAAAATGTGGCGCGGCAGGTTTGAGTCGCCATTCATGGGCTTGGTATCACGTGCAGGTATGGCTTTGCCTTGTCCGAGCACGTCTGACACGACGTGAGACTCGTCAGCCCATTTATTGAACTGAGAGATCTTCCTCCGCAGAGGCCCTCTCCTCCGCCCTTCCTCTCGAGCTACGGTGGCGTAGGAGGATGCTTCTTCCCACGGCTTGCGCGTCCCTCCCCACGATGCTGCTCCGTCGTCAGCGTCGAGATGGCGAATCCGTTGTTGCGGCAGATGAAAATCACGGGGCAATCGCGGACGGCAGCGAGATTGAGAGCACCCTTTCCCACTCGACGACCTTGTCCCGAGTTGAGACTCAAGGATTGACTCTCACTCTCGACCATACCGCAGGTGGCGGGGTCAGCACCGGCATGTTCGTGGTCATAGTGCTCGGCGTGGCCTCGGGCATCGGCGGCCTGATCGGAACGCGGTGTACGTCTGGTGCCGCCAACGCCCAGAAGCCGTCGAGTTTAGAGCAGGTGTATGACTGGGTGGTGTCGGAATCATCACTCGCTGCGCTGCACGGAATGAGCGTGATGGAAGATATCAGTATGACGGTAAGTGAAGTCCGCTACAATACCCTCCAAGCAATGACTCTTTGTGCAGTAGCGCTCTGTCTCGGATCTGCCAGTGTTCTTCTTACATCCATGCAAGAGTCAAGGCGCCCCGTCAGCTTTCAAACCCAAGTCTCTCACCGCGGAGGAATACCTGATTCTTTGGTTGGGCTTGGTTGGGTCTGTCGTGGGCCTGTATATTCCTGGTAAGCTGCTGAGCAACTGGGACAGAAGCACGCTCTGGTGCTCGGTGCCTCAGCATCGTGGCAGGACGCTCGCGAGATCGAGGATGATGACAGTTATATCCCCCTGAAAGGTATGAAGCACACAATGGACGGGAAAGACTCCATGCTCGCAACTTTTGGTACACTCACCCAGAGTCGGGAGACTATCAATTTGTTCATGAAAGTTGTCTTGCACAACCAGCCGTGGCGATATGATCCCTCTCTCATGGTAAAGAAATGGACCCCTGAACAACCCACTCCACCTCTCAAGGTCGCTATTGAATGGTCAAATAGGGCAGTCAAGCCTCATTATCCCATGATCCGGGCCTTGAAGATGGTTGCCGAAGCATGTAAAGCTGTGGCTGGTCTGGCATCTGCGGCCGTGATTTTGAGAACGAATGTTGCTTCATGGTGATTTTCAAGATCGAGCGTGGGGCGGCCGATGTCGACATCAAGGCGGTCGCCACTTTGGACGGCGCGGACTTTGCAAACGTGTTCGACGGCTGTGGCTTCCACCCCAGACTACCTTTGGTGGCACTCATCTTGCACAAGGGCTCGTTTTACCAGTGCGCCACGCTCTGGAGCTTTGCCAGTCCGAGTTCAGTCCAAAACTTGAACGTCAACCACGGACGCTGTCAGACGACCAGAGGAACGCCGGTGCAACCAACACCCACATGCAGGCAGATTGCAGCTCCGTTGCCCGAGTCTGGTTTTCGGATTGCGGCACCCAATGGCAAGTCGAACTCACCCCCGACTTCCACAAAGGCGAGCATACATGAATATGGATATGAACATAGACATTGACATGGAGATGAATGACGATATGATCGATGGACGAATGGATAAATGGATAGATAGGTGCACAGAAGGACAACAATCCCTCATCGGCGGCGAGGAATGAGAGAAAAACACCGAACAGGGGGAACGAGCTGGCTTTCTGGTATAATTGCCTCCTCATCCTGGTTGACACAATAGCCATTGATTCATACGTCCATCCACTACACAGTCCTGAGTAACGACCTAGTATGTACGGTGCATCGATATGGAGGATAACAATTAATAAATACTGCTTAGCCCTCGTTGTCGTCGTCGTTGTCGTCGTCGTCGCCAATGTGGCGCATGCCTCCTTGGCAGGGTGTATCGTCTCAATACCAGCAAAGGTCTCGTTGGCATCGACGGCGTTTCCCTTTTCCTCCTCGGCCTTCGTCCGATCCAGACTTGATATTGGCGACGTCAAGGTCTTCCTGACTCGCCTTCCGATATATCTGTAGGAACGAAGTCTTCTTTAGGCATGGTCGAATCTAGCAAGATCAGCGATCTGCGTTCGATAACGCAACTTAAAGGACGAAAAACAAGTAAGACTAAGTGGCTGAAGGACATGGCTTGAGTGCGGGATGAGGAAATACACAACGATGTTATTCTGATGGCATTTCCATCTACAGAAGTTCCCAATATAGTCTAGCTAGATTTGAGCGATATTGAGCTATGCCGTCTACGGACAATTCCCAATATGGTCTAGCTGGATGTGAGCGATATTGAGCTATACCGCCCACAGAAAATTCCCAATGTGGTCTAGCTGGATTTGTTCCAGCAACCAATGTAACGCCGTAGTTTTCCAAATTCGGGTTAGATTAGTTTCGCTCACTGACGAGGCCTGGATACTATAATCAGGTCATTGAAGTGAGTACGCTATCCCGTGGGACCGGGACCGACGTGGTAATAGTCGACGAGACGCTGTTTTGGTTTAGAGACCAGTCTTCGGTCGTTTTGTACACCAGAGCAGACAAGCAGGATTCTGTTAGTGTCGGTTAGCTATGGATTGTTTGAGTCATCTCACACAAGTGTGATTTCGACATCGACATTGACGTGGAATACATGTCGGACCGCGATCACTTGACAGCGAAAGACGGTTAGCCCACAGCGTAGGGCAAGGAGAGAACAACGCCCCTTCCAATACTGTTTGGTTTTGGGAAGATTTATATAATATCTAATGCGTGAAGGAGGCCCGATCATCGTCGAAACACAGACGGGTGGCCGGTGGACGGGGACATCAGACGGAAAGACAGCCAACTTCATGGTGATCTCCTGGCCAATGTCCCCTGGAATGGAAACTCATTGGGAATGGGGAGGAAAATGAAAGACGAAATAGGTAGCAGCGCTGCAGCCAGTCCTCCTCAAGTATACTGCTGCCAGCATTTCAGCAATTAAAAGATGAATGATGACATGGCGAGCACACCGCCGTTGGCACAAGCCGGAGATGCCACCGGCCTCATTTTGGTTCTTCCGCTGGCGGACTTCCTCCCACGGTGGACCTTCACCATTACCTTGTTGGTCTTGTCGATGGCGTTTTGGTAGGTTGGCCGATTGGCATTCGTGCTCTGAGAGGTGGCTGACCTGTTTGCAGGATTGGCTCTGCGTGACCACGGATATCTCTGTCATCCTGGTATTCACTTATCTTTCCGCTCTCTTCACAAGTATCACCCAAGTCATGCTCCCCCTAGTAGCTGAGCTGTCCCACCCGGAGAAAAGAACATTCAATATCTCTATTGTGTCCGCTGGCCCGACCCTTTCCATTCCGCTGGCACGTTATTTGTCGGGGATCGTCGCAACCTATACGTCCTGGGTGGATTGGTTGAATCCGCAGCAACAGCGACTGTGTGAAGGCCAACGAAACCACGAGACCAGCCACCTCGCGCCCTTGAGCCCTTCTGGAATCTAGTTGATGTTTCTCCTTTGCCCCCGCTCCCCTCGCTCCCTCTCCCTTCCCTTTGTCGTAGAAAGGGTTTTCGATCGGAGCAGTGCGTGACTGTGACTGTGACTGTGATTATGATTGTGACTCGTGAGGCTCAACAATGGCCCAGATGGTGGCTGCGGGCGTTGTAAGCAGTGATGAGTTTCGGCATGAAGTAGTGCAGGTGAGATGTCGGGACTCGGGTGAGCTCGCAACGACCGAACAGCAGAATCGGACCTGCTTGTGCCAGTTGTCGGAGCGGTTGTTGGGGGTCCAGTACGGCGAAAGCCATCGGCAACAGTGCTGACAAGCGTCTTCGGGTCTTTCTCGTCCACCCACAACTGGTCAAGCTTGGTGTAGTTCAGGATCAGCACGATTTTGTACGAAAGCAGTTTCCCCGAGGTCGAGTCACGAGCGTCAATATAGTCAACGGCCACTTTGATCATTTCTTCTTGGCTGAAGGCTGGCAGCAGATCGGGAAGCCAGTCGTGGAACTTCCTGTCCTTTAACGTGTCCCCCAACACCAACCCCAACCCCAACGTGGAATTCAACGACCGGATAAGTAAAAACACAAAATTTCTTGTCAGAAAGGAGTAAGACACGTGTCCGGGCAAGGGATGAACTGTTGGATCAGCCTCTCCACGCGCATGCATTGCGGATAGGACGGAGGAGGGCGTCGTGGGTGGGCTTGTGTGGATTATGGAGTACAAGAGGAGAAGCAAGAGGAAGAAGAGGAGAGAGAACACGGCTGCAGACACGTTTGTCACTTCCTCATATGTACCTCAGTCAGTAGACCTTTCCCCTTCATTGCTTGGTGACCTACTTCCTCAGACCACTTGGTCAAACGTCACCTGGAATGGGCTGGCGGAGACGAATCTTCCAACACTCTCGCGTGGGTGCTCCAGTGCCCACTTGACCGCCTCACCGTAGTTGCTCAGGGGAACCAGCGGCATGAAGGATTCCTTGTGCAGCGGCAATTTGAACCCGTGTCCGTCGTCGTGCGGGACGGGTTTCAAAAATCAATTCAATATCTCGGCATACACTCCGCCGGTGATGATCAACTAGGCGAGCCGGTCTAAGAGCTGTGCTGTGAGACAGCCCGTCAGCCGTCCCGCCACCACATTGTGACTGTTGCGATACTCTTCGGCGAAGCCATGGGTTTGAGTCCTGCCTGGACAAGACCTTCCGGAAATTCCCCGACCGCGTTATGAGAGAGGATGAGGATGGGATGCTTGGCGCGACGGGCCAGCAGAGGCGCGACGTCCGCTCTGAAGAGATTCGAACCCGACAAAGAGAGAGGTGAGCGCACAACCGGTACCAGGCTAAGCTGGAGAAGTGGCCAACAGCCAAAAACACGACAGGGTCGAAGGTGCAGAGATCAGAAAATCTGATTCCCACGTCTTTCTTCTCCAGTGTGCCCTTGAAGATATACAATATGTTGTCCTGCACAGTGAGCTGCGCGTTGAAGCGGGGTTGGCCGCTCAGGCTCAGGCTCTTCCGCGTCCTTGATGTCGAGGTCGATATCCTCAGCGCCCGATATTGAGCCTTCCGCCTCGAAAGCTGCCACGTTGGGGAGCAGCTCTTCCTCATCCGCTTTTCTCCGATCACGACCTCCCCGAGCTGCACTTGGGGGTTTGCTTTTGGGATCCTCAGCAACAGCGGAAAAAATCGATTTCGATCAACGTCCCAGATGAACAGAAAGAACTCGCTGTCGATGCCCTCCTCGCTCTCTAAATCAGATACCGCGCCCTTTGTAAAAAGACATCGTTACACTGGCACGGGGTGGATTTGGGGCTTTTGCCGGCCGCTTGCGTCGTTACCAGCGGAGTGACGGAGGAGTACCGCTCGTGGCTTCTCAGCCTTTGGGAGCGACACGGATTGAATCAATTCAACCCTGGAGTTGGGCAATCTCGACCGATTGACCCTGGTGTCCTATCCACAGCACCGGACTGGGGGTGTAAGAAACTGAACGACGAGCGAGGGTCAGGTGTCTGAGCTGCAGGCGGGAGTTTCGTCTCATGCCATATATCCTCCCGGCAGTTATAGATCCGCGTGTCATTCAAATACTTCGTCTGTTGCGAGGTATGTTGAAAGCCAGCGAAAGAACGATATAGTTCCTGAAATATGTCATTCAGTGACCGCTTTAGTCTTTGTTCTCGACAAATCGTTCGTGATATCTTCGAAGTCGTCTTTTTCCAAAGGCACAGGAGTAGAGGGACCCTCCCCCGAATCGTCCTCGACGGCTTCTTCGATTGCCACGGCGGCTTTTGTCGACACTCGAGTCAGATTTAGACGACTGTCGGGACCAGCAAGTGCATCCACTGTGTTTCTGCGCAGTGCTCGATAGTACGGTGTTTTGTTCCACCAGCACCTAAATCCCAACGATCCCACCTAGGGATCCAGTACCACAAAGCCAGACGGTAAGCCGCTCTGATCCCCCGCTGGATCGATCAGAAGTAGTGTGGCCGAGGAAAGCTGCATTCGGATGGGTTCTGCATTTTTGAACAAGCGAAGGTGCCGGTTCCCATTGGAGCACACAACCCGAACAAAGGACACCCAAACGATCTTTCACGATTGCAAAAGACGGACTATAGAACTGCAACCTCTGGTGGTTGGCCTGCGGAGAGAGTCTGTGGGGTTGGTCGAAAGCAGGTCTGGAGCCCATTTAAAGGTGCCGTCGATTGCAGTTGTATTTGGGGATGGGGGAGTGGAATTCGTGGAAGAAGAGTGTACAGGGTGAGTCGAGGTGGATGGGTCGCCGTTAGTGATAGTTTGTGGTGGTGCCTGCTCGTGGTGGTGGCAAAGCCGCCGATATGACCGCGAAGACTCCTTTGGTTAAGGAACAGAGTAAACCAGTTGTATCCAAATACCCGTCCGTGCAAAGAGGTGTTGTAAATGGCGCTGTGAATGTCTTTGAGGGCAGTGAACGCCAAATCATGTACTGGCACAGCCAAAGACCCTGGCGGAGGAGAAAGAAGGCCAGGGGAACGGGCGCCGAAGTCGGGTACCAGTATAGAGAGGCCGTACTTTGGTGTCTAAGGGAAGTCCAAACTTGACAGCAGCTGAACGGGTTCGAGGCGACCGGCTTCACGATCGACAGGAAGTCGGACCTGGAGCGGGAGATCGTTTTTGGAAAGGTTTTCTTCGGGAATGTGGTCAAAAGATTGGATCAGGTCGTATGGATTGCTCTCGTGGATGGTTCGGATACGTTGCTGTCGCTTGACCGCGAAGATGAAGGAGGCCCCAACATCGCGTATCAACCGTTGGTGCTTGCTTCCGCCCATCCACAACCATGACCAACCATGCACCTCCTCATCTTGACCGTTTTCGGTCTGCCAACCTTGTCTTTGATCTCCGTCCATCTTCATCCTCTACCAACAGCCCAAGTGGCCAATCTGTCGGCCCCAAGCTCGCTATCCCGGCGTGCTGTTCCAATACCATCACCAACGTGTCGGTCTTTTGTAGATCCAAGAGGTCCGTGATAATGTAGAAAGCCTCTCTGAAGATTTCTTAGTTTGCCGCCTGGACGGTAACCAGCAGGGCACGATTTTGTGCGGGAGCAGCCTCGGCATCTGACCTCGACTTGCTTCACAAGTGGATGAAGTGTTCATGGGTCAATGTGGCATGTGGTGCAGCTGGTCCGCTAAACACGCAACACGAGTTTTCGGTTGTCGATTTCGACGCCCTGCCCGTAAGAGTATGCGTCGTTACCAAGCCAGTCGACGGCATCAATCACCGCAGTGTTAGCAAAGTCCACCCACACGGTCCAGGCATCAACGTTGCCGACAGCTTAGCTGCTAGCTCCAAGGCCCGTCAGGTTCACCGGGTTTCTTGGTGCTTGGATGCGAAACACCATGTATCACCACTGCATTCAACCGAATCCCTCGATGCCGCAGCTTCGGAAAACAGTTGCTGCCGGATAGTTTGTTGCTATGGCGTTCAAGAACATTGTCTGAGCCAGCCGAAGGCTTGCATCAAGTCATCACAGGCTTCCCTGAGCCGACCACCACTCCTCTCATTATGTGCACCTATTTTCTCTTCCCATCCGTTGAACTGCAATTGGAACCCTCTGCCTCTCTTGCCGGCTTCTTTGATGACACTGGCCCATGCCTTTCAGATCTCCTCGCACGCATTTTGTTTGGCGATATTGTAACACATGCAGGGGGAAAAGAAGCACACAAACGCACATTCTGAGACAGTATGGTAACCTGTCGGCGTCGAAGATTTCAAGGGCTTGTCCGAGGCCGCCCTTGGGAAAGTCTCGAGTGTATTCGACGGCTCGTGCGAGAATCCAGCCGTTCTCAAACGCAAACGTCGCCCAGAACCGAAGGCTCCTGGTTGATGATGAGTATATAGCGCTTTCCGACACGGCAAGATGTACGACACATACCCAACAGCGGATGGCTCGCGTCCCCAAGCAGCAAGGAATCATTAATGTTCTGGGACGGTCAGCGCGATCGACCCAGCCTGACTTCGGTACATTCCTCTCTGTTCGCCATCTTGTAAGGAGAAGCGCCAAAGGAGAAAAGAAGGAGAAGGAATAGCGGGTACCATGGCTGGCGTTCATTATTCGCGTCTCGCACTTCTTGCAGTTGCACCTCGGATGTCCCGAGCTCGTTCGGAATGCTCGCAAATCCCAACCCAATCACTCTCCGCTCGTCATGATCAACATTGGGACCGGAACACTCCCGGAGGATGCTGATGTCCCGCAGTTGCAGAAGCATCCGTCGTGGACCATACGCCTGCCAACAGACTCCTGCCAAGGAGCCTGGATCGCGTCTGTTCCAATGTCGATCTGTTCATCCCAATCTCGCGGAAGTCGAGGAGCATGAAACAATGGTAAAGAATGGCGTCGAAACTGTCTGGGGACCAGCCACATTCTAGCCGCCTGATTGTATGGCAGGGCAAGGGTTGAGGAGAATTCGAGTTCGGTGGGTGTCGCGAGAGATGGAGGGCCGGCTGTAGTATCAACAAGCACGGCGAACACTTCCAGATTTTTTGAGTGCAATGGGTACCTGATATTGGTTGTTGCCAACATGAAAACCAGTATGATTGCCGGCATGGTAATCGTGGGCGGCACGCGGCGCCTGGTGCCCTTGTAAAGTGCATTATGTCAACAGTTTCTGTCGTCCCTTCGGAACCGATGATGGCGATATCCCAGGAACCCCGGCGATATCCCAGGAACCCCCCCCCCCCCCTCCCCCCCGAGCCTCGGTGATACTTGCTAGTTTTCCCCATCGCCGCAACGCTCTACGCATGAGGTCGCTTTTACTTTTCCGAGTGCGTCAATCCAATCCCCTTCTTCAACTCGAGGATCCTGTGACGCTCCCATCCGGCTGACCCAGAGTCCGAAGCAGGGTAAGCACAGAGCCTACCGCACAACCGGGGGTTAGGAGAGATCACCGTTGCAAGGTGGATATCAGGATGCTGAGCACCTTTGGCCAAGCAGTGCAATGCGTCCCAGTCGGTCTCCTTCGCTGCCCGACGCGGCCATGCAAACCCCTTCGACTTCAATTACCACAGTCTTATCATTTGCGAGACCTCAGATTTTGAGTTATGAATTGCTGGGTGCGTGCGCTTGGGGTAGATCTTGGTGAAGCAAGGCGATGCCATGGTTTGAACCGCTCGATGGGGGTGAAGACTTTCATAAGCAAGCCCAGACTGTGGGGATACTTCTCTTCTGTAGGTACTCATGAAGCTGAAGGGTAAGGAGGGAGAGTCTCTCAGGCCCGCCTCCTCATACAAGAACAAGGCGTCCAAGCTCAAGGCCTGGTGGTGAATGTGGACTGGCTTCTCCTGACGCTCTTCATGTGTGCGCAACTCAATTCCCAAGATCCGCAGGCTGCATTATAGTGTCTTGTAGCCTCGACGACCCAATCCGGTCAAAGTCGTGCCTGATCACCTCTGAGAGCTACCATTCGGTGTAGATGATGAGGGATTGGCCGTGCGTTGATGACCTGCCATTGAGGATGGAGTATCATGTACCGAGTCCTGTACAGACGTATATGGAGGATTCGATCCGCAAAATTCGCCCGGCTCATCCCCCCAGAGGGCATGACCATCGGAGGCACGTATATTCCTGGCAATGTCAACGTGCTGGCGCCGTCGTATCCATTGTTCCGACGTGAGTTGATCCCCACCTGTCCATGTCTGGGTCCGACATAATTTCTCCCAGCTCCCGAATGCTATGAATATCCGGACGAATTCATTCCCGAGCGATGGTAGACGTACCAACCATATGATTTTGCCCGTGTTCGTGGCTGATCGTGTTATCAGGTATGGCAAGCCAGAATTTCTGAAGCGCAGCGACGCTCTTCTGCGTGCCCACCACGCCGCCGCTGATGAGGGCTTCGTAGAAGGTGGTGGGAGGGAACTTCTCGTTGATATAGTCCTTAACCGCTGGGCTGCTGGCCGTGTCGATGGTCGAACGGTCGATCAGCAGCTTCCCCGAAACGTCACTCGAGCAGATGGTGTCAGTCGCCGAGCACAATCTCTGATGGACTACTCCGTATAGACCATATAGTCAGTCTTCAGGCCGCATCCCGACAAGCAGCACGTGATGACCTTGTCTCATGAGCTATGGCATTGATTATGGCCGAAGCAGTGACGGAGCTCCAGTTCAAGGGTCGGCAGAGCGCGGCCATCAGTGACAGTGTCGTTGTGAGCATGAATATGACCAATGCCATGATCAACGTCATTGAGAGCCTCGAGTCCCAGGCTTCGGAAGAGATCCAGGCAGCGAGAACCAAGATCACTCTGGCGATCTGGAAAAGATGGCTTACTGCTCTGCGTGTGCATGAGCATGTCCATCGGCATGACGAAGATTAGAAACATGGCATGGGGGGCAAGTGGGACAATAACAATGCAGAAGACGACCCTACGCACCGAGGCGAGCAGGGCGGTGGTGGATTCATGTGGACGAGGCAGAATTGAATCAATCCGAGGAAAATGCCAACTCTGTTCCTTTGACGACGCCAAACATGAAGCCACTTTGCCAGCTTCTTCCGGTGGAGGTTGTGCATCAAGACGTCATTGTCATCAGTTCCCCGGACAAGCTCAAACAACTGGCACTCTCTGACCTGTTGCGATTCCATGACCGAGTCGCGAAGGAATCACTCCATGAAACGTCCGACGCGGGCAGAGGCCTCATATCTGAGGACGGAATGATGGACGTCGGCCACCTCCGGGTTCTTTTCGCGCAGAGATTCGGGCATGTCGCTCTGACGGGCCAGTTCCAAACCGTCGAAGTTGAGGATGGAAACTCTCGGGCCGCCCATTTCCAAGCTCGCAGCGCAGTTCACTGAGTTGGTCGCGTAACACGAAGGGACAAGGTACCACCTCACATCGAAGAGTTGAGGCGGAAGGCTCTCCGAAAAGAACCATGGGCTTTCACCCAGATCAATATGGATGTCCTGCGGCAAAGAGGAGGTTCAGTGATGCGGCTCAAATTCATTCTCAGTTGGACTGTGATTCAGGCTGGTATCCCCTGTTGAAGAATCCTATCAACCAACATGGCGTTCAGACGAGCTTTCGCGAGGAGCCCGACCGCAACAACGCGCGGAGGGCGTCCTGAGCAATTTTATCATCGAAGACTGCCGCCGACCTGAGAGGTGGGAGAAATTGCAAGAGTGTCAAACGGACTGCAGGAGCCAGCGAAATGTGTTTCGATCTGGGAAGTCTGCTGCCTCTCGTGTTGAAATTTATGGTACAACTTGGGAGTCGAGGCTCGCAGTTTCCGCGTCCGCTGAAGTCGTTTCATTCTTCGGTGGCATCCACATGCCGACACACCTGGCATTTTTCTGAAAATAGGCTTATGCCATCTGTCTTATTGTTGTGGTGGTGTATCCACGAGTGAAAAATGGTTGTCGCGGCCATTCTCTTCAGTCGTGCGTCTCCCATGAGCAAATTGATGTCTGATGCCCTGCAGGCGAAGGCGCAAGTCGTGAATCAGCAGACCCTCTGGTTGGGGAAGACGCTGAACAAGTACTCTTAACCCGAAGAGTTTCGGAAACAGGAAAGCTTCATATTCAGAAATATGGGAGTCTTGACCAATCGCGGAGCAGCTAAGGCCATCCTCCAAGGAGGAAATGGGAACGGGAACGCCAAGTGTGGTGGTGAAACGACGGGTACTAAGTGCTGGACACGCACCTGACCTGACCAGGAGGGGCGCCTATCTCACCATGACGCTGAATTGGAGGAACGAGTTCCTTGTCGTGGTGCAATGGGTGGCTATCAAGGTATTCGGGAGGATGCGTACTCCTTGGATCGCGAGCTGTCAATGGGAGTTGCCAGTCGCCTGCGGGCCTCACCTGTAGCCCTGGGGACATGATGGTGAGTGGTATTCGAACGACAAGGACTGTTAGGAGGATGGCCAAACTGAATCGCTCTCAACAAAGAGGTCGAGTGCTGGGAAGCTGTCCTTGCGACACGCACTGCAGGTGAACGGACCATGGCTGCGAGCGACGAAACGGACCCGTCAGGCCCAACGACGCATGGGTAGCCACCGCGAGGACTGTCCAAAAGCATGGCCTAGCCAGTCCCCATGACTTTGATGCCTTTGGTTCCAAACGCAGGCAGCCTTTGAGATCAGGCCGCCAGTTGCAGCACCCGGCACAGGGCGCCCGCCTCTTGCATGTCGCCCTTGTGGCTCTTTTTTTGTTTCTGGAATTGCAAGCCCTTGTGTCGATACACCAGCGGGAGCTTGGGTCAGACCAAGTCATCTCAAAGTGCGACTCCGGCCGTGAGAATGACCAAGGACACCCCCTTCTGTGCCGACAGGCTCTGAGGTGGGAACATCATGATCAGCTAGAATGCAGAGTGAATGAGTGGACGTCGCGAAGGGTAGGGCTACTGTCAGCTGTAGCAAGCCCATGGCAGCTATTTTCCAGGCGATGAAGAGAATATGGCATGCAGGTGAAATGCTACCACGATTGGCAAGGCCGGTACATCGAGCGGTGGAAGCTTCCTGCCACGGCCTGCTGCTCATTCCACTTTTGTTGATGCAGCGCATTTGTACATCGTCTCAATATCTCCGTTCTGCCAAGCTGGATCCCTTCCCCGACAACTCTCGCAACACATTCGGCTGCTGGGTGGATGGTAGGAAAAGTGGCAACGGCAATGGACTGGCTTTTCTCCCTGCGCCATCAACAGTCGATCACCTTCTGAAAAGTATCGTGCTGTTCAAGCATTGCTGGCTTTGGAGTTCTTGCCTCCACCGCCGGCCTTCTTGTCTTCCATGTCATCGATGCTGCCCATGCCCCCATCCGCTTTGACCAGCTCACCTGCGCGGTTGATGTGAGATTTGCCAGGAGATTCAGTGGTACCGGCAAGGAGACCACCCCTCATGACGGTCGAGGCACTCGTCGCGGTACCCTTGACGATGTGTTTAACGTTCTAGATACTGCCGCCGGCAATACAAGGCACGCCGAATTTGGCCGCAAATGACGATACGGCATGGACCGATGTAGCTTGAGGGTGCCTAACAGCCATGACCCGTCTGGAGGGATATATCTCCCACAGATCGACGTATTTCCCGTACTTCCGATATGCGACTGATCGGACGTACAGCTTTCGTGGTCCACGAGTCTTGTTTCTCTCATTATGATTGCGGTCGTGACTGGAGGTTGACTCTTGGGTAACGGTGCGTTTGGGCGATGTGGATGGTTTCGATGTTCGAAATCGTGGTCGCCCATCGTCGAGATCTGCGCCGCACAACGCACCTTTGAAGGGGCGTACATCCCGCGTCTGACAGGCAGAGTGAGGAAGGTAGGCCAACGCAGGGTATAGCAGGGCAACGGTGAGCACCAGATGGCAGCGGAGGATACCAGACAGCAATAGATGGCAGCACAGGGTAACAGAGAGCGAGAGTAGCAACGCTGGCAGCTTCGACTACTGCTCGTGGCTGTACTTGTCAACAGCTGGACGTCAGACTCCTCCTTGCCCGACTCTGCCAAACGATGGTTCGTTGAGTCACTCAGTTGGAAATTGAGATGTATTGCTTCACTTCGCTCATCCAACAAAAAAAGCAGAAAGGAACAACCGAAATCTTTTCACAAGGTGTGAGAGAGGGCACTGAGCTCACAACCAAGCACACGGCTGAACGTCCCAGTTGGCGAGGCTGGTGATGCCCCAGATGTTGGCGTCGGGCGGCAGGGAAGAGGAATTGGAACACAGACACATTGCGGCCGGGAATGGTCGCCCTCTGTCGAACCTTTATGGCGTTTTTGCCTCGACACACGCTGGAACATCACCACTCCAGTTTCAAAGCTCATCCAACCTCTTTCTGGCCCATATCCTTGAGAAATTGCCTTAATTCCCGCGCCCAGGGAACCAGTGTACGCGGGCTTCTTCATGCTCGACAACGTACACCATGGGTTGTTGTTGTGTTTGTTGCTTTGCTGCTTCTGAGTTGCCAGTGCTTCTGCCACTATTCGGAAGGCGTATCAAGCTTCAGTGGGAGATGGCGGCCGGCCGTCACATCCAATCGATCTCGACTTCGACGTGTGACACGATCCCAGAGAACACCAAGATATTACCCGGATTTAGGATTCTTTCGGACCCAGTCAAAGCGTATTTTCCCGTCAACAAAGCAGGTAGGACGAGTTCCGCGTTTCCAAGAGTGCATGAGGAGACTTGATATTCTGCGAAACTGGTGCCCCTAATACCAAACGCTTGTGCGAGAATGCTACAAACCGGTGCGCGTCGGCCGAATGGCTAGGGACCATGGGTGCGAGGAGGTCCTGTGGTACCTTCACAAGGGCACCATGCGAGAGCTCCACGGAGTGGAAGTGATGAAGAAAATGGTCAAATCCGGCCAGGAGGGTCGAATGCACGAGGCGACTCGGCTTCGAAACTTCAGCAGCGGTCGAAAAACTGTCCAAGTGAAGATGGCCCGAAACGTCGAAGACATCGCTTCTGGGACCGTCTCTGCAATATATGAGTCGCCAACAACATCGAAATCCTGATGTTCTGCCTGCAGCAGTCATGCGCTCTGTCCGTGGGAAAGATGAAGTACTTGCACATACTCGTCGACCGGTGCGTGTCCGCACAGACATTCGAGGATTGGAGAGCGGAGGCAAGCGTGTACGTCGACATGAACGTGGGGAGTTCGAGCGCGAGAACGTGGTCTGGGACGCAGACAGGTGCGTCATGGTCATGAAGACCAAGAACTCGTACATTTCGGACCATCGCTGCAATCCAGGTGGTAAGATTTGGGACTAGGTGCATGAAGAAGGATCGGCACTCGTCGATCGTCTTGACCAGCGGTTCCATATCTGAAAGATCTGTTGTGGGTGGCTGGTCCAGGCGGGTGGAGAATAGAGAATAGAGGATTCTCGATATAGCGAAGTGTGTGCATGCAGGAAAATAGTAGTGTCATCAAGGCGCTAGTCTTCACATTCGCTGTTCATGGGCATGAGGAGCCGTCGACGTCGATGAGGTGCGTCGGAAAAGCGTGATCATACTTTGTTATCACCCTGCAAACATGGAAAAGGTCGGGATCGCACATGCTGTCCGGCCCTCATCCTGCTCTGCGTTCGTCATGGCCAGAAGCACAGAATTGATGTCTGAATTGTCCGGGTGTAACGAACGGCATGACACCGAGGACTGAGCAATGAGCAACTCCAGGCAGAGTACCAGGGTGCGTTTTTGTAAGCTCGCCGCATGGAGGTGGTAACGATGACTCTTGCTCTGGTTGTGACGGGAAAGCCCCAATCGCTTGTGGTGTGACGCTTCCCGCTCTTTTCTCGTTCTGATGCTCTCCCGCCACTGTTTCAGATCTCGAGGCAACTGCTTCAGGCGATAGAGGTAGTGGCGTCCCAACAGCGAGGGGCCGAGGCAGAATCAAGCGTTCTCCAGTGTGGGCGAACGTGCATCCACGGAGCCGGAGGCAGAGGCGAAGACTGGATTTGAGGTCGTTCTGATCCAAATCTTTGAATTGGTTCACCTCACATTTTCCCAACCTAGGCTGCGGTTGTGTATCAACATCCAGACTCTTAACTTTCTTGTTCCTGATGTTTCTCGGCATGAAGGCAAGGTGAGAGGACGCTTCCGGGAGGAGGATTCGACGAGCAGGGAGGATATGGGCAAGTCGGCAGGGGAAACGACCGAGCGCAGTGCCGTGGAAGACTTTCGAGGATCGCTTCAGTCTTGCAATAAGACGTTTGCAGAGAGCAACGCTGCTACCAATTTGCTGCGTGAGAACAACTGAGTGAGTCAAGCACCAGCGCACAACCAAGGAAAAAGGAAGTTGCCATAAGGGCAGTGTTTGTTGAGTGCATTCTGTGTATTTGGAGAGCAAGAATGAGAGTCTGTTACTCGGGAAACTAAAATAGATGATGGACGTCATTGCCTAGAGTCGGGCTAGTCCGGACTCGGTCTGGCACCGCACGTGTTGTTTTTTGAAGGTGGTAACCTAGCCGGGTACTACTGAAATTCTCCACTGTGATTGGTGGAGAGCTTTGCCTCCTTTTGGTCTAGTCTGTGCCGACGTCACAACATTCCCGACGCCACAAACAATCAACGCCACGACCCATTGCGCCACAATAACCAAGCGCCCAGCAAAGTTATCATCGTTGAGCATCCGGCCTCTCCGGCATTGATCATGCTCACATCGTACCAGGTCCGCAGGAAGGCGAAGAAGCGTTGTAAATGCTCCTGTGCACGTTCAATCGTCCAGCTCACCTCTTCCAGTCGCTTGAAGATGGGCTTTCCTCGACATCCTTCAGACGAAACCTCAGCAGCACAAGGCCTGCTCCGTCGTCACCTGCTCTGAGACCTTTCTCCATCGGCCGGATACCCAAATATCCTGCCTGCAGTTCGATTTGAAGAACTCGCCTTCTCTCATCTTTGCCTCCTCCCGCATACCACACCACACGACGGCAACCGAACACGACGATCCTGATGCCACCATCGGCATCGCTGTCACAGAGTCCTACGATCCGCATTCCGAAATCGAGCCCTACGCCAGGGATCTTCTCCATCACAACCGCCCTTGCTAGGTCAGAGTGCCCTGGAACAACGGATACAACAGCCCCGGGGGATGAGCGCACTGCCAAAGGGCTTCCAAGACCAACGCTACCATACAAGAGATTCCTCGCGTCCTCTGTAACCTCACTCGGTCCGCCTGCGCCGCTCACCCAGAACACGATATACCCACACATTGCCGCCGCATCTAACTCGAGTTTTCCCCCATCCTACCTCTTCGATCACTCCCAAGCTCCACATACTGCGAAGTCAGACTCTGCCATGATGTACCCCACCAACTTTGATGCTGTTGATATGAGGAGGATATACTCCATAGGCGCCGGCGAGGGTGCGTCAGACGCTCTCTCCGCGCCGCAGTCGGTGCCAACTATGAGCCACAACTCGCGCGCGACGTCGCACACTGCTTTTGAACCTGAGTTCGGCGAGAAAAGTGTCTCTGGTGATGAGACCTCTCCTCGATCTCGTCTTCGGGAGACTCTGTCAGCTACTGGTGCAGGTATGATTGTGGTGTGACATGATCACCGGCTGAACTTTTCTTTTTCTGTTCCCGCCACAGGAATCTGTGTCTATATAGCTGCCGAACTCATTCTGCAACTCTAGCGCTTCGATGCGGTGGTGGAGTTGGCTTGGAGACCTTGCAGGCTGGAGCTCGAGATGCTTGAGTGGTAATTGGGAGGGTCTCTCAACATATGGCACTGGTCACTGGTCATGGACAATCAGCAAGGCGACCTTCGCCTTATCATGGGCCCACGACTTTCTTTGTTCCACACGACCCGGCTTTTGACCCATTCCTCGAAGTGTCAGCTCAAGCTCGTTTTGATGGACACCAAAGTCTTCTGGCGTGTGAGACCTTTGTCCGAGGCATCTCAGAGCCTCGGCGTGATCTTCGTCTTTCCCTTTGACGAACCCGTTGCCATTGGTACAAAGACGGCCGTGATGGATACTGCTTCCAGCTCTGCCAGATTCTCAGGAGGTCCTCGTGCATGTCCAAGCTCCGGCGCGGTTCGAGATTTCGCGCTCTGATTGGCAGGCAGCGTATGATAGAGAACAATTCGGCACACAAAATCTACACTTTTGCAGGACCTCTCACTGCGTCAATTCAACCGCTCCTTCATTCTCCAGCCAGATTCGTATTTACCGATCTCCCTCTCATGGTTGTGAATCTGTCGCTCGCAACGCTGCCGTGAAACGCATTGGCTGATTGGATGTCTTTTGTCATTCAGGCTTGCTGAAAGCACATCTCTCGCTACCTTTCAAAACACCTTTGTGTCTGCCATTTTGATCTTTGAGTTCTGGAACGGGCCAGCCCTCATGAAGGCTTGCGTGCCGGTGCAAGTCCAAGCGGCGTTGGACCTGCTCTCCACTACTGTGTCCCCTTCGGACACTGCGCTGCTGTTCGTGGTGGGCGAGGAAAAGGGCGGCGACGGCATGCGCCATTTCTCCTCGTCGCAGGTCTATAACCACATGCGCAACAACTACAAGGTCATCCTCTTTGGCGACCCGACCAAGGGCAAACTGTCACCAGGAAGGACGTGTATAAGGATCGATTCAAGGTTGGGACGACTTCTTTTTTGCTCCTTACCGGTTTCTGCAAGGAGATTGAGCTGCGAGAGTATCAATATGCCCTTGATTGCACTAGTCCCGATTGTGGACCGTCAAATAGTTCCGGCCTCATACGTTCCCCACGAATCTCTCCTTCCGTCTGCTGCTGGGCACCTGTATCACCAGCGTCCGTGGTCGACTGAGCTTGCTGCTGCTCCTGTGCAGCGACAAAGTACGATGCCCTGGGCCAAGAATCCTACCTACTTCACGGAGAATAGAGTGCCGGTTGCACTGAGACCTCCGGAGCACGGTGGGGGTCTGCCTATTTATCAACGACCGACTAGCCCTGAGCAGCTGGAATGTCAAATTCCGCAGCCCCGGACCTCATCACACTCGATATCGAAACAGCCTGTGGAATGCTTGACATCCACACGGGATATAGGTCATTTCGTTGGAAGGAAGGGATGGGAAGGTGTTTTTTGTAGGCGGGTGGAGGTGGCCAAGAGCCCAAGGGTACGGGCACGCTCACGCTCAGCCGAAGGAGGAGGTGGAGGAGATCAGCTCAACTCAAGTCGGGTTGACGTACGTCATTCCATTCCTTTCCCTAACATCCTGGGACTCTGACACCCCAGTATATGTGCATATATATATATGTGGTGTGTGCGGTGGCGGTGGAATTGAGGAATGCAGGACTACTACAAGAATGCATTGCTCCAGAAATGCAATAAGGCTGCAGGAATGCAGCTAGGGATGCAGGCAGGGATGCAAGATTGCTCCCATTCCAGGGCTGCTGCCTGGAATGCAGGACTACATGAATGTAACACGGTTACAAGAATGAAGGAAGGGCAAAGGGGAATGTTGTGGTTTGTTGATATGGCCAAGCGAAGCTTTGCTTGGCGGCGGAGGACTTATAAATTCTCAAAAAAAGAGGAGAGCCACCTTGCCTTTTTATGTACTGCGTTTATCCAATCCTCATTCAAATCCATCCCTTGGTCAAGCACTGTTCAAACACATCGGCTTGACTGACACGCACGGCCTCCATTTATCAGCATGGCTACTTCAATCGACCGCACGCTACTTGAGGGAATCGCTTTCGACGCAGCCACAGAGTGTTTGAGATACATCGACAGTGTCACAGCAGGGAACGAAGGGCCGGAAGGTGTTGCCGATGTCGCCAGTCGGATTGTGAGAACACACATCACAGACAGGCTTAGGTGCCTATTTCCGACTGACGATGTGCTGGACGCCCTCATTACGAAGGGGACAAGCGGTCGGACCTGGGTTATGAAACCGATCGATGCCGCCAACCAGTTCGTGCAAGGCTACAGACATTGGGCCATCTCTTTCGGCCTTTTCGATGGCACACGCCCGCTCTTTGGCGTTATATACATGCCAGGGCAAGGAAAGATGGTCTCTGGTGGCGTCCACTGGCCGCCTACTCTGAATGGCCATCCTATGCAGAAGCTTTCCATTCCCACGGTAAAGCGTATCTCCTTTGCCGTGTCGTGGGACATGAAGAGATCGGATCCGGCTTTCCTCCAATTGGCACAGCACAATGCAAGATTCCGGTACCGCGAGGACCCTGTGCTCGCGCTCATCACGGTGATGTCAGGTCAATTTGAAGGCTATATCAACGATTCCATTGCGGTCAAAGACCTGATCGGGCCTCTTGCAATTCTGAGCGCACTTGGTGTGGCCTACGACATTGCCCCCGCAAGCGGGCACGGCGGCAAAGGAGTGAGAGTCCATATCGGCTGGCCCAACCGAGGACCCGTACGTGGCGTTGGCGACGATCAAAATTGTTTGGCTCTGCTACTCAATGAACCTCGCGAATGGAAAATTGCTTGCAGGGGTGGTCCCGGCATGTAACACTGTCGCAGGAATGCAAGATTGTTTCAGGAACGCAAGAATGCTCCAGGAATGCAGGCAAGCAGCAAGGAATGCAGGATTGTTGTAGGGTTAGAGGAGTGCAATCATGTGGGCACGCTTTAGAAATGTAGGGATGATCTAAGAATTTAGGATTGTTAGTGGGAATTTCAGCCATGAACGCAAAACTACTCCGAATGCAGGATTTTTTTCAGGAATACAAGATTGTGTTCCAATTTCCAAGAATGCGAGACTGTTGCAAGGAATGCTGCAGGAATGCAAGAATGCGAGAATGCAAGGCTGTTCCCCAGAATGTGGGATAGTTCCAGAAATCAAAGATTCCTCCAGAAATGGAGGAATGCAACACTTTTGCCAGGAATGCAGGACTTCAAGAATGCGGGAATGCAAGGTGGCTCCATGAATGCAGGATCGTTGTTGTTGTTGTTGTTGTTGTTGTTGTTGTTGGTCGTGGTGGCGGTGGTGGTATGGTCAGTGCCTCGACTTGAAACCCCTTCTCAACCTTTCTAATCTGCCCTTTCTTTCTGGTGTTCCTTTCCTATCGTCACCCCCTTCGCGGCGACCGGCGCCTATATTGGCATTCCAAGCAGCCATGGCTCATTTGATTTATGTCTATCTGTCCTCTCCACGACAAATGCTGGCAAGACCGGAGGGGAAGTGGCTGCTTGATTGCTTCATTGCTGATCGAGCGATCCATCCCCCTCTTTCACCCTTGATCTTCTATGGGGATGCATGCCTCTTTGTGGTATCTCGATCTCCGGCTTCGAGATCAAGGGGTTCGAGAGCGTCAAGGTAAACGGTGAACGAATGGATTCCAGCCAACAGCTAACAACCACCCCATATCTTATTTATTGTACGCAATCCGCCATGATTTGTTTGGTGGGCGGGAGGCGTCTTCTTTCTCCTCCCTCTGTCTTGATTGACGAAACTGAACTAGCTAACTAGGTCCAAGCAACGAGGGGATCAATGCACCGCACCGTCCTTTCTTTTCATTCTATTGTTATTTTCACTTCGAATCCAAAGGCCACACAAATTCGATCCATTTTACTTTGCTTCCCTTTGCTTTGGAGACAGACAATTGGGTTTGCTTGGCTTGCCCGGCACGGCATGGCACAGCTTCAACATGATAAAACACAACACCACACAACACAAGACGACCTGGCCCACCATATATATACATGTGTCATGCATCTCTTTCATTGTCATTAACAACCTCGCCTGCTGCTGTTGCTGCTCCTGCGCCTTCGTACGTCGTTGGTTGGATTGATTGACCACTACTACGTGGTTCAACCCACCCGCGCCGGCGGATCGTCTTAATCAACTCTACATGCGACATGCAACATTCCGGCCCCGTGGCTCAATGGCGTTGCCGGTGGTGTAAGTGCCGTACCGGTTCGTCTCCATCAGGATCGTTCATGCTCGAGATCATGGCTGCGCATGTACATATTGCCATGATTCCAGCGTGTCGCCGTTCTTTGCTTGCTCGCCGCCGATGTAACACGGCATGGCATGGACAGACTCGAGTTCCGTCTTTCCTTCGTTCCCTCCCTCTTGACCCATCGTGGAACCTTGGGGGCGGAGTCTACCATGTCCATTACCAACTCTATCGAGCGGGGGGATGGGCCGCAATGTTGACCAACGCGGCGGGTTCTCGACGGCCCTCTACGTCGTCGTCGTCGTCAGGTATCGCTAGGGAAGCTCGAGCTAGAGCCAGAGCCAGAGCTAACCAAGCGGAAACCCAAAGGAAGGAAGGGAGAGAGGAAGAAGGATACCGAGACCGCTTCCCGTTCGGCATCCTGTGGCAGTACCTGTCACCCGGGCTCCCCGGCCGACAACACCCCATGGGCCCAACGGCGCCCAAGTGCGAAGGCGGCCCCCGCGAGGCACACACAGAAAGAGATAAATAGGACCTCTATTCTCGCACTGCTGGAAATGCCCTCAACAGTGCGAGAAGTCGATGTCTCAAGGACAGCTTTATACCAATCAAGATACGTGTTCAACCCTCTGACTCTCCGTCTAGCGATTCCACCCCACAGCTCTCTGACAGCCACCATGACAGTAGACTATAAAGCACCGATTGACACACCTCTGTCGTGCTCTGCCGCTCGTGGGCGGTCGAGTTACAGGGAAGGAAAACATGCGTTAAGGCCAGGATCGAGGATGGTCGGGGTAAATTCCTTGCAAGTGCGAAGTCCCTATTTATTGATCCGAGACCGCAGAAAATATAGAATCCCCACGGGCCATTTAGAATCTAGAATCACCATGGCCTTTCCTCGAAAACATCTGGGGACGGAAAATAAAGGTCGACAGGGAACATGTCTTGTGATGGATATAGAGAGCATTTCATGTCCTGATCATCCGTATATGGCGGTAATTCTATACACGCAGATGTTTGTCTGATTTTTCACAAGCTCGCTAGTGTCCCCAAAGACGAATAAATGTTCGTGTCGCATCTGTGTTGGGTCGACTGTGAAGGGAGGTGGAGATCATCGGGCTTTCCAGTGTCGATCGAATATAGTCAACGAAATTGGTCCTCGCTGGCTGCAATTCTAAATTCTGGCCGCATAATGCTGACCAAATTCTTGTCGGCTGGGTCGAGAGGCCGTCTCGGGCCATGATCTGCCAGAGCCAGCAGAAATCGTCGAATGGATTGGGACACATTGGCCCAGAGCCACTTGAACGGTAGTCGTGGTCGTTCCTGTTCGAAGGGTGGACTTGTGTGGACTTGTGGGCTTGATGAGGCGGTGTCGAGGCAGAGGCACGGGGGGGAAGATCAAACAAGTTGGCTGGCCGGACGGATGTTGGTTGCCTATATATCGGTTGACATGGTATGATATCACAGTAGTATCACGAACCAGACAGACGATAGCATGAGAGAGCAGCAATGACACCGTGGTTATATAGCTCTTGGGCTGATCACGCGCCATGCATGTCCGGTGTCTTGGTGAAGGTGCAGGCCATGGACGACATGATTCGTTTCGTTTGAAGAAAAGGAGAAACAAGCAATCGTCAGAGCTTGTGACGCGGTGATGTATGGCCGCTTCAAACGGCTTGCTGGATCGACGTGGTGCTGCAAGATCGTCTTGAAAAGCCCAGGAGTCGAGGACTCGTGAGGTGGTCTGGGCCATACCACTGGCCTAGACTCAGTAACACGCTCACAGAAGCTGGGAAACCTCGGGGGCCTTGCAGCTGGCGTGTTTTCTCGTGTTTGGATGACTGTTCGATGCTCACTGTGCTGAGACTCTCACACCGGCAGCCCTACCAACACTTGTAACCTGTCTTTCTGAATCTACATATATGTATCGCGTTGGTCAAATGAAACTCGACATGGGCTGCACCGGGGTTAGTTCAGCAGCCTCTCGGTTGCCGGGCACATATGATCGTCCTCAACATGGTGGTGGTGATGGTGTTGTGGATCTGGGACATTTGACCTGGAGCTGATGAATCATGGACGAAGGGCCGGAGTCCCTGATGAAAGATGCCACGAAGCCTCATCGAAATCGCGCTTGTTTGAAACACCCTTCGCTTCAGCGAAACACCATCCTCGCCTGCATCACCACTTCCAAGTACAAGTACGCGGCTTCATCTTCATGGTCGGTACAGTGATTGAATGGCCACGAGAGCCCGCTCGGAGGCTGTCTCAGACGCAGATGGATGAGGGCAGTAGTATGCTCTTTGAGCCCGGCATCGCAGAAGATACAGTGTTCTAAGTGGCGGCCATGTGAAGGATTGCCTATCCACACCCGCGATATTCGAATGTCCCTCTTCTATAATGTTCGGAATGTATTTTTGGTTGCAACCACTGACCTCCGATTAGTCCCTGTTAAGGAGGATGGGAGGGAGGATGTCAGAGAGCCTTGGGGTGGGATCGTTAGACGAAGAGTCAGAGGGTTGAACACGTATCTGTATTGTATAAAGCTGTCCTTGAGACATCGACTTCTCGCACTGTTGAGGGCCTCTCCAGCAGTGCGAGAATAGAGGTCCTATTTATCTCTTTCTGTGTATACCTATTGGGGGCAGACTTGGCATTGGGGACCGCCTTGGCATTGGGGACCGCCTTGGCATTGGGGGCCGCCTTGGCATTGGGGCCCGGCTTGGCATTGGGGGTCGTTCGCCCCATGGGGTGTTGTCGGCCGGGAAGCGTATTGTAACAGTCATTGTAACAGCCCTGCTTCCCGGGTGACAGAGGAGCTGAAAATTGTTAACCGTGACCTCATCTGACGAATATTTGACGTCTTTATTGTGCAGGGGACATGGTCTTCTGCTTCTACCTCCTTGATCGAGGCCGGCATGATCAGTCCATCTTCCGCGACTGTGGTGTTGTCGAGAGGATCGCCATCCTTCACATGATGCGGCTGAAGCTGCTCCATTAGAGCAACGTGAATCCACGGGAACGCCCTCACTTCTATTAGATGACGGGCTACCTACTAATGATTTGACCTGTGAAACGTGATCCAGTGCTCCGTTGCCGCTTTCAAACTTCTGGATCCAGGATCAGAAGCATAAGGAAAAAGAATCCATATACGAGTTGACACGATAAGACGCGAGCGCTTCAGACACTACCGCGATTCACGTACTTTGACGTTACCTTGAAATTCGCACAGCTTGAGTTCAAATCTTCCCACGAGCTAGCAGACCGGAAGCAGGTGGGATGCAATAGAATGACGTTGCCCTTTAGAGCAAGGTTATAAGTTCAGCGAGCTGTTTGGTTGGCAGCTGACGTTGCCACTTCAAGCGCAAGCCTAGCGAAAAAAGGTGTTAAGGTGATTATCCTCGACGTCAATGCACCTCAAACACCACCGCGTTGGTACCCTCGGAGCTTATCCCCGGTTGAATAGCTGACCAGCGCCGTCCACATATATTTCCTCGGTATGCAGGCTCTGTTGTCGGGCGAAGCTCCCTCGGTCGTTATTCACCGAATTGTGGCAGCCGTGCCAGAAAGCGTGGTGAGCTCAGCGAAGTTCTGGCCTGCCGTCACCACAGTGAACGTGGAATGAAGTCATAAAAGCCAACTAGCATCACCCAAACAATATTCAGAAGTTCGCTAGTGTAAGCCAAGGCGATGACTCTCTTCCGGCCGATTCTATTGGCAAGTGAGCCATACTATATAGACGTGGGGAGAGGACGGACAGCATCGAAAGCCATCTTGAAGCCAATGAAGAATGCGAGCCCCGTTTTGAATCGCCGGCGTCTTGCAAAATATTTCGTTCATTCCACTATGGATCAGGCCTTGTACCATATCAGGTTGCGGTTACAGCGGTCTTTGTCGAAGGCTTCGTCTTTGTCGGCCTGAACGCCCGCTGGTAGATTCGTGGAGGCAGAGAGGAATTCCAGGAACGCTGTCACGATTGGGTTGAGCACGTGATGGCGCTAGCACTAGCGTGCATGCGCCGCCACAACATCATCCTCGCTGTCTACCCAGCGACCTTTTCAGATAGTCCTTCGTACTACAATTTCCATCACTCCAAGCTCAAAGCGTGATAAACGCGCCCTCGAACCACGTCATAGCCTGCCCGGCGTTCTGTAAGCACGTCTCTCAGTCCGTACTTGCACCAACCTTTCAAAATCTTGAAAATGCCTTCCAGAGCTCATCCACCTCTGAAGATCCCCGATTCCTACGCTACCCTCCCTCTCAAGCAGATCAAAGTCTCCCACGTTCCCGAATCGTCACCCAGTCGAACGTCTTCGAAATCGAGTCGATATGGGCCCTGCACCTGGACGAATTCCCTAATCTGCGTACGGCTACGTTCGCGCCCAACCCCAAGAGCCGGACCATTACGATTCCCTAGCTCGTGGACAATGAACGAGGGGAGACAGTCAGTTATTGAAGCAAAGTAGAGAGAGTGGTGTGTGTGTGTGAAAGACTGCAACGAGATAGCCAACTGACTTTGCAATCGCAGTAGCAGCAAACAATCCCCCTGCCACGACACGCACAAGAAGAACGTGAAAAATGCCCGATACGAACCTCTCCGACGTTTGGGAGCACTCGTGGCCTCACTCGCCGTCGATCGAGTTGTATGCGCCAGTTCCTCGGCGGCGATCGCTTCAACTGCCCTCGACGGAGCAATTGGGATACAGTCCAGCATTTCTGGTGGCCCGGCGTACGAGGAGCTGTGTCGCTTTGCCCGGTAAATTCCGCAAGCACGGAGCGTAGAACAGCTGGCCGGACCAGGCTCTCGGGCCGTTCCCGCCGCGACGACGCACCACAGCAGATGTATATCAATCTGGGTAAGTCAGTCGTGCAGGCCATTGGCCTCTTTCCACCACCACCTGCTTAAACGTCGGTTGAAAGATTTGACTCTGGCTGACGATGGCTGACGCCGCTTTGACGGAAAGCCTTCCTGATACCTAGCATACCCAAATCGTCAACCACGAATACCATGCGAGCAATCGTGGATGGCTACATTGATCAAGGTGAGGCAGTACGTCTGCCACCTCATCACGGAAGGGGGCTGGTCCTCAAGATTAGTGGACAGGTGATACTGGGATGTAGGGAAGCCATGTGCTTGAGGCTTTTGCACAACAGCAATCGCATCGCGGGGAACGTCCTGGGCGGGAGACACGGAGCACAGAGTCGGTCTAACGTCGTCGTCCATCTCGTGAAGGTCGTCAGGGTCAACCTTCTCTCCACCTCGACCTGCCCCCAAGAGCATCATCTCGGACAAACGACAGAACAGCGGCCACCAGATGTGTCCTGCCTCCCCGGGTGACCGTCACGGAAGCAGGGACTTGAGAAGTAATTGGCATGTTACTTTTGTAATCTCCATATTTGGTTTACTTTTTCGAAGATACCGTGGTATGACTCTTTTTCTCGTCACTGCGAAAGGTAGGCAGATCATCTGGGAAGACATGGCCGGTCAAAATGAAGAACATCGCAAGCTCATTGTCGACGGCCAGAGTTGGAATATCAAATCACCGTCTGGCAGCCGAAATTAACGCTGGTGCATCGATGCTGACGAAGCCCCAAATAGAACGCGTCCAAGAACGCCGGAGACCTGATCGGCAGATTCACCATCTTGTACAACAGAGCCCGACAAGCAGTCATTGCAGGAGAATTGGTGGCGATCATCACGGGTGCCACGGCCTCGGAAGCCAGCTGGCACTGGGTCGGTGTAGCAATCAGCCTGAGCTAGAGCGCCGGCCTCCACCGTGATCCAGGCAGCTCGGACGTGCCTCCGTTGCAGCGCTAGCACAAGACCTGAAGTGCCTAGGTGGTAACGAATTCCCCTCTGTCGGACAGGATCGCTCATGGACCCGGACAAAACATCTCCGCGAAACGTTCGCCCTCGTTCACACAAGGAGCATTGCGTCAGCCTATGGACAATTTGCCGGATCAAAAGCCCACATACGAGGAAGTACAAGGCCGAAACCTCGGAAGGGTCAACGCTCAGCATCGCGTGAGCCCAGACACGAGCGTTCGCAAACGTGTTTTCAGTGACATTGACATTTGCTTTTGTAATCTCCATTCCCTTCGACTTGGGCAGTCATACGTTTCCAACCTTGATGTAGGTATACCTTTCACGATTCTGCCCCGAGGGGAGCATGATTTGCCTAACTGCGGCAGAGTGGTATGGGATCCGCTCACCACAAAGAACGAGACAAGCAGAATCCCTATCCCTCAAGTCTTTTGTAAACCATCTCTACCTCGTGCTCACTAGCCAGCGGCAATGACCATTCCAGAGTCATGTCGTCATCGAACCTTGAAGCTAACGACGTGGAGCGGGCGAGGCCAGTCTACCAGGAATGTCTAAAGCTGATTCCTCACAAGAAATGGACATTCGCCAAAGTCGCGATTTGTGAGGTTATGTAGGTGCGCGGTTCGTACCAGAAGGAGATCGTTTCGACGTTGATGTGAGTAGAAAACTCCCGTACAATCGAGTCTCCTGGGTTGCTCTCCGTTGCGGCGTCGCGCGAGTCTTTCAACGTAGCTGGCCCATTGCTCTCCTGCTCGTGGTCGTACTCGGTCTAGAGCGGCTTGGTTCGTTGTTGTATGTTTCATTTCTCCTTGGTCTCGGGTACCCTCAATACCACGAGGCTTCGTTTCCGTGTCTCTCATCTTAACATGCGTCTCGCATCCCTCGTTACCTTCAGCCTCAGCAATCGTAGGAGCAAAATAGACTCGAAAGTCAACTCACAATGTCGTGCCAGGACGCGCGGTTGTACCAAAGAACGACGTCTTGCTCCGGGTGTGGATGGGTTCTGCTCACTGTCTTGCATTGGCCTTAAAGGCTCTCTGTTGCCGCCGAAATCTTCGATACGAGCTATCGCTCACATGGTCTTCGATGAATGGAGGCTGAAAAATTATATGACCATTCGAACCTATTCTCGAGACTTGTCTGGCGGCTGTCGACCCCGCCATCCTTTCCTAGAGTTTCCTGCGAGGAGGGAGGCTGAGGAGTTTGCCATTTGGTGCATCGACGTAGGAAATTGGTCTGCCGCAAGGAGGAGCCATTGCCTCGAGCGACCTCGACAGGCTGGTTGGCTTCCAGCACGGCGGCGTTTTGCATATGAATAACGCTTCCTTGATCATCGGCTCGCTGCGTGGCGACTGCAGGAACCTTTCCTCCCGTCAAGGATGGCTCCGGCGTGGTCTCCCCAGCCCTAATCTTGCGGTCACGTTTGTCTTCCGCTGTAAGCTTCCGAGGCGTCGTGCAGTCTGGCCATCGACCACACGGCATTGGATGGCCGCGTTGTAGAGCTCTGAACCTCATGGCCAGTTCAATAGTCAACTCTTTCGAGTCACGTCCTTTGAGGAAAGCGTCAGGACCTACGACCACAAAAACAACAGCAAGCTGAAGAAGTGGAGATTGTAGAGCCTATATTGCCAAAGCAACAAGCCGGCCCTGTCACCCGCACCTATCTGCTGCAAGCACGACGCAGAACGCTCACACAGGATGCTAAGACCGCACTGATGTTGGGCAGGACACACACCCCCTCCACAGCAATGGCCGCTATCCACCGCCCAGCGCACCTCACGCACCACGCGGCCAAGCTGGCGTCGGTAGTATCCATCGAGATACATACTTACACCGGTCGCAGGCTCTGTCACCCGGGCTCCCCGGCGGACAACACCCCATGGGGTGAGTGGCCCCCATCAGGCGAATAGCCCCTATGGGGCTAACGGCCCTCAAGTGCCAAGGCGGCCTCCACAAGGTATACACAGAAAGAGATAAATAGGACCTCTATTCTCGCACTGCTGGAGATGCCCTCAACAGTGCGAGAAGTCGGTGTCTCAAGGACAGCTTTATACAATCAAGAATCAAGATACGTGTTCAACCCTCTGACTCTTCGTCTAACGATCCCACCCCAAGGCTCTCTGACACTCTGGCTCTCCGTCTAACGATCCCACCCCAAGGCTCTCTGACACAACTCAAATCGGGACACGTCGGTTTGGCTCGAGAATACTAGCGAGACTGACCAAGGAATACTGGGAAGTAACGGAATGCTCGAGGCTGTCCCATGTTTAGAAGTTGTCGGAGCTGGGGTTCAACGAAGATCTCCTAGCTCAACAGCAGCTGAACCAAAGCAGCCTCCGTTCTTGGTGGTGCTACCCCGTTTTCGGACTTGCTAGGAGGCCTCCATGAGCACCAGGTCAGAGATTCTGGTGTTGTCCAAACACAGAGACTTGATGTGAGGGCATGCCTTGAGAAGACATTATTTTGTGGGCGAACCAGATGACGGTCGTCCGAGGTCAACGTCCGAAGTCGTGGCGGGGAGGAGATTGCCAGCGACTTACCCCAAGCGGCTGGGATCCCGGGCCTACGGGAGAAAACGAGAGAGCAGCAGGACGTCCAAACCATCGTGAGGGGTGCGTCGCAACACATGGCAAACTAACGGGCTAAAAGTGCTCTTTAATTTCAAGAAAGACACCCAGCCAGAAGAACTCGAAAAACTGGCTACCCTGAGGAACACCCACTCTGTTTCATCGGTGAATGTGCTCGAGGCCGCTGTCCTTTCCTTCCGACTGATGATGATCGACCTGTTTCCAGCAGCAGAGTCGGAACGAGGACCATCTTCCCGCGTACTCGGGGCCTGTCTGGCAAGTTCGGCGACGGACATTAACCGACAATACAGCACTGGTCATCTGCATACACACCCACAAATCAACCCTGTCGACTCTCATCTACGCAGTGGCCCTCGCGGCTAGTGTGGAGAGAAAACTAGGCAACACAGTATCTTCGGAATACCACCGCCGAGGACTGTGCAATCTGTTGTTGATCCGTGGCGAAACCTAGACCATCTCGGAGATGCCTTGCCCTCAAAGCTCAATGATTGTCCATGTCTTCATCGAACTGGGGATCTCGGAGCTCTATCAGCATGAAGTACGCTTTCCAGAGGCGGTTGAAGGCTTAAGAGTGAAGCTGACACAGTTGCAAAGGTGGAACACGGATCTCAGAGAGCTTGGTATGCCAGTAGACCGCCGCCGTAGGGGGGATGGGGTCTAATGTGGTTCCAGCACCTGCTTCATCCGCAGATCTTCGATTGGTGAATACAGCAGGGATGGAAGGACATAATTTTATCTTACCCAATTCCTCGCTCCCGGACCACCTCACATCTCACGGAGCAGGACTCAGCGAGACACATCAACGGAAGCAGGACATGGCACACCTGGCGAACTCCGCTCCTGTCCGTCGCATTACGGTGCCGGTTTCCTTCCCAGGCTCGGTAGGTTCTGGCTGCTTAGCTTGTCCTGGACAGGCTCTGCGAAAAGCGAGTGGGTGAGAATCACGCGGCTTGGAGCACGAAGCTACCACTTGGACCACTTCATTGATGTCGGCTAGGACAACCAGCCACTGCTCCTTGGAGTTGCTGTCGTCTGTCTTGGCCAGGAGGTGACGGGTTAGTGCGAGTCCCATGCCAGACACGGCACCCGTCACAACGGCGGTCTTCTCGACGGTGGGCTTGTCAATCATGTTGCTGCTGTTGCAAATGCAATTGTGTGACTATATTCCGATATATCTTGCTGCTTGTATGAACCTTCGTTGAAGCCCTCCCCTTTCAACCATTTGCCCGAGGCCACTCTTTTCCATAAAGCACGAGTTATTGGTAAAACGAGCTCCTGCAGCTGCAGATCCAGCACCTCGAGACGCAATGTCTTCGCAGATGGGAGCATGTCACCTAACCAACTGATTCAGGGTGCAATCACGAGCCGCAAAGGGTGATGAGGAGGACGCGCGGGTGAGGTAGTCTTGGGGGACTTCTTTACCCTCCTGCTTCTGCATGCCAAATGGATATTGCGAAACCTCCCACCGAGATTTCGAGGAAACACGACAGAAAAGAGGCCGACCTACCCCAACTCCGCGTCGGGAGTGTGGGAGGCACGTTGGCGGTCATCTGCTCGAGGGTGTCGATACCGCGGCCGCCCGAATCGAGGGATATTTGCGTGTTTCAAAGTCTTGAATGGCCTCTCGATTTGACCAAAAACTCCAGTGACGACCGTTGGCAGACCCCTGGCGACGGTGCGTTGTTGTCCAGCAGCGGCTCATCTCCTCCATGAGTCTCCCGAGGATATCAACATGAAAGCCACACCGTGGGGATCAGGGCTGGTGATCGTCCCATGAGAACATTGTGGACTTCGCATTCCAACAGTCGACTGCTCTCTTTGCGTCACCATGTCTGGAGCAACCCTGCTCCCTTTCTCATAGCTCGCCAGGCTGTCTCAGAGAGCGAGATATAGAGGAAGATATAGACAAAACGACGTGGCCGTCTTCGTTCTCAGAGCATCCTGCGAGATGCCCGTCGTGGGAGTCGGTGCCCGTGAAATGGTGGCTCCGGACCCCGTGACTCGCTTGCGGTCAAATTTGCGAGTGATGGTGCAAAGTCTCGAACGTATCTGCCTGTGCTTCATCAGAGAGTTTGGCCCCAGCGAGGAAGAAGACGGGCCGGCGCCCCACGCAGCTCCGCCCATGTCGCGTCGCTTGCCCGATGACGGCGTTCCTTTGTGCCCGTTAATGCCAACGCAGATCCAGTCGGCCTCCTCGCGAAACATAGTGCCTGCACTTGATGGAGCTTGGTACTGGGGCAGATTTCTTCCCCAGCACCGTACCGGGGGGAACAACCAAAAGCAGCTGGGGAGGGAGAAGGACCAGCGAGATGTGGGAGATGCAGCAAAGCAACAGGAGAGATACAAAGGGTTTGCGAGCCGCGTTCCACGCCCACGACGCAGAAGCAGTACCGCCCAGGTCGAGGATGGCGTTGCGTGCGGATCTGCACCAGGTTGGGACATTCACCCTGGTCGCGACACTGGCTGGAGAATACTATGCCTGGCTGCACACTCGGTCTCCCTTTCCCCTGCAAGACAGCAGCACCACAATGGGAGAAGCTCTGCACGGGATACTGACGGGGATGATGAGAACCGAACCGGCCTTGCCGTACAGCCTATTGCTGAAAGCGACTGGCTGGCGGCTGGGGACGGGACCGAGGAAAGAAAGCCCACGGGTACAAAGCGTCCTCAATCAGGCAGAATGAAGCGTGCCGCTTCACTACACGCTGGTCGTCAGTGCGTTGCTCCTGTCCCGCCGCGACGCGGTGCTGTTCTTCTTCGAAGAATCTCACGCAGTTGTGCGGTGTTTGCGGCACTGACCTGCACATCCACGTCTGTGGCAGGCCGGAAGTACATCTTTTGTCGTTGCGTGTTCTTTCAACTCAATGCGGTGATAGGGGCTGCAGAGAGAGGAGAAGATTTCACACTGAGCATGAGAAGTACCAACAGAAAGAGGAAGGCTTCGACGACTCAATATCCCCATGTGAATCACAGCGGGCGCAGGATTGTCTGCACGCGACGCGAGGACCGTGTGTTGATGGCCCACTCGACCAGCAGTCCCATGGGATTACAGGCGACGTGCACGTCCTCCGACGTGACCATGCGTTTCATCGAGGGCGGGTGGTCGCCCGTCGCGACCGAGAAGCTCGAAGCCATCCGCAGAATTACCACCGCGGCGTCCCAGGTAGAGCGAGACGAACACGCCACTGACCGTCCGGCCAGCATGCTCGCTTGTGCACCCGTGCCTTCGATGAGTTTTGTAGGTTTCAGCCTCACCTTCATTTGTGCTCCCTCAGAAGATGCTTGTTTCAATTGCACCAATGGTGTTGTAAAGGAGGATGAGCACCGAACCGGCCTTCGTTACATCCCCCTCCTCAGCGTGACCGCTTTTCTCTGCCGAGTATGCATGCACCTCTGCAAGGCCTTCCTCCAACAGAGCTCACATTTCACTTCACGGTCCAGCACCAGCACCAGTAAGTCGCTTTCGAGGCATCTTCGCGTAGACTCCCTGAGGACAGGTGAAGAAGGCAGTCAAGAAGTAAGAGCCGACGAGGATAGCACCTCCGCGGTCCGGCGAGACGGAACTCAATATGCCATAGCCATCGCATAACGTTATCGTCGGCAGCGGTCTTTTGGACAGAGATCTCGCAAATCCAAAGCCACCTTCAGCAAGACTCTGGAGTTCCTTCCTTTGCAGATGAGAATGTCTCTAGTTGATGAGCGCGGTGTGGCGCTGGGCTTGGTTGCGAGCAGCAAAGCAGAGCGCGTTTGTCAACCAACAGACAGGACAAACCCGTGGTGATCGCGCATGCGAGCGGACCGGGCTCCGAGATGAGCCAGACACACGGCATTCACCATACCCACGCACGTCCATGCCGAGTGCTGGCGTCCTGGGTCGAGACGCCGTCGGTCTCGTGGAAGGACACGCAGCAGTCAGTGGAAGAATGGAGTTTCTGCTGATGTCGGAGCAGCAGGTCACGCCTGGCATGGAAAGTCTTCCGATCACCGTAATCGACCTCTCTAACTGATACCGACGCCGAAGCAGTCCCAGAGGGATGGAATTGTCCAGCGGCAGAAATAGGAGCACAGCTCGCCGCACGTAGGTGAAGGAAACTCTGATGGCCCGTGAAGCCACCCGCCCCGGAGGCAGATATGTCGGCATCAGTTCCTTCTCGAACTTCCAGCGTTCGTGCCTTACCGCTATCGACGTCCTCGATGGCGTCTGGCACCGTGGCGACTTGACCACGAGAATGTGTCTGGCCAGCGCATGGAACGGTGGCACGTCTGGCAAATGTAGCGCTTCTCCCAATACAGTCGACAAGACCCTGTACAAACTGACGCACCATTCGAGGAGGACTAGCTCGCGAGGTGAGCTGGGCCAGTTGGAGACGTTTCGAAGCTGAGATGGCCTGGGACTGGGCGCTATGGAACTGGAGTACATGTTCCACCAGAAGGAGATGGAACTGTCCCAGGTTGCGAGCCTGGTCAACAGGGCTCCAAAGATTATCCCCAGGCTTCGTCGTTGAGATACACATTGCCTGTGAATGTCTCGTCGACAGTCGAATGGCAGACGTCGGCGGCGGAGTCGTAGAATCTCCTCGTCTGATCAGCGGCTCTAGGAGAGACAAAAGCAAAAGATTTCCTGCTGGCCCAGTACTCGATTTGGCCGGCGGCAGAGAGTCGGGCATCGTACTCATCCGTCGTCTGTTGTTACTCATTCACTCACTCCGGCGGGACACCGCTGGGCCACAATTTGATCCTATCGCTCCCACTACGCCAGACATGGCTCACGATGACCTCGGGCACAGACACGGGAGGCCAAGACGAGGAGGCCGCTCGAGGACGCCTCATCTGGGCACAGCGGCGATAGGGTATTCACGGAGTGCTGTGCAGGGCTTGAGAGCCATGCATGCCGTGCACGAGCGCCGACCAGGGATTCCCCCTCTTATCGAGCGCAGCAGGTATGTCTTGCTGGCACTTATAGAGACCTGCGCTAGTGTCTGGTCGTGCAGGTCCGCCGTGATCAGCTCGAAGGATTGCCCTCGACACAGGCACCGAACACACTCCCGCCAAAATGACTGAGGCGGTCCCCAGAAAGACCTCCCTCCGGCAAATACGTCCCCCGAACCACCTACCGTGTTCGTGTTAGCTTGTCGAAATTGAAGAAGCGCTTGGAGCTCGGTCTCGGCAACCCTAGCATCACCTGGCACGTGGCGCGGAGGTGGTTGCTGCACGTTGGGAGCCGCTGTGAGCAGGTTATGACAATGTTCTCGCGACCTCGCCGAGGACGGGCTTCTTATGGGTGAGACAGAGCATGGCGTAGTGGACCCAGGCGCTGCACCCAAGATGTCGCTTTATCCTCCTCTACCCCTTGCCAGCTGAACCTCGTAACCGTCCATCCGTACCTCGTGACTCCGAATTAGATATGGACGGGGAGGAAGTGGTGATACCCAAGGTAAGGGCTTTGGACAAGTGCCGCCGGGTACGATGAGCACCTAACCAACGGCTCCGGGCACGCTAGCCGGATACTACACTCTGAGGTTCTTCGAGAGACGCTCAAGGCTGTTGAGAAGCAGAAATTATGTCGTGACTGTCGTACACCCTGTCGTGCTCGCGTCGTCACCAACACTAACTCCTTATGACGCGCCGTCTTCAGCCACCTATCCGGTTCGACGAGATCAGGAGCAGCTATGGAGCTTGGTGTGTCGGGTTCTGCGTAGTTATTGCGCGCTTCTAATCATCGACACACACATATCGTGTCATGTCATGTTATGGGCGACACCCGACCGCACGTCCCCGACCTCGCCTGGGTTTGCGGGGGATCACGGCGACCGAGACTGCCCACGAACTTCTGGCGTAGCCGGCGCTGCTTGGGTTGGAGCTTGTGGGTCGAACAGCCTCAATTCCTGTCAGCCATACAGCGCGGAAGCGCCCGTGATTGTGTGCCCTAGCCCCTTTGCCACGGCACGAGCAAGCACGGTAAAGTTGTGCCGGTCTCTGAGCCTGTCGCCTGTGCAGCGTAAGAGAGACTGCGTTCTCAGCAGCCCTGCCGTGGGAGCAAGGGGCTTCCGCTACTCCCACCACATGGTGGTGGCCTCGGTGTCTGTGAGTATCTCCCCTTTTTAATCGAGTTCGTAGTTTGTGTCGTAGTCTTTGGATGGTGGATGGTGTGGCATCATGCCCCAAGAAACTCACCATATCGAAAGCCTTGAGCATCGTCTTCATGAAGTTTAAACCCTATGGTACCGATTCAGGCGAGATTTAGGAGCTCCCTGATGCACGGAGCCTCTCCTGAGTCCCTGATGCCGGTGAGCCTGGGCGAACGGGATATCCAGCACGGCGTCTGGTACTCCGTAGCGAAACCTCCTCTGAAGCTCAAATCAAGAATTTTCGTGCTTGGCTGTACGAGGCTGAACGATGTGAGGCACTGGAGAACCCATTCTGGCGGTGAAAGCAGCGGACGACGCGGGAACGGCGGGCGTAGCAAGCGGCCCTCGAGCTTAGATGGTCCGTGTCGCTCTCTCAAACTCTCTCGTGGGGGGCTCGCCAACTGACGGTCTTCGTCGCTCGAGACTTCCACCACGGAGACGCATGTACCGTCCGACGTCGGCCTTGACTGACACGGTGCCGGAATTCTGGGCCGCGTCTGTGCCGCCCTCGACGTCGCCGCCGCGACATGAGGATGGCTGGACGCCGGCAGGGTCGAGAGGGTCCAGCAGTGATATCCTCTCATGTCGATTCCTTAGGGGAGGGGGATCTGCTGGATGGGCGGCGTGCCATGCCAGGACGCTGCCTCTCCCAGGCTTCCACAAGGTCCAACAACGCCTGACCCGCGAACAAATTCCACACCGAGGCCCTGAGTGAACTCTTCCTTGGCAATGGTGTGCTAGAAATACAGGAGCATACTGCTATACAGGGCGCTTGAAGTCTCAACCATGGTCCAACAGACGCTCGCCGGCGAAGTGGGAATGTCTCTCGATCAGCACCACCCGGTTCATGTCTCCCACCGCCGAGGAATGCCTCATCCCGGAAGGCACTCGTCGTGAGGAGGTGTTACGTGCTCAAGCAAGGAGCCGCGTACTCAAGCAAGGAGCCGCGTCGAGACTGGCGTTCCGGGGGCCAGGGAGGCATGGAGCTCAGCACCATGCGCACGAACACTGCTGCGTAACCGTGACCTGTTGAGATGAACGTTGACGTGAAAGATCACTAGGGTGGCACAAACCGGCAGGTCCATAGTCTTCTGATTGCGCCCAGGGATGTGCACCAGTATGTCGACAAGGCGGTCCTGCGGGTTGAGCGGAGGATTCCATCTGGTTCTGGGACACCATAGAGGAGGAAACCACATCGTATCAGCACCGACCAGCCCGACGACGAGATCCAGTGGGTATCGAGCAAGAGACTGTGCTGCAGGCCCTCTTAGAACAACCCTCTTCAGTCATTATGCGCCAGTCTTCCTAACCATAACCTGCCTATCCGTGGAGGGAGATAGGAGATGGGGCCAAGACCACTTTGAAAGAAATGTTCGTGTAGGGCGCGGTGGAGATCGACGCGGCCCACCCATCCGTCGACCGCTGGGTGCGGCCGTCGAATAGAAACGCCAGAGCCACAGGTTGTCTATAGAGTGCTGGCAACCTTCTGCTTGCCTTTTCCATCTCGAAAATCTTTTCTTGGTCTGTGTTGCTTGATTCTGTGAAGCTATAACGGTTGGAGATGGATTTTAACCCGTTGAGAGTTTCCGTGTCGCCCCCGGCCTCGATCTGCTAACCATCACGAGGGTCTTAGGCGCATCGCGTACCCACACGGGCCAATGGGGTGGGCAAGACGACGCTCCTGCGGCCGATCACCGAGGCGACCTTGATCTCGCACCGGGCTGGGGGCGATGTAGGGCAGCGTTTTCACCGCGTGACTCCCTAAGGCGACCTGCTAAGCGTGGCGAAAAGACTGAAGGTGAAAAAGGACGGGCACTGGGTGCTGGGTACTGCACACTGGCAGTGGTAGAGGTAGAGGTAGAGGCAATCGAGTCCGTAGACAGACTCTCCATGGAGAATTGATTCCCATACAATTTTGGTGGTGTTGGATGCCGCCGAACTTTCCCACGTGATTGGTCAAAGGTCAAGTGGCACATGACGTTACAAAAAGCAGCCAATCGGATTTCAATATTCTTCCGCACCAATCAAATCCGCGGCTTCTTTGACGAGTTTGCCTGTAGATAGCAGAATAACAGAATTACACGCTCCTTCGTACCCCCATGTTCTTCTCAGACAACAAGTCCTCTGCCTTCGATGCTGACTCTCCTGGAGACTCGTCTATACTCTCTCTGCCCCCATGTCTGTTAGCTCAGCGCAACATATCTGGGCTCGCTCCCGATCCAAGCGTCCGGCCAGCCAGCGGTCGGTTGTAGAGCCACGTAGAGAAATTCCGGTTCGCCTGTTCTACGTGGAGATATATATATATATATATTTATATTTACGGCTCCCTTCCACCTCCCCACGCCTTTTCCAAACCTTTTGGCAGCCTATGGCGATGCTAGACTCGACGGCGCCGCGTCGGTTTTGTGAGTCTCACTATGACCTGGCGGCTCCTGAGCCGAAGAAGGCAGGCGCCGCTTCGAGGACCCGATCCGTCATGAATTCCGTGCCCGGGGTGATACAATTGCTATCAAAGGGTTCTTGCTCACCCTCCCACTCTGGCACGGACTCCATCCGCCGCTCCACGACGCTATGACAGCCTGCCAGACGTTTCCGATTGCCTCTCAGGAATGTCACTGCCGATGATTGTGGACGTTCAACAAGGCCGCGGATCCTTGACCTTGGGCGTGTGCGGCGTCCATGGTCGCCATCACCAAGGGCATATGCGGGCCCGGCACCTTCTTTCTTGGCTTTAGGTAAGTTAGTTAAGACTTTGGTTAAGCTTGAAGTCAAGATATTTAGAGGCCCCTCATGAGCCAATCTCGTGTCTTGCAAAGCGTTGGGGTCAATGCAACGCCACAGCAGGGAAATCTGCACAGGTAAGTATAATGAGTGGCCACGAGTAAACATTCCCACTGCTACATGAATGAACGTGTGATGTCGAAACCACAGACGACGATACGCAGAAAGCTTTACAGAGCGCGAGACGCTCTGTGTGCAAGAGAAGAGACCCCAAGCCCTCCACAGACCAGAAGGCACTTCGTCCTCGAAAGAATGGTGAGCAGAATACGCGGGGCACTGCTGCTCGCTTCGGCGGACGAGCCGCAAGTGCCCAATGACATTTCCGCCCTGGAGACGTGAGTCCCCTCTTAAGGCCCCGGCCAAGGAGAATATCGCTTTTAGTACGTCCCTATACGAGATTATCTGCGAGAGCCTCCTGCGCTCTGCTGTTCATGCAAGCTAGGCCTCGATCTCAGCAGCTTGGCTCTGGAGTCAGCTCATCCCGCGTGCGGCTTCACAGGTGGTTTCCGGCATCCAACCCATGTCAACGTTCGCCCAGAACAACAGCCGGAAGAATAGATGGTCAGATTGATTTCTGCACAGGGGCGAGGCGCGGCCCCTGCTGATGCGACGACAACATCACACTCTTCAGAACAACCGGCGCAAGCCCGAGATGTCTGGTCGCTGCAGCATGTCTGGCAAGCCGTTGGGGAAGCATCTGTCCACCCTCGCAAGAAGATCTATAATCCGAGCTACGTGATCCGACACCAGAAGGTACGATTTTTGACATGAACTCATTGGTGCGTCCAGCTCAGCTTGTTCCCTCCTGGTGGGCAGTAACGCCGGATGGTGGCAGCATCGATTGTAGGGGGATGACGCTCGTGATGCTCGACGATCCTCCTGCCATGAAGGGGAGACGAAGACCCTCGCGGCGACATCGAGGCCGGCAGTGGACTCGAGTGCGCTTCGGAGAGCCAGGACGCAGTCAATCACCTTCTCGGACACCGGAGGGAGGGTAGATCGTAACCGTTCCCGGATGCTGAGCATGCCGCAGCGCCATTTGTGCCCGTGCCGTGGGCGAGGTTGTTGGACAAGTCCGCCGCCATGCGCCGAACTCACCCGTCTCCTCGTCCTCGAGGGAGCCAAGAGTCTCACAGCAGGAAATCAGAAGAAGTCCACATCTCAGCAGATGCGCTCGCCCTTCTTACCAAGCCGCATGGCCTTCTTGATGTCCTCCTCGCCCTGGACAGATGAGCAGCTTCTGCTGCTTGGAACTCGCAGCACGCTCTGTTCGCGATCTAGATCCTTTCGTGGGGCAGGTCTCAGATTCTTCCCATTCCGGCCGTGGGAACGGATCGACCAATTGTCGAGCTCAAAAAGCCCCCGTCCCTTCAGGTCGTTCGCGGCCTTCTTGACCTCAGCCGTCGCTTGTTCAATGTCCTTCAAGCCACTGGCCGTGACGTATTTGCTGAGCAGGGTATCAATGACTTCGATTGTCCCAGCCTGCGAGTTCAACCCACCACCGGGAACTCTGTAGGTGCCGGCCATGTGCGCGCTGTACGCCTCGTGGCCCGGCAGGATCGGCGAGAGAAAGCGCTCGGCGTCGCTGACCTGGATGTAGATGAGGGGATGGGCCTGAGTCTGAGTCTGCGTCTGCGACAATTACGACGACGGCACCGGATCCGCAAAGCGCTTGTGGTACATCGAACAGCTTCGTCGAAGTCCAGTAACGACGACTGCAGAGCATTGGGACAAGGCTTTGCACCTGGGGGTGGCATATCTTCCGTTCAGACATCGACAAGCACAAGGCTGTCAACAGTTCTGGACCGAAGGATGCAGTTTCCTGGCACTTGCCAATCCATGTGTGAGAACAAGCTAGGAACAAGAGCGAATCTACCAAGACACAGGGTACGAGCTGCGTGCGTACACGAATACCAAAAGGGTGAACCTAGGAGCCAGCAGCCGTCATGACTACCTGCAGTCGTGCATGACCCTATCGATAGGATAGCCATGCCCGACCTGCGGCGGTCGAGGGCCGAGCGATGTGATACTCTCGCATCTGCGATTGACGCTCTAGCGCCAGCAGCCTCTGCTCCAGCTTCGTCTTATTCGTTGGTCAGTCCCAGACTCCCGCAAACTGGACAACCAGAGGGTCCAGTCAGACCAGCTATAGTCGTGATCCCCATTCCCCATGAAGGAATGCTCCAGCATTGCCACCAACCATATAGATGCCACCACCTGCAATCCGTTTGCCATGTTACCACACACCACCTATCTTTGCAAAGGTCGAGAACGAGAACGAGACGTGGGCGGACATCGTGCAAGTCGCGTCGCAGAACGTCGACAAGTCGTCGCTGACCCTGTGGCCGTAAGTTTTCCCTCTACTCTCCTCTCCTCTGCTCTCTCTCCTGATTGTGGTGAGTCGTCACTGACGTCGCGTATGGGACCAAAACAGGTCCTGCAAAGTCCCCGAGCTGAGTTCCTGGTCGGGCAGCTCCGGGAGAGTCGTCGTGATCGGCAGCGCGACAGACGCCATGGCCCCGACTGGCGGACAGGGAGGAGCGATGGCGTTCGAGGACGCCTTGACCTCGGCCGACACTCTAGCCCTGATCGACAATAAGAAAGAGGAAGAACCCTCCGTCAACAATCCACCTCGAGAAGAGACGCTGCTGCAAGTTCAACAGTGGCAGAGCGACAGATATACGTGTCGAAGATGGAAAAGTCATCAGCTTCGTCTCTTCGCTCCTCCAACTCCGTTCGATCAGACCGCACCGCCACGACATCGGCCGGGTCACAAACGTCGGTGTCGACCGGGATGCAATCAAAGCTCAGCATGCAAGTGCCTCGTTTCGTGGACGACCATTATCCGGTGATCACGACCATCAACCTTCACACCGTTCCTGCTTCCGTACCCAAGGGCCATCCAGCCTTCTGGTGTGCCCGCCAATGCGTAGATGTCGGAAAAGGCAGAAGCCACTGCACTGAAGACGATGGGAACTTGTTCGTTCCCGCACGTATACCTACTAGTAAACCCAGGATTGTAAGATTGCCAGTATGAACTCAGCGGGCGGCAGATGACAATCAGCTCCACAACCAGCCCAGCAGTATAAACGCCTCTAAATATGGTTGCCGCCCAGGTAAGCCGAATGAACCATGCGCTGTGGCTTCTAGACGACAGTCTGCGGTAGACAAGCAAGATCGAGAGCTTGGTGCAGGCGTTTCCGAGCAAGAAGAAAAGTTCACTAAGCCACGCAGATAGCCGGATGTATTCCAGGCGATCCAGAGGAACATCCCAAAGATGCATGTTCCAACCATAGGTTGTGAGAGCCTCGTATTCGGCAACAGTTTGTCCGATCGACAAGGACTGGAAATAATCAGCCCAAAGGTTCAACTTGATGAAGAAATTGTTCCGAACGAATCCAACCTGGACACTCAGCCCAAGCAGGCGACCGATCTGCCCGTCGAACTAGGAAAGCAGATAGTTCAGCCCGAGTCGCCAAAGAATGAAAAGGAAAGGTAGAAGCGGTTCACGTTCCATGCGGCACTCTTTGGCGGAGACAAGAGTCACCAAGAGGTCGCGGAAAACGTAAGCAAACTCAAAAAGGGGCGAAGAAGGACTCTATCTTTCAGTAGAAATAGTGAAGTGGAAAAATCAGAGAATAAGACTGCGACACCGGCTGAGGCGAACGACCAAGTCGAAGTGCATGGCGCGACGACACTCATGCTTTACCACAATATACCTCGACGAAGGCGGCCGGCCCGGACCTGAAAACGGCACTCATAGCTTTTGCTTTATAAAGTTCGTGAAACTGAGGGAGCCAGGTCTGAAGATGGCCCGCCTGGGATGCGGGCGAGGGAAGTGTTGCACCACCGCGCCCCAGAAAAGCGACCGACCTCGAATCAACCAGCCCGCAAAAGAGGGAGCGTGGCACCATACATCAAGGATTGTGTTTTTTGCTGTCGGCGGCCAATGTGCGTCTGGAATGTCTGGGGTTCGGAAGCAGTGCCTTACAGCGAAATAACTGAGGAATAGAGAGATGGATCGAAGAAGTCTTCGGGCAGTCTTTCTTATGTTCCGTTTTCCGTCGATGGCTTCTGGTTAGGCGATCAGCGCAGCCTCCCGCCCGTTGGAGCCAGATGCGAAGGGCGTGGACTCTTTTCTTGCGTCCTAGACTAGTCCACTTGGGCATTCGAAGATCCTCGTGAGCATGATATGCGCGAAGCTGTCCAGCCAAATGACCTTCTCTCGCGAGCGGCGTGCGGGTCGGACTAGCGGACCGATTGAGGTTCTTGATGCATGACTCCAGAACTTCAATCCTGTTTTGGAGAGACTCGACGTGCTCAGTGGTACGAAGACGTTTTCTCTTCTTGCGGCGTGGTTCTGGGTAAATACAGTCTCACAAAATTAGGGATTCTGTTGAAGGAACAAGGATGTTCTCGTCCCAGGCTGACCTTCAAATAATGTCGTACAGTGGTTGCACGGATCATTTCTGTCACATTTGATCTTTCTTTCTCGACAGGAAATGCAAGCCCTTGAGACAGGACGGAGGTCTTGTGCCTCGTATCTCTTTTTGTTGCCCTTGGGACTCACACCGCGCGATTATCCAGAATCGCCGTCAGAAAAGGTGTGGCGGGTGGCATCCACGCCATCTTGAGACCCATTCCCGGGCCCGTTATTTGGATTCTGAGGGCCCTTGCATGAGGAAGACTACATGGTATCGGCTGCATGTTCATTGACCTTCATCCTCTTCACCACGTGGTTGGTGAGAATGCTAATACCATGAAAAGCGTAGAGTCGTCCACCGGAGACATGGAACATTGGAGTCTATGAACCAAGTCTCGATCTGAATATTGAGCTTTGTGCCCACCTTAAGGGGAAGGTCTTCTATCACTTGCCAGGTCTCTCGATTCTGGACGCGAACGCCTTCACTTGACGACCATTCCCACGGGCCGACCGTCGAGGCAGACTCACCTCCGCCCACCCCGAGCCTCTCCCCTTGAACGAATAGCAGCGAGGCAAAGTACTTGCCGTAGGACAGGGAGATCTCCAAGATGGCTCCCCGTACGGGTCCTGTGGCTTCCCTGGAACCCGTCCCCGAGACGACGTCATTGACACTCTCTTCGTCATGAGGCATCAGTTTCCGCCCTCAGCAGGCCATTGTAACACCATAGGCACGCCGAAGGCGTGCGAGAGGACGGCTTGCAGAGCCATGTTGGGTCAGATCGAGGACCCTCCATTCCGTCTGAAAGTGTGCATAGTGCCCCAACGGAAGAACCCGCAGTAGATCCAGCCGAGCAATCCGAGAGCTAGACAAACACCGCACCTGTCTGACAATACCACCGCTGGTTGGTCTCACGCTCTCGAAACAACGGTATGGACATTGTTTAGCGAAACGGCGCCGAGTGCGATCGTCCGCACGCCCTCGGGCATCATAAATGACCAGGATCGACGCTCTTGACATGTCTTGGCAGTCATTCATTGCAAAACCGATAGATGCCTGGACGAGGGGAAGCGATTTTGATGACGACGCGAGTGCAAGTGGGAAGCACACCATGCAAAGACATCGCGTCACGTCGAGATACCCGTGCCCGCGTACTCAGCCGGCAACGGGCCTAGAGACAACCTGGCCCACCGACGCCTACGCCTGAGCACCAAGGACTGCGATCACCGTGGCACTGACCGTCGAATTCACCTGCTCGACGTCATATGTGTCAATATAGATACGTATGTCGTGACTCCGTCTCCTACGTCGAGAATAGAAACGAGAAGTTTCTCACTCGAGGATGGAGACGTGGAGGCCCATCCATGAGACGGACGTCCAGAAGTTGAGATCTGCATAAGCTCGCTGTCAGACCTGAGACTTTTCATGACGTCCCAGTAGGCATTGACCGTTCCTCGCATGTGGAGAAGTCACCCACTGTCTCGGGCGACAAAGCGGTACAAATACTGGCACGGCACGCTGCTGACCATCGCCATCACCCTGATATGCGGACCATGGCGTCCACCTCGCACTGGAGACGAAGATCGAATAGAACGACCCTGAGTTCATCAATAGGGAGCGTGTTTTGGCACACTTAACGCGCGGTAGCGGCGGAAGCACAAACGACGACCGTATATCTCCCCCGAGACAAGATGACCGCGTCTTTGGGCGCAGTGAAAAGCCATTTTCGGGGTCGAGGGGCACTTGTCGGACACAGTTCAACGCGCTCGCGGCCCATCGTGTGGTCACGAGCTCCGGATGCGTCGACGCTGGGTCCCAGATGGCAACTGTCGCTTTCCTGTCCAAGCCAATCATGATGTTTCATGAACCGACGATGGCCGGAATGATGTCGACGTCCTAATGCTCCCCTGTATAGCGCTGACGGTACATTGGGATGTCGCCTAAGTCTAGACTACCTTTCCATGAAATTCGCATATGTTTTGGGTTATGTACTAGATCAGGCTATGTGGTGTGGCGTAGATGGGCTGATGAGGATGATGATGATGAACTGCCGGCCGGGATGTTGTCGCTGGTAGGGAAAGTAAGTGATGAGATGGCCTGGCTCCGAGGTCGCCAAAGAAATCGGGTGTCCGTGCCAGTTTTGAGTGAGACGCACCAATTCCTCCCGGGCTGGAGACAGTGGCGAGCAGTTCCTCTCTCTCCCGGTCAGGCCGAACACGCCTTTGCAAGGACTTGATGAGCGGGCTGTGTTGCGGTGGACGCTGCGGGGAGGCCACAAGCCTGGTGGCTTTCACGCGTGATCAGTGCCTCAATTCCCTGCCAGAGGGAAAAAGACAGAGAATCCTATCAATTATCGATAGATTCTAGGCTCCCCCGTGGTAGTACGGTGGAGTAGAGAACCCCCACCAAAGGTTCGAGATATTCTCTTGGCGCCCAGTCTTGGCCCTCACACATCTCAAAAATCCACTTGCGACCTTGAAGCCTTTACCACCTGGATTCGAACCCTCGCCTCGTGTGCGTAGCTCAGCCTGCCCGCAGGCGCCTGTCAGAGAGCCTTGGGGTGGGATCGTTAGACGAAGAGCCAGAGGGTTGAACACGTATCTTGATTTGTATAAAGCTGTCCTTGAGACATCGACTTCTCGCACTTGTTGAGGGCTTCTCCAGCAGTGCGAGAATAGAGGTCCTATTTATCTCTTTCTGTGTGTGCCTTGTGGGGGCCACTCGGCCATGGGGTGTTGTCGGCCGGGGAGCCCGAGTAACAGCTACCGACAATCTCAGTACATAAGTAGGGCGTCTCGAAGACATCAACGAGGAGAGCCAGCTACCAGGCCGACGGTATGAGAATGAGATCGATGCAGATGTGGAGGCAGAGAGCGAGAGAGAGAGAGCGCTGCCGGAGCAAATGGAGTTGTGCTTGGTACTATTGCGAATTTCCGAGGCCGAGGAGTTCTGGGCTGGGTGACCTGGTGTCGGACTTTGCAAACTCACCCTTTGCACCGCTTACAAAGTCTTCCCATCATTAAAGAACCCGCCTATCTGGGTCATCGTCTGTTGATCCTGTTGAGCGAAGCGAAAACAGTATCTATAGCCAACCTCGTCGAAGAAGCGGCGGTTTTGCTCGGTGCGGACGAGCACTGAAGTCCGATTGGCTGCTTTTTGTAACGTCACGTGCCACTCGACCTTTGATCAATAATGTGGGAAAAGCGCCTTCGTACAACGGCGACGGACTCGCTTTGCCTCTACCTCTACCACTGCCACTACCACTGCTAGTGTCCAGTACCCAGTACCTAGTACTCGTCTTTTTTCACCTTCAGTCTTTTCGACACGCTTAGCAGGTCGCCTTAGGGAGTCACGCGGTGAAAGCGCCACCCTACACTATATTTCAGTGAATCACAGAGCCACAGAAAGCCTTCGGGTACACGATCGGCAAGCCCATCGCGTATGCGTGGCTGTCCAGCGCCGTCTTTGTCCTCCTTGTTAGTTTTGTTCATCTATATGCTATTGAAAACATGTTCAAAAGTCAAAGCCCGAAGTAACTCGATTGGAAAGAGCGAAGACACGAAAGAGTGTGTCATAGATGGTAGAGGCACGAGGGTGAGCTGAGAGGTCGAGGGGAAGGGTGCGGGCCGCATTTGGCTGATGTATGTATTAACCGCTGATAGTGGCAGTTTAGGAGATCAAGAAGGTACGAGTCGGTAGACGAATAGCAGTAGTCTCGGGGGATTTGTGTCTGGATAGCTTCATTTTCGAGGACAGCTAACCCCTTTGTTAATGGTTGATTGCTGCCTCACCCACCTCCCCACGGCCGTGTCTTCGGCAAAATGGCCGTTGGAAGATTCTTCTTCTCCTTCTGCCCCGACTGACTTGCCAGACGCAAAACGCCCAGCGCTAGACGAGGTGGCCAGAGAAGATGCTGCCGCTGAGGGATCTGCCACTCCCAGCAGCGGTCCAGCCGAAGGCCCGAAGCCTTTTGAGAAGCACCCACGGCCAGCACCGGTCACAAATGGATCGAGGGAGGGACATGTTGAAGGCACCTCGGGAGCGGACGCGACTCGCTGTGGGACGGCGAGGGACTAGAGTCGGATCCGACCTGCCCTCTCTGTTCCAGACCTTCATATTGGTGCAACGCCGCGACGACGAGCAGTTCACGGCCGGATGAGTTGCCAGGGAGGATCTCGACGCGTTCCATGATTGAGTCCCGCCACAATCCCAAATCGAGGAGGTGCCTCGTTCGGCTTCATGGTGTCCATCGGCACAATCCAAGAAGATCTTCAGATGCACCAACCATCGACCTATACGTCCCGCAATATCGGCTGGATTCCTTCAGTCTTTGTCTCCCTGGCTCTTCTCTCTCTTCCTTCCATGCCTGCGAAATAATACCAGGGTTCAGTCTCGCCGGCGACGGGCTCGAGCTTCCCTCGGAGCTTTCCTCCACATCTTTATTCTTGGACCGGGGGATTTGTAACGTCGCCGCGCCAACTACTATGCGATAGGGCTCCCGGCATGCTCGCGATAATCTACTGGCGATTTAGCGGAGCGAGTGTTTGATCGAGTTATGACCATTTATCTCATATATACATGCATGAATATGGACAGGAAAAGTCATATTCTCGAGATTATCGTGATGATGGCATTGAGTTTGACAGGAGGTCAAGGGCGATCTATACGCCACCTCGTGGGAAGAGGATAACGCCACCCAACTCTACATACTCACACTGAAGCCACCGAGGGCGTCGTGCAGCGGCACGAGATCCTGCAAGGAAGCCCAGGTCCTCAGCAACATTACGTCTACTGTGGACATGGCGCTGAAGAAGCCGACGGTGAAGATCAACCGGAAGCCAGCGTCCAAGCGCACGCTGGCGGCCGGACGACGCGCTGCTCTGCTTTCTGAAAGCGTGCGGCGAAACTCGCGACGTGCCATAACTGCGGTAAGAACATATCAGTTATATCATCGTTCTTGCTCGACCCACCGTCCACACGACGTGGCGTGGCCGCAAGTCATACATTGGATATAGTGAGACAGGATGGGAAGATAGCCCAGCGGCTTTCCGGCCTTATGTACTTGAAGAAGGTGGTGTCAGGTCCAATCACACCATCTTCATGAGAACAAGATCCAATAATCTTGAAACACCAGCCCTTCTTGTGGAGCAGCTGAACAACGCTTGAGCCGCTCGTCTTGGGGTTGGACCCGGAAGCTGGAGGAGAGAGGCGTTACCGGCCTCCCGGGGCCGAGGAGCGCGCTTCGGCTCGGATTGGCGTAATGGTTGTCAGCGACCCGTCTTGGAACACTGACCACGGAGTCTAACATCTATGCGAGTTTTTGGGTGTCAAACCCGGAACGCGGAATGAAAGTGAACGGAGGTAAGAAGCTTCGGCTTAATAGCATCTTCTAACTTGATTTCCGAGGCATATAGAACCACCTTCGACTGGATATTCGAGGATGATGGGGTGGAAAAAGATGCGGGCCAACCACTATATTCTTACGACGTCGACCCTCACCCGTGCAAACACATTATGGGCCACAGCTCGCACCGACTTTTCCTCCTCGGCACTGAGCCTCTCCACCACGCTCTCGACTCTGACCTGCCTCTCCACTGGCTTCCACGAGAAGTAGAGACTCGCGTACAGATTTCACCCCCACGATCCTGAAGCGAGAAAGATCGAGGGCGCGAGCACGGAACCTCCGGCTCACGTTTCATTCGAGTGCCCGGATTGCGGCGTAGCGACCTACTACTGCTCGGCTGGATCCCTGAAGACCCTGGACGTCGTGCTCCATCTGCCTCAATGCCTTGACCACGGCCTCGTCGATCCCTTCTTCTGTGGCGATGGCACCAACGACGCTGCCGCCGTGGCACAAGCAAACGTTAGCGCGTGCCAAAGTCGACTTTTCAAGACGAGTGCTGTCCCTACTGGCCCTTCTGCCGCTCTAGTTTCTCAGAACTTTGCGAAGTATGCCCGGGCGGCTGACCTTGGCCAGCCAAATTCGCAATCAACGCACGGTGTGGTTGTTTCTCCTGACGCCTAGGAGTGGGCGGAGCGTTTATATGGTCGCCTTCACGCGGCTCGTGTGAACGCTTTCGGCGGGTGTGTATAGGGAGTGAGATGATGAGTCTCTGCCGCACGTTCTGTGCATTCAGAAGACTTGAAGCTGGATACAGGCAGGCCGAAAGCCCGCGGACGAGGCTGGAAGTGTGGGCTTCAAGCGATCCTTAGACGGGCAAGACAACGGTGAGCTAGGAGTCGACGTCGACGCGACCTTGTGGTCAGCGGGATCTTCGACCTCTTCACAGCCTATATCAAGAAAAGTTTTGGTAAAGTCAAAAGACGAAATCCTGGCTGCTCGCGGAAGGCTACAGAATGTTGACTAATCTGATCTGATCAAGGCGCAGGGGAGGGTCGATCTCGTGAATGAACAAATTCCTGTGCGATCTACGACGTTATCGCCGCGGTACAGCTCGTTACTCTTTGAGACGGTGACCTAGATTTCCTCCGCAGCATCACTCGGTCATTCTTTCAGCATGGTTGACTCGGTGTCGTAGAAGCATCTGGAAGAACAGGCGAAACACATTACACTGGTATAGGATGCAGCACCAACTCTACAATTGTACATATCTCAACACGGCCCACAAGCGAGTGAGGCTTTGGACTCAGCCGATCAATCCGTTCGTGTTCTTCGATGCAAGCGTCCTGGGTCCATCCTGTCGCTTTGCGGAATGCAGCGCCAGTCATGAAATCTACTCCCTCTGTCGATACTTTCCTTCCTGGCAGAAATCGACCCAACGAAGAATACATCGAGAAGACCCAAGCCATTTTGGGTGAAGTCACCAGCACATGCTGACGAATCTTTGCTTTGGTCTTGTGCAAGTGGAGAGAACAGGGATTTCCAATCAGTCGAGGCTCATCTGCCGTAGCACATGAGAAGGTTGGTCGGTCGCCTTGAAACGCTCAGAGCCTTTCCCCCGTGTTTGATAGTCCATTGCAGTTTCTCGACCAGCTCAACCGAAAATATTTTCCGGAGAACCGACCAACATCGGTCGACAGAGTTTCCATCATTGTATGTTGTTAGCCGCCGCACCATATTCTGGGCTGTACGTGCCTAATCTCCAGATGACTCGGGACCTCTGAGTTCCTCGCTTCACATATATAGCTAGACACGAAAGGCCCGATGATGGGCAGGGTATAAATATCCCTAGGACTGCACTGTCTTGTTCACAGCTTGGGCGATCTGATCTTTGATATCCGGCCCTGCTGGCATCGAAAAGTGGAAAGGGAGCAGAATGGTGTAAAGGTCTTGCCGCAACTCCAGTACCTGGCCGCCAAAAAGCACGCGCAGATAGTAACAGCCCTGGCGGGAGTAGAGCTCAAACACGACCTCGGAGCCCATGCCGGGCCAGACCATGACTCAAGTGCTTCCACCTGATCTAGGAATACCCTAGCTCTCGAGAAAAATAGGAGCGAAAGGATCCTGCGCAAACACTTGCGCCCCGTCTACGGATCTCTCACCCGACGACAATAAGGCTCGGGCCCCCAGAAAGTAAGCTCTCCAAGCCCGAAGATATGGCTCTGGCGTTGTCCCTGTGGCGTGTGGATAGACAGACCCAATCTCAGACCGAAACCAAGCATCCACGGACTCGATATTTACTCTGTCGTAGTATTCGTCGACGGCGGCTGGACTTCCTTCTGCGCATCCCCAGGCCATACTTTGAATATTATGTTAGCTTGTTGGATCAAAAGAAGGTGTCGCACGTGGTGCGTTTCGGCGAACGGGTACCACTGGTCCAGCCACCGACGGTCACGAAGCCGTACATAACGGGCATGAGGTATATTTTGATCTCTCCGAATTTCTCTCACACCAAGACCCCCCTTAAGACGGTGAGGGCGAATCATCGACTCCCAGTTCTGTCAGTTCAAGACAATCACCGGGGTTAGTCGGCAGCAGGAAGCTTCGTCATTAGAGACCGCCAAACTCTGAGCAGACACTCGGCTCTTGCCGGGCAGCAAGGCCGGCGTACTTCAGGATGTCATACAACTTCACTGCGGGAGTACAGGTCCTGATCCCTATCACCAGCAGTCTCATGGCTTTCGGTCCAGTTGGTGGTGTAATCACGCTCTCGATCTCGCTCGTACTCTTGATATCCATGGCCGCGTTAAAGGTGCACCACTTGTCCTTCTCTTGATCTGGCCTGGACGCGGACTACTCCTTCACACTTCTTCCACACACAGCTTGGGCGATACCTCGACGGGTGACTCGGATTTATCTCTGCCGTTGGGAGATTTCCGCCAGGCTCGTCCTGGTCTCGGTGCTCCCATCTTTGTGCTCAATTTCGAAGTTATGCTGCAGCATGACCGTGTCTCTGTCCCCGTTTTCGTACTCCCCGCCCGTCACACGTGTACAAGTATTCCCCGTCCGCAGAGTTGCGTCTTTGTGACCGAGTGAGTCTGTTTATTTGGCTAGCCTGTGTGCTTCCTGCCCGACCGGCAGAAGGGGTTTCAGGGCTCGCTCCCTCTGTTGCTGTCGCAGGGGACGGGGACGGGGACGAGACTCCCAGCAAGACTCACCTCCTGCTGTGCTGTTCCTGTCCGCTCTTCTCTGCCCCCACGCCCGCATTATGCAGCTGGGCGTAAGCGGCAACGACCAGACTGAGAATGTACAGAATAGATATGACGAGATGGGGCAGCACAGAATAAAGAGTGGAAGCTTGAAAAGGATAATCTCGACCCTATAAGTCTCCTCTTTGTGACCGAGCCTTCCATCGTTGGAGCACCAAACCCGACATATCCGTACGCACACTGGAGAGAAGCCTCATCATGAGCCTGCCAGTTTCCCGGTTGCGGCAAGACGAGGCCCTTCTGGATCTGCTCGCGCTGGTACTCCTTCAGGGCCGGGATCACCACGTGCTTGACGTGACTGCCTTATCGAGCCCCCTTCCTCGTGTCCCACTGTCTGTGTCATGCCAATGTTCGGAACACGCCTGCGCTTCTCTCACGCAAGACGTGTCCTGGAGATGGTGTTCGTGCTTCCCTGATACTAATGTACCCCAGATCTGCTGACACTAGTAGGCTTCTATATCAACCTGCCGCCCAGCGGCCTCGTGATATGTACGCTGCTGTCTGCAGTGCTGTCAGTTCTTGCTGTTGAGGGCACGTAGCGTGCGTAGAAGCCAGACATGTGATATGGCGATTGAGGACAGAAAGGATGTGGCCGAAGGACAACAAGAGAGGCGCAGCACGGACCCCTCAACATTGGCCTGGGCAGGGGATGAAGCCACCGGCGTGGTGGATGTGAGGCCGAGGCGGCGGCCAGCCTCAGACTTTTGAGCTAGAGGCCCACGGATGGAGAATGGAGGGTCAGTTGCGCGATGGCATTGGAAGAATTGACGGAGCGATGAAATGTTTCCATGACTGCTTCTGGATTGCCTCGTCAAACACCCACATTGGTGACATGCGATTTTCCGAGTACAAATGGTACACCCGAGGACACATCACTGGCTGTAGCCACGATGCGCGAGCGACACTGCTCCACTTGCTTGCTGCAAGCAGAGTCGTCCGACCACGACTGGACGATCTCGAGGATCTTCAGCCACGCTTGATCGAGCATCAACTTTGTGGCGGAGTAGTTTAGCCACAGAGCGGTAGACACAATACTGGGATAATTGTAGACCTCGGGGGAGAAGAAGTCCGGGTAGAGCCAGATGGGCTCGTGGGTACAAAATGCCGGCACGGGTTCCAGGAGGTTGGAACTTGAGATGCCCAATTCAGCAATGCGTTGTCCAATCTCTCTGCTTCATTCTGCAGTTTCTGGGCCGTGTGAACAGCCCAAATGTTTCCTCCATAACCGGCGAGATAACCCTGGAGCCACGTTTCTGTGCATGCGCCGTGGGCATGTCGAGTCTCCGACGTGACGAGCATATGATTCTCCCAGCCCAATGCCCTCAGCCCTGGCATCGACCACTGCCTCCAGACACGAGGATCTCGAAAGCGAAGGTGGCAGCAGCTAAATTGGTTACAAGTCGTGATAAAGGGAATGGATGTAACAGGAGAAATGGAACAAACAAGAGCGTCGAGGTAAGATAGGTGTGGACGGAAACGCTGCAGTCATTTCCCTAGTCCAGGCGAGAGGTCGCTTGGTCTCAGATCGAGATGTGATATGCTGGGCAAGCGTCTTGACGAGGACAGAAACAAAGTCCATTCGCGACTGTAGTTGCTCGCGAGTTGGTATGGCGTTTGGTGAGGGTTGTGGTAGAACTCAAGGACCGGCGCGTTGCTCAATGGTCAGCACTGTAGTTTTCTCCACCAAACGATTGAATGCCCGGTGGCTGCGGGTTGTCATTTGGCAGACAAGGCTGTCTTAGCCCCAGTCGCCTGTCTCAAGCGCAATCACCGCACTCCCTCGGACTATCGCGGCATTGCAACAAGATGTTTGCAGAGAACAGCATTGCTGCCAGTTTGTCAGAACACCATCGGGAGGGCCACTACACATGTTAAACTCAAGCTGGAAGAGAAAGAAGACAAAAAAAAGTGAGAAGGACGCATGTTGCTCGAGATCGCTTGCGCCATGTCTCTGCGGTAGAATCCCTGACTCCCTGTGGGGACTCTTTTTTGGGATGGACTGTCGAGACAGATACGGAATGTAATCTACTCTCCCGCACTCTTTTCTTGCTGAGTACGGAGTCCATCGCAGGCCCATCGTGTCATACTGTTCCAGGCACCGACAGAGTAACAATCAACGATGCATATGTGAGCGGTGTGACTAAGATGAGTCCTCACTATGGAGGCCGCCCAAGTGCAACAAAGTCGTCAACCCAGATTCACTTGCCCAGACACTGCGTTAGTGGCATATCTTCTCAACGGATGCTCAATATCTGCTGCTGTCACACTTCGGCACCTGGCAACAGCATCAATAGCCGTTTAGTCAGCTCGTTCCGATGCTCCGTCATAGCTGTCGAGAGGCGAAGCTGCTGGTGCTGCTCTGGGCTAACGATTCCGAATCAATATTGGCACTTCCGCTATCCCGGCTTCCAGCGCTAGTTCTGGCACTTCCAATCAGACCTTTCATAAAAGCTTTTGGTGGTGGGAACAGTTTGTTCACTTATTTCGCTTTGTTCCATTTAGTGTGGAGGAGTGATACCGAGCTGGCGCGGTGGATATCTCGGTACCAGTGCAGGCATTCCTCCTGGGGGGGACGGACGGGAGCGACACCGTTAAGGAAGACCGCCGCCGCGGTCACACCACGAGATCTCCGCAGTTCGACGGGAGGAGATCGACGCCGTCAACGAAGACCTCCGTTGTGGTCGACGAGAGGCGGTCGACATCGTTAAGGAGAATTGTTATCCTTATACCACGAGAACTCCGTAGTTTGACGAAAGGGAGTCGGTGTAGTTGAGGAGGATTGCCGCCTCTCACAACGAGATCTCCGAAGTTCGACGGGAGGGCCGTTGCGCTGTCCTAGTTGTATATAAGGATCGAAGGGTGGAGATAGTCGATTGGGTCCAATCGATTTGGGCTGAATGGGTTCCCTGGAGAACGACTTGTCCGTGTACCAGGTGGACCAGGAATGGTCCTCCATTCGCAGCCAGCTCTTAAAGCCGTTCATAGTCGCTGTCACTTGAGTTATCGAACCAAGGCGTGTGAGCCGACTCGTGGTTCAACACCTCAACGTCGTCGTCCCCATTCAAGTTCAAATGATAGACCGACACCGACGGCTCATCCAGGGCAGCAACACTCTCGATGTCATCCAAGTCAGAGACAATGGCACTGGCATTGGCATCGACCTGCACTTCTAAGATCCGGTCTCTGGAGGACCTCAAGCGACTAGGGCGCTCCGACTGTGACCTCATAGCCTGCGTCGATCGAAGGGTAAGGATCAATAAACGACCAAGTGACGAGGATGTATACGAAGCCATCTTGGAGCACAACGCAGTGAGTACGAGTCGGCTTCGATACACCCAAGAGGCATTCGAGGAGAATAGCAGAGGATCGATCAGCTGAGAGCTCTTCGAATTCGTGGCACATGTTTGAAGTCTGCTGCCATCCTAGCAGACGATGCTTGTTTGGGTTGCTTCCACATGGTTCCCGATTTGTAGCTGTTGTGGCGCAAAAGGCGCAGTGTGCTCGATTTAACGAGTTACGTCGCCCGAGTTCGGAGTGGCTACTTCCACTGTAAGTAGCATGATGGAGTTGAGATACCCCAGCTCCAGAAGTTTTCATGCTCGACCCAGAACTCAGATTAGCGGAGCTCGCATTTAGGAATACGACCCCAGCGGCGCCCCAGACAGTATTGGAGAACAGCTGCAGCACGATCAAATACCTGCCGAGACTCCTGCAATATCTTGTCCTTGGCCGTTTTCGGGGGCTGCGCCGTCTGTGTCTGGCTCGACACGTGGTCGAGGTCATTTCCCTGACCAAGGCTCGCATTGGATGACATCAAGACCGTTGCTGCCCTGGATGACTTCGGCTTCAGTGATAGCCTTGATGGTACCCAGGGAGAACTATAAAAGACAAGATAGACACCACGTCTTCAAGGGACAAGCACGTCGGTTTCAAGAAGGCTCCTTGTGTAATATCTTAATTGCTACCGTCCTTTGAACCTCCGAGTTGGTCCAAGAAGGAGAATAACATGCCCATGGCGTCGTCAGAAAGTCAACACATCCCATCCAGCCGGTAAGGTCGGGGGTGTTCCCTGATGAACGGCCTGTGTCTCCAAAGTTCGACGGAAGGGGGTCGATGTTGTTAAGGAGGATGCCGTCTTCACACATCGAGATCTCCGCAGTTCGACGGGGGGGCGACACCGTTAAAAAGGGACTCCCCTGCTGTCACACCACGAGAAATCGTTGTCTCAAATCAGATACCCCATGAGATTGGTTGGTTCGACGAGGCGGAGGGCGTGGAAAGCGCGAAGCTAAGGTGTCTCGATTTGAATGGGAGGCCGTGCTGTTCAGGTGCAGAAAGGTCTCAGCTATCGGCTTTGTCGATAGTGACAGTGGAGAAGGTAAGAAAGGGTGTCAAAGACGTCTCGATTTGAGGATAGCCAAAATTACCACAATATGACTGTGACGGCAGGGCACATATGCGATGGAGAACGCTCCAAGAATGTGATTTCCTATGTAAGGAGAGACTAAACTGGGGGAGAGGGAGGAAAGAAGGAAAGGAAAGAGTGAGTTGCCACGCTTTTGTGTGGCGACCACCTCTGCCAAGCCCCCCTTATCTGCCAAGCCGCCACCATCTCAGGTACCCAATCAGGGTACCGCATTGTCCTGTACGTAGCACGGGACCATATCGGCTAATTACCGTACTCTCTCACCTGGCCCGGTGTGGACAGGTCTTGCCTTTCCGTGTGCACGGCAGTGACAATGACGGTCATTTCGTCATCAGGCAGCAAAAGACTCATAGAACCTTTTCTCTAGACACCAGAGAGGTAAATATAGCCCTGCGTCTCCTCATAAAACAAAGGGAAATGCGACGCCGACAAGAGATTCCATCGGCGAACATAAATATCCTAAACATTCCAGTCGCTATTGGATAAGCGCCTGCGATAGCTATAGCGGGCCACGTCTTCATCTTTCTGTGCAACAGACAGTAAGGTTGATGACACGGGCGTTCTCCAATAGGGCTCGCCTCGAACCAGAGATATAACGCAGGTTGATTCCTGTCATATCGGATCTTGACGTGATTTGGGGTATCAAGAGGATGAGGTGGTGGAATGAAGTCGGGGGCTCCGCGGTATCTATCCCTCATCAATCCCTCCGGAATCGGTTTTTTGCCGAAGAAGACGGCCTGGAAGAAGTTGTCCGCCGAGGCGGGGCATGATAGGCGGCTGGAACAGTACTGCGTCTGGTTGAATAGAGAAAGAGATTGGCCCACGTGAACTTGGGTTCGATAACGGAAGCCGTTCTTGAGCATGTCCTGGCTGTCGTTGTCGGTCATGAGCACGTCGTTTGACAATGAGTTCCCAATAACTGGAGGACTGTCTGGAGAGACCGATAGATCACTCGTGGAGAGAGTTAGGTTTGCTTGGCGACCAACGGCTCGTCTGGCCCAACGCTCATTGTCTGTTCCGCCATGCTTTTGTCATCCAACTGTTGGGATGGGGATGAATTTTGCTTCCATCTCTTCTGGTCTGTAGGCACAGGAGAAAAGCATAACAACACAGAGAAAACCATGGCGACGGTTCAAGAAGCTCCCTGGCTTTCCGGCGTCGCGTCCAGCTCCCTTCGTGTGACCAGATACTCGCCTCGAAGGACTGGCTCTGCATCTCCGTTATTTAGAGTCGTAGCGGTCGGGTCGTTGTCGCGGGAAAGGAAAAACTTCTCATGATCTCCGCCGAGCAAGGTATTCTTCGATTTCGGCGGCGTCAGTACAGGCATCAACGGTTTGGTCAGCTGACGACGTCGATCAGAGCGAACACACAGTCAAATGTATTATCGAAGGCCACGACTCTCTGTATTTGCGCCAAGGTTGGGGTCAAGGCCACCAGCAGTGCGATGAAGTTTGGGGCACTATCGGCTGACTTGGGAATCTGGCATGCAGCGAGCAAGCCCACTGGGACTCCTCAAGGGTGCAATGTGCCTGAGGGTCGTCCTGGTGGTTGTCTTGGAGGTGATCCTGTAGGTGATTCCGCATCCTGCATAACCGGAAACTGAGGGTGACCGGCTTCCAAATAATTAATGCTCTTCACTTTAGCTACTGTTGCGAAAGTAACGAGCAAGCAATAAGTTCGCTGTTGTACCTCTGTCGTTATGAAACCTCCTCAGACTTGCATTGCAGTGACATCACGAACGCAGCCGAGGGTGAAGTTTGATTGTTGGGGCGCGGATCAGGACAGGAAGAGAGTCATCACGTTGACCAAGACTTAACATTAGCGTCGAATGTCACTGAGAATTTGACCCGGGCCCGCTCGGTGTATCTAATTTGTCTTCATTGACCCGCGAATCACAGCGTAAAGGTGTAGACTACGGTGGCAATATCATCAATCTTCACGCCAGGAGAGATCACAGCTTTGGTGCCTACGACCACTTCTGCAGTCAGGTACACACCATTGGCGATCTAGTACCCCTTTGTTCCTTTTCGATGAAGAGCGTCTTTGCAGTAGTCAGTTGTCAAGATGGCGGCGCTTGGACCAGCAATTGTGCGAGGACCTATTTCGATTATGCCGGCATTATCAAACGTGCAGTCCTTGCCTACATATACACACCATCTTGAATTCTGAGATTATACACATATGTGCACGTGAAAGGCGCCTCAATTTGAACTTCGAGACCGACATAGCCCTTGCCATGATTTGTAATGGAAACTTGTGCGTCGTGTCTTGACTTAGATCAACCACCCTGATCAATAAGTTGCGCACTTCCTGCTCGGAGAGCCCACTGTCCAGCTTGCAGACTACATTGTACCGTTGAAGAGTCCGCTCGCATCGTTGACCCTCATACACCAAGGTAGGATTGAAGCGATCATACTGCAACGACTTCAATATCTTGGACTTCTCTATGTCCTCTTGACTTGGAAGCCTGAAGCCGGGCCTGGCTTGGTCGAAGCCTGGGGAAGACAATCTTGCACTAGCTGTAGAAGTGAAATGACTTGACGAGGGAGTCATGTTTTCAGGTGGATATGTAGACTGCTGTGGCAGAGGAGCTGATGGCGGGCCAGCAACAATAAAGATTGACGGCTGAGAGGCCGCATGGCTGGGGAGGGTACAGTATTTGAACTGAAGGCTGAGCTTGGTAAGAAGACCGAGGATGCGGAGGGTAAGAATTGCCTCGATTTGGCGACCTGGGTATATCTCGTGAGTTTGATCCAGGTGGTGGTCCTTATCTATTGACCTCAGAATGAGAGGGAGGATTTTCTGAGATCCAAGAATTTTGACTCTGTTGTGACGGCCATTGTGGTTGACTAGGGTAGGGTGGTCGGTTCGGTGCTTCCTGTTACCGTACGGTGGTTGGCGCAGTCCGTTGTTGTCGTCGGTAGGTACAGGCAGTGCTTGACCGCCGTCATTGTGAGCGCTTCGGCAACTTGGACGAGAGATCTCCAACTGCGGTCGTTTCCGTTTCTGCCTGACTTGCCCCTGACCGCGCGGTTGAGGGTAGGTGTCGCCGTTAATCTGTGAAGGACGCTCGGTGTCCATCCGCGAGTGGTCTTGTGGGAATGACAGCCGGCTAGAGGTACTGCTTTCTGCGACGACATGGTTGGTGGGGACATGACTGGCGCACGACAGATTCGCCTACCGTTGCTGGAGGTGCAGTTGGCTGCGACGAATCGTCATGGACCAGTATCTGGGCTTGAAGCCATATCTTTACCCGACAAACGATCCGGTTTGATTCATCAGCAGCTGACTGTCCTCAGCGACACAGAACTGTATGAGTGCCTGTGGATAACCCCAAGCCCCCTTTTGCCAGCCACCTCTTGAATAGAACGTGGAAACGGGGGAAGATATACATAGGCCCTCGGTGAAACGTGCACTTAGATAGCCTCCCGTTTCTATTAGGGCCAGCGCGAAAAAGGTCTTCGAAGAGCAGACTCACTGGAGGCTGTTGGGGATGGCTGGCATGTGCAAAACGGCGCACTGGGAGGTGGAGGCTTCAAGGGCGCTTATGATCTGTGCAACCTGAGGAGAGTGGCAAGCGCCAAAATACTCAATATACTCATCCGGCTCAGCCGCAGACCCGGTTGGTGCATCTTGAGAACGTAGGAAATCCAATGAGGTCCCCAAAGATTCCTGCGAGGGTGAAGGGGGAAGCTGAAAATAGGCCGATTTGCGTTGGCGGGCTGTGATTGCATGTGACCCGGAAGACTTGCCATTTACGTCGTGGTCATTTCTGGTCCATTGTCCATTGCGTCTTCCCACGTCAAATCGCAGCCACAGAGTCGGTCATTTGAAGGCAGTTCCACCACTTTGCTGTTATTTTACCGATCGGATATTCTTCACAATGCATCTGTATCATCGCTGGCTCAGTGTTGGCCATGGTTTAGCATTAAATTGCAGGCCGCAAGGCGTTCAATCGCTCATCGCTGTGCAGCTTTTACCGCGCCCAGGTCTCCCAACCAACTTCGCCGTTACCTCGCCGTCATTGCAGCCACCACGACTACCTCTCTTCGCCTCCTCTGCCTGCGAGGGTGGCATCCCCTAGCGGACCATAACGAGCATTCAAGCTTAGTCGAACCGCGAAAGGCACGGTGTGCCTATCAGACCACACATGTGCTCGCAACGTCCCGCCAGAGGCCCCTCGAACACCAAGCGTTTTCTGAAATTCGACGATCAGGGAGAGCTCAGCCTGACCGGAGACCTTCAAGATGACATCCCTCTCTACGCGATCCTCTCGCATACGTAGAGAGACGATAAGGACGAGGTCAACTTCGACGATTTGAAGCACAAATCGTTCAAGAACAAGGCTTGCTATGCGAAGATCCGATTCTGCGGCGAGCAAGCGAAGCAGGACAAGCTTGAATACTTCTGGGTGGACACGTGCTGCATCAACAAAGCGAACAATACCGAATTCGGAGGCCATCAACTCGATGTTTCACCGGTGCCGCGATGCCCTCAAGTGTTATGTCTACCTGGCCGACGTGTCTATCCCTGACGGGGAAAACCAAACAGAATGGACATGGGAGGCGGCCTTCCGCAACAGCCTGTGGCTCACACGGGGCTGGACACTTCAAAAGCTTTTGGCGCCGGCATCGGTGGAGTTCTTTTCGCGCGAAGAGCAACGACTGGGTAGCAGGAGCACCATCGAACAGCAGATCCACGAGATCTCGTATATTCCAATTGCGGCCTTCCGCGGCACTCCTTTATCTCAATTCAGTGTGGATGAGCGCATGCGGTGGGCAGCCAAACCGAACACCAAGAAGAAGGAGGACTAGGCATACTGTTTGCTCGGAATTTTTAATATCTTCATGCCTCCCGTCTATGGCGAAGAAGACCACGCTTTCATTTTCAAGCGATCACGTTATGGGAGACGTAGTGTACATTTGGGTCCGAGAATCCGGTCGCGCTGCAGCATCTTGACGGGATGTGGATGGCTACTTTATAGTTTAAGGTACGATTAGACACTGTTGTCGCTACTCGATCGGCTGTGTTCTCACCTCGATATCGATAAGTATAGCGTCGAGCAGCGGTGGATGAAAATTTATGAGCTTATTAGTCGTAACATTCGGATCGTTGGTCGAGTTCGAGATGCGGTGCGGGCGCTAGAGCAAGTGGTGAGAATTCAAGGGTGGACATTAGTAGAGGATCATCCCGATCGACTGGGATCGCAGCACGCGTTGGCAATAGCATATCATGCGAATAGACAAGGGAAGGAGGCGGCGGGGTTGCTGCTGGAGGTAGTGCGGATACATGAGCAGACACCGGCGGACGATTATCCTTCACGACTGGCGTCGCGGCACAATCTGGCTGCTGTCTTTTGGGAACTCGGCCGGCATGCCGCAGCTTTGGAGATGATGAGGCATGTTATAGAGATACGCAAATAGGTGCTTGACTCTGATCACCGTGATCGCATGGCATCCGAGGTTAAAAGTTCAATCGACAATGGTCACACGGCATGGCATAACGTATTTCCTAACCCAGCCCAAGAAAGTTCATAGAATATCTTGTACTTGCATGTCCAAGTATGCAAGCACCTACCGTAGTCTTCGTTTGTGTCCATTGCCGCTAAAAGCCAAGGGCAGAATGATTGTTCCCTCATTCATGTTCCACAATGTCAAACCATTTTTATAAGAAACTGCCACGGATGTGGCTATCCGAGACGCGGTACGACCTACGCAACCAGTGTCACCCGGGAAGCAGGGCTGTTACAATGACTGTTACAATGCGCTTCCCGGCCGACAACACCCCATGGGGCCAACGGCCCCAAATGCCAAGGCGGCCCCCACGAGGCATACACAGGAAAGAGATAAATAGGACCTCGATTCTCGCACTGCTGGAGAAGCCCTCAACAGTGCGAGAAGTCGATGTCTCAAGGACAGCTTTATACAATCAAGAATCAAGATACGTGTTCAACCCTCTGACTCTTCGTCTAACGATCCCACCCCAAATCTCTCTGACACTACTGCTATGGCTATGATGGCTACCGCGATAGCTATCACGATCGCTGCCTGCTTGCAGAGTGAACCCGACTCGACTCGGCTCGGCTGGATCGACGAATAAGCTCCTTTCACTCTCCGAATACCTAACGGAAACACCCGTTCGTCCGCATCTTTCCAGCTCGCGTGAACCCAATAGTCAGTCCAGAATGTTTTCATCTTCTGCGGTTTGATAGAAATATCTATCTCCCTCCGAATTGCTGTATCGCCATAGGTTCCTTTAGAGATTTTCAAGAAAGGAAGATTTCTTGATGGCGTCTCTCCGAACGCGAAAGTCTCCTGAAAAATCGACTCTGGGACACCAGTAGTATCCCGTTCCCACACCTCCCATAGTATCTTCATTACCCCAATCACCTTGGCGGTACCGCACCAAATTATACCGGTTGTCTCGTCTATTCGGAATTCCTGAGAGACTTCGGTCGATACCGGAGATTTAAATGTTGGCGTTTCGGTCACTTTGATCAGAACAACGCGTTGAATATCAGCGTCATTATTCAAATAGAACGGAGCGAGATATCGGAGCTCTAGGAGAGATTGAGTCTGGTCCACTTCGATAATCGTATGATTTCTGCTATCGCCTATACTCTTTCTCCATCTAATAAATAAGTCGGGTATTTTTTGCGCTGATACGTAGTCTTCTGTGACCATCCTAATAGTTGAACCCTGACTGACCGATATCTTAGGCCGGAGAGTGGATGTTAAGTTTGATTTAGTATTATACGCGAGTTGCGAAAGGAATTCAAGGACGGTATGGTGTCTGTGACTTCTTAGAGGTATAATAGTAATTAGAGAGACCGAGCTATCGAAGAAAACCCGAAATAATTTCCTAAGAGATGTCAGCGCGCCGCCAGAAGAAGAGAAGTCGAGGATCAGTGAGGATAGCAAGCAAGTGCGTGGGCGGGCGTCTTTTTATATACGGAGGAAGTTATATCCGGTCGAGTACTTCGCATGATCACGTATAACAACGGTGGAGTGGGAATCACCTCAAGTGCATGATGTACCAAGAAGCCTTTGTCAAATCACTGCAAATAAACCCAACCGGGGCTTTCTCGACTGCAAACGGATGAGCAGTCCCTACCTTGATGACAGGGAGTCCTTGTTGATGGGACTGCGATGTCTGCAAACAAAGCCTCACCAGGGCTTTGTTAGTCGGACACGGATGCGTAGCAGTCACTACCTTGGCGGTAGGGCGTCTTTGTTGATACTGTCAGCAGATCCACCAGGGCTGCTTTGTTGATCGGACACGGATGCACAGTAGTCTCTGCCTTGATAACACGGTGGCTTTGTTGATAGCACTGCGATATCTGCGAACAGAGCCCCACCAAGGCTTTGTTGATCGAACACGGATGCGCAGCAGTCTCTGCCTTGATGACAGGGTGGCTTTGTGGATTGCACTGCGACACACTGCAAACAGACCCAAGTTGTCACCCGGGAAGCAGGGCTGTTACAATGACTGTTACAATGCGCTTCCCGGCCGACAACACCCCATGGGGCAAATGGCCCCCATCAGGCGCTTGGCCCCCATGGGGCGAAAAGGGCGAAGGGCCCCCATGGGGCCAACGGCCCCAAATGCCAAGGCGGCCCCCACGAGGCATACACAGGAAAGAGATAAATAGGACCTCTATTCTCGCACTGCTGGAGAAGCCCTCAACAGTGCGAGAAGTCGATGTCTCAAGGACAGCTTTATACAAATCAAGATACGTGTTGAAACCCTCTGACTCTCCGTCTAACGATCCCACCCCAAGGCTCTCTGACAATTATTTTGACTACCGGTAGCTTGATAAGCAGATTTTTGGTGATCCAGGGAGGAGCGAGACAGCTGATTTAGCCCAGCCGTTTGCCACCACAGTCCATGGCGGAAGGGAGTTTGGGGCATAGAAGAAAAGAGGTTGCCGAAAGGTATGCCTGTGCAATCAGCATTCGTTGGCCGGATGGGGTCGACGTGGCACGGTGCAACGGGAAAGCAGGAAAAGATGACTCCGTGTGTGCCGGCGACTGTGGTCGCAACACCACTTGTGACTATGTTTGCCAGCGCAGAGAACGGCTCGATCTGGGTCTGGGGGCTCACACGACGACCCCTTTAGCCGAACAGCATCATTGCACCTTCATTCTTTGCTCTTGGAGTCTTGGTCCTCATCTTTCTTCCTGGGCTCTGGGTCCCGATTGAGTTGGTCCCAACCAGATTGCTGAACCCCATTCTGAGGAGGTTGCTTCTGCTCTTCCTTAACGCTGCCTGCGGCAGGGTCTTTCCTTCCAGATGCGGTAGAGGGCATGTTCGGAGGACCTGGGCGCTTCGCTGACTGTAGAGAACGCCAAGAATCCCTTTAGGAACGAGATGCTCAAGATGCAGTGAGAATGGGTGTACTGAATCGAGCAGATATAAAGTAAGACTTGCTGAAAGAGGCCGGTAGCATCCAGGGAGGTTTAGCAAGAGCAGTTCTTATACCTGATGGTCCCCCGTTACTGACCTTTAGGCAAGTACATTGCCGGTTCCTGGTCATTCTCCGACTCGACGGGGTCAGGCAACTCCATGAGCAAATCTTTCTCGAGACACTCCACATTCCGGTTGGTAAAATCTTCTCATCCAACGCCAGTGCATAAAATACTTGTCAAAAGATCAAAGAGTCGCCATGAATCCTCAGAGCTCTACTAGCATTCATGCACCGGGCCATTCCTTTCAACCGCTGGTAGCAGTTGGCATGATGCATGTAGTCCTCCTTACACTAGTCTGCCAAAGGGAAAAGTCCGTATCATGCATGTCCATGGATGTGGGTCTCCTGAGAACGACATGTCCCCGGGGAATCAATGACAGAACGCCAGTGAGGTGGGTTCCTGAAGGACCAGGCTATGGAAAGCCATACGTGCGGTGACCGTGGCTACGGACCGCTGCCTCCTTGGCATATGCAAGCACTAGTCTATCATGCAACATGAGGCAGAGACCACCCCCAGCCTCATGGGTCATTCATGCTCCACACCACTGGATAGATGATCTAGTATTCGCAAAGATGTACCACGTTTCGGTATTTTCCGTGTTTACTACGATGAGCCCACCGAGCACAAACGGAGAATGATAAGGCCTGCATTGGGTGGCTGAACATGGCGATGAGAGAAGAGCAAGTCACGAGCGGAATGGCTGTTGTTGTGTATATCCTTAGTGATAGAAGTCGTTATATTCAGCAATAAACGGGTTCACGAAGAAGGGTAAAACTCCCCTGTGTGGTCCGTTTCCTAAGCAAAAAAGGTTTTCTGACATGCAATTTCATCGTCTGGTTATTAGCTGGGACAACCTCACCTGCTTGCGCTTGTTGCATTCAAGGTTCTCGTAATTCAGTAGGATGTATCAAGCCGCTACTTATAGACTGCACAAGGGTCGCAAGACGGCCGCATACACTCTGTTTGTCCGCATTTTAGCAGCTGAAAGATCCACCGCGGAAAACAGTGTTGGAATACTGCAGGGGTGTCGTCTGATGGCTGGATGGACGGCCACATGGAACTGGAAACAGAAAATTGAATGGCTACGAGTGAGCCTTCGGCGGATCGGATCAGCACGCCTTCACACACCGCCCACTCCTCCAACATCACATCGATAGACGAAAGGCTTGAGGTGAGCTGACTGTACGTGACGTTTCCACCCGTTGACCGAGCCAAAACGGCGTTGGCACCCGTAGGGTTCAAATAAACAGGCTAACTGGCCTTGGTGGTCCCGGATGTGCGCCAACGGGTTTGTCAAAGCGATTGTCTCGATCCGAAGCGAAAGGCGTGTTTTCCTCAAGGGGAGATGAATGGCTTGCTGTGGCAAGGTGTGACTGGCAAGGGAACCTCTCTGGACAGTAAATTCGATAGCAAGTTCGCTCAATTGCGCGTGACAGAATCTACTGTAGCACCACTCTACTTGGCTGTGGTCTCTTTCTCTTAGGCACACTAGCCTCGCCAGAGATAGGGCTCTATCGCGGTGCGATCAACAGGCGTTAACAGAGCGCATTCATACACACCTTTGGCCCAAGTGCTAATCCCATAGCTCATGCACCATAGAGAAATAGGTAGCTTCCGATCCTCACATAAAATACTAGGCAGGAAGAGGTGGAAGATGTACGAGGAAGCCCTCCGCCATCGATTCCGACTTGGTCGGCATAACTAGCACTGCGAAGATCTCGAGGCTCCTGCGACCTTTATCCTGTCGACATGCCGCAGTGTCATGACGCTTCTGGCTTGGCCAACATTTTCCCAGAACGCTCTTTCACCCTTCCGTTTCGGGCTGCTGGTCAAAATAGAGATTGAGGCGTGAGCCCACTGGGACTCCTCAAGGCGACAGCGAAGCGAGGAGAGACTTTCCAAGGGTGCAATGGGTCTGAGGGTCGTTCTAGAGGTCCTCCTGCACGCAGTCCTAGACGTTGCTCTGAAGGTGGCCCCGAATGGTCCTGCAGGTGATCCTGGTGGTGGTCTTGGAGGTCATCCTGGAGATGTTCTCGTGCGTGGGCCTGGCGATTACCTGCTGGGCATTAGGAAGGTCACCACTGCCGCCCCCAAAGTATGTAGGTATTGTATCCAAGTAGGTATTGCTTTGCTGGCAAAACGCAGAGTAATGAGCTCGGCTGACCCCGATGAATGTCTGCTCACGGGGGCTTGTCAAGCCGATTTTGACAGCGAGTCTGTAATGCCAAAGTTCCACCTTTTCTTCCCAACGCCAGCAGGCTTTCAGGGAGCAAGATAGAGGGAGAGGAGGGAGAGTTTCGTCGAGACCGAGGCGAGGAAGAGATTCAGCGAGAGTCAGAGGAAAAAGGGTTTGGTCGAGAGAGGGATGAGGAAGAAAATGATTGAGAAAGAGAGGGGGAAGAGATCGGTCGGAGGAATCGAGGAGGTTTCAGACTGAGCGGGCGTGAGTTTAGGGCACTGCGATCCGTCAGTTCCACACCCTGTAGGACACGTTGTTCACAGATGATTTCACCGTCACCAAACGATAAGATTGAAGCCGCTTAACGAATATGTTGGAGTGTTGAGATGAAGTTGTTGAAAGTCAACTTGGTGGACGGCGACGAGGTGGAAATGGAAAGGATGATTGTCGGTGTGTGTGCGGAGGCATGATGGATTGTCGGTGTACGCAGGCAGGAGTCGGGAGCGGAATAATCCGCCAAAATCTGCCGAGGTCACGTGATCTGTCTTTTTCAGAAGCGCGGCCGTGCGTTCACTCTTGCCGGTAAAATAGACTATGAGGCGTGAGCCCATTGGCACCCCTCAAGGCACCAGCAAAGCGAGGAGAGTCTGCGCAAGAGTTCAATGGGCCTAGGGGCCGTCCTGGATGTGGCCCTGGAGATGGCTCCGTCGGCGACCTTCATGTCTCGGTCAAACAACTCCCTGAGCCGGGCAACGAGCCGCGGCCGAAGGACGTCCGGAGAAAAAAGGGGGACCGTGGTGGCCACGGTTGAGTCGGGCAGGACAAGCAGTCGAGAAAAGATGGAAGATGGGACGTGCCAGCTGCTTCTCGCTCCAAAAGCCGCTTGCATGGGCTCCGAGCTCAATTGGAAGTCGAAGCTTACGTCTCAAGGGTGCAGGACGAGACATCCCGGCCGAAGGACACGATAGTTGACATTACCTAGGCTGGTGAAAGTGGTGCGAACTCGAATTTGATTTAAAATAATATATCGACGGATTTTTTATCCACAAACGGTCAAAAATACAGTAGGTACTGGAGAAACACGGGGTGTAAATGTCCCAGCATTGGAAATTTCGGCCATGTCGCATACTGCCAAGCGTCGTCTTCTCTTCCCTTTCACCACGACTGCATAACAGCGACCTTTGACCGAATGATCAGTCCTCTTGACACTACCCCGTGACGACCTCATCGCCACCTTGGCCGATCTCATGAAGCAAATGCCATTTTCGCCTCAGCGCTCCTTTCAGTGGAGCAAGCCTGGGTTGCGTTTCGGAGGAGGTCGTTCGGTATGGTGCATCGACATCATTCGTTTCCCGGCTGAAAGGCAGCTGCAAGGCTTTCCTGACCAACCGCGACAGCCTGGTTAGTCCCTTGTAAACGGAGCTCATAGCGCAAGTTACGTCCACCAACAATGACGACAAGCCTCGCATATACTTCGTAATGAAAGAGACCTTGTCACAGACATGTTTGTTATTCCTCAGGTGCGTCACGTCGAAGACGATTTGGCTGAATGATTCGCCGTCTAAAGGCAGCGTTGGCGTCAGTGTATAGATGTAAAGCACCATTCACACTAACCACTGTCAAATCGATAATAGTCTTCGCGTTCGTGATTCGTAGTACCGCTCTCTTCGTCACCGTTGTTCTGAGTGACTGAGGTCGGTCTGCCCTTGCTGTCTGCCACATACAAAGTTTCCCTGGATCTCGAGCTCTGCTTTATGAATGGGAAACATGTATCGTCCCGCTTGGACACTTGCTGCAGCATAGTTTCGCGGCCCTGAGAGAGCAGCCACTGCAGTCTCGCGCTCAGACACACGAAATAGATTGTTGACACAGCCATGCTGAATATTTCCTCCTTCGTCGCAGCATGCAGACGGCGGAATGCGTTTCCTCTCCAGGCTGCAGGTACACAGAGAACGAACTCAACGCGAGAATCAGAAGTATAACCGACCCTCACCAACCGGTCGTGGGCATGGCGGAAGAGGTTCTCCAAGTAGTGCGCAATGAAGTCGGTTTCGTTCTTGATGAGTTTTGTCATACACAGTCTTTTGCAAGTTTCCTGCAACTGAGCCCATATTATTCTCTCGTGGACTCTCTCTCGTCAAGTAGCAGCTTGAATTGGGTAAGCCGCTCGGAATCGTCAAACTGACCGCCAGCATTGTCGATCTGGTGTTGAACGCCATAGCTCCAGTACAGATCGGGTGCTGTTGTAGTGTCGGGGCTTGAATCCATTGTCGACGCCCATATCGACAGGCACGGATGAATCTTGCTTGATACCATCCGGTTGCTGGCCAGGGCTGGGATACAAGAGTTCAGTCGGTCCGTCATCGACAGAAGTTTTCCTGATGGCCAGTAGTAGGGAAAGGCATCGACCAGATCGATTTCGCTCCTCCAGACCATGGTGAATGTCCACATGATGCTTCACCCGAAAACAGACGGCTCTTACAGGACTTCTTACTCAGGTGATCCTCTGGTGTTGTCAATCGTCTTCAGTGCCTATATCTTTCTCTAACCCTGCCTTTCACGCGTCGGAGATGGCCTGCCGCATCTCCGTCTGCCTGGACATCCTGGATGAGCATACGTGGCTCCAGAAACCCCAGTGCCGTGGTGTCAAGCCATCGCTCCGTCTCCACCTGCTAGGTGTAGTGCGTAGGGTTGACGACCAATTGTCGACTCTCTTGCAGGGCCCCCTTCCACGCCGTTTGAACCGCCCGGACCTGGCTGTGCCGGTTGCATCGGATGGTCGCCATCTCTGTCTGCTGGTTCCGACGGGAGAGGTGCTTTGGATATATCACCTGAGAATCAATGTAGTCACTGTCGTCTGGATTGGAGGGCTCGGATCTCGGGTGCGTGTGGATATCGCTCAGACGCTGGCGTAAAGCATCGCCCTGCTGTCGTCGGTGCCGTCTCCCCCGTTCCTTTTGACGTCGGTGGTCTCCGTTGCGTATAGAACGAAAGGGATGGTGGGGAGGCCTCGGTATCGGATCCATGGTGGTGAGAATGGGGTGGTGACCAATGCAGGTGGATGACCTGACGAAGTGGTGAAATTGCAGTGCCTGGGGACGTCAGCCTAATTTCACTCGCTCAGTTCACCCCAGACCTGGGCGGCCGTGACCCGACTGATCCTAATTAGTTGGCGTTGAGGGGGACACGCATTGATGACCTCTGAGGGGGTCCCTCGTGGCGAGGTCGATACTCATCGATAAGATTCTTGCTGAAAATGGGCGATCTTGAATATTCGGACTGATCAGGGTCGTTGGGAAAGGCATAAACCGTGTTATTCAAGACGGTAGTCTCAATCGTTGATTTCGACCAGTCAGTCCCCGAGCAGTACCAGCTTTCGCTGGGGGAGGCGTGGAGGTTGAGCGCGGGAGCGTGATGGACATCGTGGAAGATGCATTGGGTCCGTCTCCATGGATGAGGACCTGCGAGGTGAAGGGGAGGGATATCGAGGGTGCTTTCGCAGATGTTTGGGGGATGCCCGTGACCAGCAATGGCGCACGGCGACGTAAATCAAAGTATAGACGCACAGCGAGCGTGGGTTGACGTTGTTTTGCACCATGAAGGCGGCGGAGTGCAGTCGCACGGGGCACCAAACGAATAGGACAAGGAAGTGGTACATGGTGCGAGTTCGGCTATCGAAATACAGGGCGACACTGTTGCCAGGGGCCGGAGAGCAAAGTCATCCTATTGCGTAACGATTCTCTCAGCGCGTGCGAATTGGGTGACGTGAAATCAACCTGATGTCTAGCTCTCGCCTCCAAGCCACCGTTAAGCGATGACGACGAGAGCACCGAACTTTCAGTTCCTTGCTGTCGACCACGAGCCCAATCCGTCCACCTCGTCACCACGAACCCCGTGACCGAATGTCACCCCAGGCCACGATTGCCCCGGTTTCTCCCTTCCGTCGTCACTGCCGTGCATCTTCGTCCTCGTCTATCCCCCTCATCACCAGCACCTAGGAGGAGGCTGCCCACGTCTCCATGAGGCGGTACGGTGCGGCCTTGACTTCGTCGTCCGTGTGGAAACTAGGGGTGGAGGGCGTGGGGGGTCGAGAATGATAAAGCTCGACCAGGAATTGGCCGGGGAGGGTGTGCGCGACGCGTTGGGGGAGACATGGGTCCTCTTCCAGCCACACGGAGGATGCTGTCACGAAGCTGCGCCTGAAAGTGCGAGTACGGGGAGGGACTGGGAGAAGATGAGGCACTTTTCCTTTCCGAGGTCGGAGCAGACGGCCTGCTTCACGATCGCCAGCGAAATCTGGAGACGGTGGGATAGGTCGGGCGAGGACGGAGGGGGTTGACGCCGAGCGGTGATCCATGAAAAGAGAAACGGCCGTCGTCAACCGCTGTTGGGTGTCTTGCCAGGCCTTCAACGCGACCCTTACAGCGGCAGGAGCCCGAGCGGACCGAACACCGAAGTCGCTGTCGTTGTCGTTGTCGTTGTCGTTGTCAGCGTCAGCGTCAGCGTCACCATCATCATCGGCGTCATCACCATCATCGTCAGACAGGACGATGGCGAGAATAGCGGAGAAAGAGCGAACTGGAACGTCTGCGGCCGATCACCCTTGAGCGCGAGGGTGTGAGAGAGGGAGGAGGGTGAGTCGGGGTTGTCTACAGCCGTATTGACCAGGAATAAGGCCAAGCGACATGGACTTCATACTCGAGCTGGACTGATTTGCTAAGCCGGCCCTCGGATCGATGTGCAATCGCGGCACGGTCCTCACTGATGCAGGAGCCAGTTTAGCCAGGGAGCGGGAGCCGTTTGCGGTCGACACTTACCGGGAGAACGACAGGTCATGGTTGGCAGTCCGATAGCAGCGCAAACCTGCTCGACGTGCAGAACGACAAGCGAGTGGAACTCGGGAGGTTGAAGCCCGGAACGCCCACGGCGACGAGGAGGAAGTCCTAACCTTGTATTCGATGAACACGGTCCTTGGACGAGATGTCATCCGCCACGCTGGATCGTGGCGAGTCACCCTCCTTACCTCGCTCCTCACTTCCCCCCCAGTGGCGAGGGGCGATCTACGGCAATCTCGTCTCACTCAGCCACCATATCCTCGACCGTGGTCGACCTCACATCGTCGGACTGGAGTGTACGGAGTGCGGCGGAAGAAAAGAGAGAAGCGGGAGGGATCAGAGCCGAGAAATCCACAAGAGACGGAGGTGCCGGACTGGCTGATGTACACACAATACTTCCTGACCCGAGGGGCTGGGGATCGAGAGATGGAGATCGACACCAATGCTGGCAATAACGTCAAAGTCGAGGATATCGTGTGCACCCATATGTTGGCGAAGGGGAGGGGAAAACGCGCCTCCCACAGACAGACCGACGCCTTCGCGTGAGGAGGTCCCCCTGAAGAAGAGGAGACGTTCAAGGAGGACGCAAAGGCGAGGGTCAATGGGAAGGGGAAGCCATAGGTCGTCGTGACCTAGCGAATGACGAGGGAGACGATAACGAACCGGGTTCGGATCCGAGTCCGGATCCGGACGATTCTGACCAAGAGTACCGTGCGTCGAAGAACCGCGGCGGGGGCAAGAAGAAAGAAGCCCGGGCGGAAGCTCCTGCGACCATGCTTGATGAAGCCATACCGCCTCTCTGATCGGTGCGCCAGAGGCGGACAAAGGCGGCGGTGCGAGATATGCTCGCGGGCCCGTGTCGTCGGTCTCGCAGTGTCACACGTGACTATTTGGTTCTGGCCGCACCGTCGGATGACGAAGCTGAAGGCGAGGTTGGAGTTGATGGAAGCAATGTCGCAGGATATGAACGGAGATTTTGGAGGCGATGGTGAGAACCCAACAAGTGCTAAAAACGATTATATTATTGAAGCCTCAAGCAGAGTGTGGGCTGGCGTCCTCGTTCGCTAGAGAGCAACTTGAGTGCGCCAGCGCGGAGTGACAGCAGCAATCTCTCTTCGCGTGGTTGCTGGCATGGCGAGCGCTGCGGCAAGTCTTCTGTTCACTTTCTCGCCCTCGCGCAATGGCAGAATCTCTCGTTCTGGGGACAGAGCCTCCTCTTGTTGGTGGTAGACTTTCCCCTCGGTTGGTCAGTCTGGAAGATGCTGATGCAGAGGTCCAGAGGGAATTCCCGTCACGGCTTGTGGATACCGAAGGATCGATTCATTTGACTCAGCAGATCTGGAATGAGATTTTGGTCGTATGTTCCTCTCGCTGAAGCTTTGATCTCACTCTCGATACCGATTTTCTCGACTGCCGATGATCTCGCGAGGTCGAAACTGTTACACCTCGGATACCAGACAGTGGCCGACATGATCAGAGATCGCTCACCAATAGAGGAGACCGAACCAACTCGAAGTGGGTGCGGAAGACCCTGATCGCCGACGTTGTAGTGGTCAATCCACATGTACCCAAGCACAACTTCACGGACCGTGATCTCCCTCGCCTCCTCATCCCGCTCTGGACGAATGATGATCTGATTTTCATCCACGAGCGGTATCGGATGCATTTGACACTCATCGCCTGCGTTTTCTGTTGGAGCGGAGCTCGGCTCGACCAGAGATGGTGAGGATATCTTGGAGACCGTGTCTCAGAAGTATGAGCGAGACGACATGCCACTGGTAATTCCCGGTAACATATGGCAGAAGATGACGGTTGCGCTATTCACAGCTCCTGCAGCGCAAACACGCTTTGATCGCCAACAGAAGGGCATATACTGCCTACGTCGACAACATTCTCGAGCTGAAGATCGGCCTTCTCATTCTCATCCTTTGCACTCTCGCTTTCCCGGATGTCGATGTCACCATCGGCGTCTGCATGGGCAGAGTGCGAGTCAGTGAATGGATAGCCAGCGGCTTCAACCTTGTCAAGTAGTGCGTCACCCAGTGGGTTGGGTGTGGCAGAACTCCGTATCTCAGCAAGGCTTGGTGTGTTTAGTTCTTCGATGACCTTTGCTGTTGACGACAACGAAGTGCTGTTGGTAGGTGGCTGGAAAGTAAAGTCATGGCGCTGTTTAGTCTCCTCGCCTTCCACGTCGGTTTCTGCCTCCCAGTCGCGGTATTGCACGAGAACCACACTGGTGGCATCAAGGTTCTCATCATAGAATTTCGCTGGATTCAGATCTGCAAGTGGGCTCCTCGCTGCGCCATCCATCTTGACGTCTCTCTCGTAGGTCTTTTCGGTGACGGCGCCGGCGTTGGCGGCAGCAGTCAAAGATCTCTTCATAGGTGCAGTTACCTCGTTGGGATGAATGTTCTCTTTGCCTCTATCCGCAGACGACTTCTTGTGCAGACTCTTGCTCTCATCATCACTAATATCCAGCCCCGTCGCGCTCTGTGTCATTGTCCATTCATTCATGCGGTAGTCCTGCACTTCCGCCGTCTCCTCAAAAATATCGAAGAACCATGACTTGGGTTTGCTCGTTTCGATTGTAGGCTTCTGAAGCTTGCGGGCTTGAACACGAGATTTCTTTGTGCCCTTCAAGGCGGCGGATCGGGACAGAGAGGGGGAGTGGGCGGCAGTAGAGACAAAAGTGGTGCTCAGACGAGATCTGGTTCGGGGGAGGGTGGTGACGCTCAAGTCGTAGCGATGTGTCTGCAAATCAGACATGGTCATCGAAGCATGGTCTCTCACGTTTGTGCAGCGATTCGAGAATGCTTGGGTCAACGTTCTCGCTTTCTGAGCCTCCTTCGACGCCGGGAGAGTCAGTTAGTCGCTTTAATGAGGTCGAGGCAGAGGTTGGTGTGATTCCTGGCGCAAGAGATCAGTCTATCGGGTCTTCATTGAGACATGGGGTTGCGGCCCAGATACAACATGAGGAAGGGGAATGTCTGCTTACCAGCTCGCCAGGCGCTGTGAACACGCTGGCGCAGTCAGGGAGCCGTTCTGGACGCGGGGTCTGGGGGAACGCGAGATCCTGGACGAAAATGGATAGGTTAGGTCGGCCGAGCAGATGAACATGATCACGACGAGTCCTCAGGGGGAGAGCGAGGGCGGATAGTGAGGTGCAGATTGTGCAGCGACAGGGAAGTTGGAAGAGGGAAGATGGACAAGGAGTGGAGGATGTTGATTGTGGACGCGTCAAGTGGCGTCTGCGTGACAAGAGACGCGACGGGCCTCCCATTGTCCCATTGGCCAGGACCAGCGACTGGCTTGGCCACCCGGATCATGGCCTCGACGATTTCAATTTGTTCTACAAAGCGCAAACACAGCTCCAATCGATACCAGCAAGAGTAAGCCAAGCTATGGTCTGATTACCTGCACGGACAGCAACATGCCCCTTTCACTCACAAGCCCCTGCCGCCGTGTGTTCTCATCAATGAACAGCAATCGCCGTGTGCCATTAGCCCCGCGAGCTCTTTTCAGCTCTTCGCTTATGAGAGAGTGCTGTTGATCAGTGTTTCATCCATCCATGCCTCCCCTCCCGTCCATACCGGAGCCAGAGAACCCGTCAGAAATGAAAAGAGTCTTTCTTCTTCTTCTTCTTCTTCTTGGAATCGCCTTGTTGACATCTTTTTCGTTCGTTGTTGATTGCCCGAGGAAATGCAAAAATAAGTTTTTGATGTCGACCATTTTGCCCAGGCCAGGATGCAGAAATATGGGGAGTTGTGTAATATTAATCCTTTGCCAGAAAAGATTAGATGGGAGATTCGAGTCTCTTCGCGGGAGATAGCGGTGATGTTCTTGGTCAGCTGCTTCGGTCGATTCATCGTCCTCAGTATCAGTTGTCCGTGGTGTTGGCGTTCTGCTCGAGCCATTGGATTTGCATGGCCGATAACCCAGGCATGGTTGGTGGTGTCGTGCATGCACCGCTGCTATCACTGATCTGTCCCATTGCCGCCTGTAACGTCCGCACCCCGGCATGAAGCATCTTCCAGGCCCTAATATGGTCGAATCTGTCCTTGACGTCGGCAAAGCAAGTTTTGCAGGTCCGTGTGAGTGTCCTTTCCCAGCACCACTCTGGTTCTTCGTCCATATGGCAGTCGTTGAGATATATCGAAACATCACCACATTTTTCGCACAGTGTTGCCGTCTTCTCATTTTCCCAGCCGGTAAGTATGCCTCGGTATCCCGGTGCAAAACCCGGCTCCGCGTTCAGGTAGCATTGTGTGCATTTCAGCCCGTCTGGGATTTCCGAATCTGTAATAATGTCAAGCCGGCTCCCTATGCTGTCTGTCAGTCCGACTCCCTCCCTTTGTCCAATCGAATGTGACGGGAACGCCTCCAATCCTTTCCACTTGCAGCACTTCGTACAAGCCAGTCTGAAAATGTCAGGCTGTGCACGGTTGAGGACCTGAAAGGCCAGTGAGGGGGGATAGCCGTGTTCTGTCACAATCTCTCGACAGAAAGTAAGGAGATTTGTAGGGAGTTCGGCTCCGAATGATAGATTGTGAAGAACGATTGCTTGTCCAAGAGCCGTGTATGATGAGTCCAAGAGCTTGATCACCTCTCGGACTTCTTCATTGTAGAGCTGGGCTTGCGCAGGGAACTTGAACTTTTCAAATCTCTTGGTCATTGTTTTGCTTGTCATTTTGAACGCAGCGAATGTTTGCGGCGTCATCATGCTGCAAACCATGACCTGCAGTTCATGCGCTAGGTCTTCGAACGAGGTCAGTGATGCCATGGCGAGAGTAACGCGTTTGCCGGCGGCGGGAACTGTATCGAGATCGAGATCGAATATCGCTTTGAGGATGGTTCCAGGATATGGTGACAGGTCGATGAAGGCTAGGGTGATCAGAGCTTCATGGGAAGCGCTCCTGTCAGGTTAATATGTCAGCTCCAAGACGATCTGTTTTGAACTGTCCCAACCTCTATCTTTCACCTTTGTACTGCCTTTGGCGCAGACCAATTGGGAACGTCGATAGTGGGGATTCAGCAAGGGAAGTCAGAGAGTGATGGTCAACATCAGACGTCGGTTGGTTAGTGTTGTGAGAGTGATTGTCAACATCAGACGTCGGTTGGTGAGTGTTGTGTGTTGTAAATCTCTAATGTACTGCGCCGCCCTACAAAGCATTGGGCATGGTAGTCACCAACAAGGCATCAGTGATATTCCATGTGTGCCCAACCCAACGGCCGTGAATTCGTCTGAACCCTGAGCGGGTTCTACCTTGTCAGAATTCAGCACAGTTCAAAGTATCTGCTCATCTCGTTGAACTCGACTATGAGAAGAACAAACACAAATCGAGGGCAATATCAGAAGGTAGCGCTTTGCCAATACGGGCCCATCGTACGGACAGCCCCTAACGAACTCTCCTTCTGCAATCCCCGATCCATCAAGGACATATATGGTCAGGGTCCCGAACCGTGTGTGAAAACGGCTTCTCCCAGGCTGGCACGTCTTCTAATTTTCAGCGCCACCGATCGTCACGTTCATGTATCGATGCGTCTGGCCGGTACCCATGGCTTTTCGCCGAGCGGTGTTGTTCAGCTACAAGGTAAGATCACCTCCCAGATTGGCACGTCTCTGTTGATGATATCTTTATCGTCCCAACCAGTCGGAGTGTACCATCTCACTCACCATCTGTTTGAGGACATCATGAGTCAACAACGTTTTGCCAAATGATTCAATCGACTCAAAGGAAGACCATGCCCGGGGGCAGATGACATCTCGACTTATTTCCACATCTGCGCCGTGTAGTCTTCCCTTCAGATAGCCGTGCGTCGAGGGATCCAGCCGTTTAAACCCGTCCGTCTCCAGATTCTCTTCCGCCTGAAGGGAACAAAAGGGTAGACGCGACCATATTCCCGCCACGTCGGGCTCACCGTCCCGCGCCACGTCTCGGTTCAATAACTTCTCAAAAATCGCTCTTCTCAGTCCTCCCAGTGTTCGCAAGTTATCTTCTATCACCCACTTCGTAGGTTTGAACACTTACTTATCTGGTGGACATCTAATCATTTAGTTACTGGTTGGTTGACTTGGATATTTACTGTCATGAATGACAAGCATATAAGCTAAGAGGTCCAAGATCTGTCATGAAATGACAGGATTCTTAGTCTTTTTGGGCGATCCCCAAGGGGCTGTGGACCTCTTCCTGACATTTACGCACCGGAAATACCGCCGGCGACCTCAGAAGCTCTATAGCAGTCGATTCGATATAAGACAGAGTAAAGATATTCCCTAGCTTTCGGGCTCTTCAAAAGTCAAGCCTAAGATTTTCTCATTGAGAGAATGTCTTTAATGCTTCCAGTGTTCCATAATAGCGAAGCCCCTCAGAATAATTCTTCTCTGGAGAGCGAGGGAGTTTTGTATGTTTGGCGGGTAACCACGCCAGGGTGATCATTTCGGAGTGCGAAGGGAGTACTCGTCCTTCCATATATATATACATACACAACCCAAGGGAAAAACGGCAAAAAAAAAGTGGTTGAACCTGTGGTGCGGTTCATTCTCTTACTTTGTTTGTGTCTATGGTGTTGTTAGCGAAAGGGGAAAACCACGAAGAGATTGAAATTTTTGGGGTGGTTTTGAATTTGAGGGATTGAACCTCTTCTTTTTTTCTTCTCCCCGGGTTTTCCCGGTTTGTTGGCGATTCGAATCCCAGATCTTGTAACCCGATCTCCTGGAGACTCTTTTTTTTTGTGTTGTTGGGAGTTTAAACCTTGCATCCCCCGTCTCCACTCCCCCCCTTTTTTTTTCCTTTTTTTTTGTGCTATTGGGGATTTGAACCCCGCACTTTGCAGCCCAATTTCCCCTCTCGACCCGAAACCCCTCCTGCTCAAACCCCCTCCTCTTTCTTCCTCCTTGAGCGATCAACCCCGTTTTACCCTCCCCGTCTCTCGCATCTGAGGCCTTTTGTTGTTGTTGTAGTTGTGGATTGGTGAGCAGGAACGCGGATTGTAGTTATCTTCCAGGTGGCAGGGCCACCGGAACCCCGCCGGAACCACCTTTGTCTGGAGTTCTGTAAAGCCATGTGCAGTAAGTAGTACGATAATTGTGGAAGAGAATTTTGTGGTCACAAATAATATTATTATGAGTGACCCCTCATGTCACATGATCGGAAGCAGAACAGGGAAGGCTTGGCACAACGAGAGACAAAACTTTGGAACAGAGGGTGTGGCTTGTGGTTCGGGGGGCTCCGATACTGCAGATTATATACTTTCCCTAGCTGTCACCCGGGAAGCAGGGCTGTTACAATGACTGTTACAATACGCTTCCCGGCCGACAACACCCCATGAGGCGAATGGCCCCCAATGCCAAGTCGGCCCCCACAAGGTATACACAGAAAGAGATAAATAGGACCTCTATTCTCGCACTGCTGGAGAGGCCCTCAACAGTGCGAGAAGTCGATGTCTCAAGGACAGCTTTATACAATCAAGATACGTGTTGAAACCCTCTGGCTCTCCGTCTAACGATCCCACCCCAAGGCTCCCTGACACTAGCCTCCCCGAGCTTCGCAAGGTTCCTAACCTTCCCGTCCTTCCTCACATTCCCAAGGTTCTCAAGGTTCCGAAAGTTCCCGATCTTCCCAACATTCCCAATCTCCCCCAGGATTCCCGGCGTTCCCAATCTTCCAACATTCTCAACATTTCTACCATTCCCAATCATCCCAGCATTCTCAAAATTGTCAGCATTCCTAACCTTCCCCACATTACTAGCATTCCCAGCACTCCCAATTTTCACAACATTCTCATGTTTCCCAGGTTCCCAACGGTCACTGAGGCCCAATCCCCTCAGCGTTGAAATGTCCTCCGCCTCCTCTCTCCCTTCTTCGCTATCTTTGCCGATATCTCCTTCGCGGTTGGAATGCGCCTCGCAGGCCCTCATGCCGGTGTACGATACCGTCAAGATTCCTCAACGGAGGACGCAATCACGATACTCAGAAAGAGATAAAGCTGAGCCTGGAAATATACCCGCGGCGTCGACACGCGAATTATCAACATTCGCGGCACGTCTACGCACCATGAGTTGGCAGGCATTATTCAAGAATCATAGTCGGGAGAATCGGCGTTGTCACTGAGCCCGCCTTCTGTCTCTTTGATCGCGTCTAGAAGAGTTTGGTGATCTTCGTCGTCGATCTCGCCTCCACGTCCGTCCTCGTCGCTGATCTGTTTCTCAAGTACGATAGAAGCTATTCTGGGAGGAGCAGAAGATAGGGCACTAGATAGGACCGCCCACGAAGAAATGAAGACCGTGAAACGGCGATTGAAACTTTTCTGGATATTGTACATATGGACGGCCATCGAATCCGAGATAACAGGCACTCGACCGCACTTGCTCTTGAAAGGGTGCCCTTCTCTTTCACAAGATGAGGCTCCTACATGAGGTATGGGCAGCAATAAACACACACTCTCAAGGGACATGGAAGTGATCAAAGGAGCCCTGGATATATGCGGTATTATTGGGTGAAGGTTCGAAACAAAGGAGGTGAAAGAGATTCTTGGACTGATTTGACGAATTGCGTGGAATGAAACTGTTCAATTCAAGGTGCGGCCTCGATCCAAGGGACATCAGCTCGTTGTACGAGCTCGATAACATTCATGCAAATGAAACCAATATGCTCATCGAAAAGTCCAGTGATGTTTTCCAGCTGCCACTCGAGCCACAGGACTTTCCCTCCACAAGATCCCTCCACTCCACCTCTGATCATCCACAATAGCTGCCACCGGCCGAGCAGAAACCTTACCGCCGCAGCGCGAACTGACCGAGGACACCTGACTCGAAGAAACAAGGGCTTCCTGAGATGTCCGTAGATGGGGCAACCAGAACAGTGAAAAACGAGTCTCGCTCTCTTTCTGTGTCGTGTTGCTCCTGCATATCCTCACGGTGCCGGTCCACTGCTGGAAGAACATGGTCACCTTACTGCTGGCAATCATCAGTGACCACTTTTTGGAAGCAGGCGACGGCGGGACACGCCGCCAAAGTGCCAGCAGTCCTGGTCCGAGTATGCTGTTGCTTGTGAGGATGGTGTCTTCCTGTATTTTTCTCTGTCTCTTTCCATTCCGGAGAATCTCCGTTTTCAGCAATCACATAACGGAGCTGGCGATTGTGGTTTGAAAAAGTCACCACCGGCGATGAGAGTCGATTGGTGCTCTATATGGAAGGCTATATTCGACGGGAAACAGCCGCATCAACAATCTGGGATGACGCATGTTCTCTGTACTTCACCCAATGATTGAACCTCCTGGAACAAGAAAGCTACCAGTGCGTGAATTGTCGATAAGCACTGTCCCTCAAGGCATCGCAATTTCCTTGACCTCCGGGAAGGGTTCGTATTGTTTGGCAGCCGAGGTGAAAAAATGGCATTGCATCTAAACTGTCTCGACGCATCATACTTACTCGGGGCGAGGGAGAAAGGAAGGTACAGTATCATGTAGTTGCAGGCTAACGAAAATATGCGGAAAACAGCCGTTGGAACGTTGGTCAAGCAATGGCACGAAGCTTCGCCTGACTCATTTGTTCAAATGGATTTCCAGGTTCCACCCAGAAGTGTTTGAGAAATGAGGCGGACTGGACCACCAATGGTGCAAGCACGCCTACGGCGCCGATCTAGAAGAGTTGGAGGGTTCCGGCGAGGAGTCTGTGTCTGACGACGCTTTCGCTTTTGAACGGGACTGACGAATCTCAGCTCTGGGCGGATTGCATTCGCTGAAATTGATCCGATATTTTCTAACGAGAGCTCTTGAGCACCACCAAGTATCGTCATTGCCGAGGAGAATGGCCAGAGAAAAGTCGTGGTTCCGGAGATCGCCTATGGCCCGAGAGAGCGCCCCTGCCTCCATTTGGTCTTCTCCACGGCTCTTACGCTTGCGGCTCGTCTTGATTGGGGGTCAACTGCAAACATTCACAGAACGCACGGTGGAAAGAGAGAAGAGGGGGTTCCGAAGAGCACATGTAACTGTCCAAAGTAGAGTCCAATGTCGGTCTCGTAGAAGTCGACAGGGACGTTGCGATCTGATTTTGCCTCTGCGTTTGAGCCCGATTCCACTTTATTCAATGGAATATATACAAGCCTGAGTCTTGCTCGTTGAAAGAGTTTTCCATCTGCCATTGATGCGTCCTGCTCAATACTGTCTCCAGCAAACGAGAAGACGGTGCCTGCTGACTGTGCATCGAAGGTGATTCCTGACGAGAAAATAAAAAAAAGGGAGATGAAAGCAGTTCTCGTCACTTGAATCGACTCCCCCCGGCCTTTCATTTCTGGGATGGATTGAAACTCGCAACTCCAGATTGCCAATGAACAACTCCGCACCAACTTCGACAGACTTCTCCTTGTCGGCACTGGCCTTATTGTGCACTAGCGTTGTTCGACACCAGCCTTGTTGCGTGTTGTGAGAAACCCAGGACAAGTATGAGTGCAGTGGCGAGCATGTCGAGTTGATTGACTTACTAGGCACAGTCGAAGAAAGGGAAGCGCTTCTGTCTCTCGCAAAGATTGGCGATTGGCCTTCAAGAACTCCAGCGAGGCGGCCAATTTCTTTCCATCTGCTTCCCGGAGGTGTTCAGCGTGATCGCCTCCTCTCTGGAGAAGCCCCGTCGCTCACGTCATTTGAGAGTCTTGGTCGAAAGGATATGCACCCGTGGGAGGGAGCACGCAGCACTTCAACGAGCAGGTCAGTTCGAGATGGGGCACAACGTCGACCTCACATAAACTCTTCTCCTTTTCTCTCTGCTTGGCCTTTTCTTTAGCCTCTTTCTTGAGGCGATATTTGAATGTCTCCACGGATTTTGCATAGTAAGCGAGACCAAGGCGAGCAAATTGCAAGTTTTGGGCTGCTGCAGCGGGAAGACCTCGGACAGTACGCCTCGGAAATGAGAATCTCAGGTCTTGCGAAGGTTTGGAGTGTCCCATCGTCGCTCACTCCAGCGTCTCACGAGAGCGATATCGCGCCGGGGCAGCAAAAACGCTCTCCTCAGTGTCGACGAAGTAATGAACCTTCATGAACAGCGTTCGCAGACCCTGGGATAAACAGAGCAACGGATCTCCGGCGAGGCTCAATTTTGAATTTTGCCCTTGGACTGCGCCCTCGCCTTTTGCCCAAGCCTAGTGGACCAGGAGTGTCGATGTTGCGATAATATCGCTACCACGTGGAGTATGCAGCGTGATGCCGGGCGGCGATGAGAGTTGCTGAGGGACGAAGACGAGAAGAAGAGAGGAGGCAAGCGGAGCGGATATGGCTGATAGCAATGGAGGAGAGAAGGCGGGCTGAGGGAAGGAGACTCGTCGAGGAACGGAGACTCGCTGAGGAACGGAGACTTGCCGAGGAGCAGAGACCCATTGCAGAACGAAAAGAATATTCCCTCGCCAGACTAACCCACATTTCGACGCAGGCTCGCAACAGTATCCCGAAGATTTTTGTGCTGGAGATCTGTGCTCGTAGGAGGATCACATCAATCTCACAACTTTGTCGCTGTTGTCTGTAGCATCTGTTCCTGTTGCAGCCGAGCTTTTGATGTTACCCCAGCTGAGACTGACGTTGTGGCAGGCGGAGACGAGGCTTCAGCGTTGCGGACTCTGCATGAGGGAATAGGCATCTTAATCATCAATGAGAGACAGGGCTTCAGTTCTCCTGAGCTTGAGAAAGGGCAATGGGAGAGGCTGACTTGCCGGGTCCGCTAGCCTTGCCCCTCGTAAGAAAGCGTGCAAAACGCTCTTTGTCCAGTCGTTCTGTGCCTCAATAATGTCCTTTTCCGAGACTTCCGGTCACATTGGAGAAGCTCGCTTTCAAGGGCCTTCAGAGCGCTGACTGGGTCTTCCTCAGGTTCCTCGTCATCGCTGGTAGGTTCCGTAGCCACGGTGCGGTATACGCCCCAGTCGTCGTCGTTGGCTCCAAAGTCATCATCATAATCGTCTCCCCCTCTGCGCTTCCGCTTCGGTCTATCGGAAGTAAGGTTTGCCAACGTCTTCATACGCATTTGCGACGCAATGCCTTTGTGATTTCTGGAGTCCGCCTTTTGCTTGGTTTGCTCTTTGATTTTCGCCAGCAGTGCAAGGCGTTGTTGTCGCCGACCCGCAAGCCATTCGTTGAACTGATTTTCGCGCATTTCGCGGTATTTCCTTTCTTTCTCCAGACGGGAAGACCCGCGTGTTTGTGTCAAGGTAATGGACCCATGAGGATCTTCCATCCTCTGCCATCATCTCAGATAATAGGAAGCTCCGGCAAAGAGTCGTCCGAGCCACCCCACTCATCGTCCGTATCCGGAGAGGCTCGAGGGAGGTTCCCGCATGGCATCGGGGTGCTCAATCTCTCCTGTTTCCAGATCCACGCTGACTTGATATCGAAGTTGAAGAGACAGCATGGCGAGTTGTCGTCCTGCACGAACATCTGTCAGACCAGCAGCCACCAAAGTCTGACCGGATTGCCAACTCACCTTCTTGATGGCATTGTGCAAGATCCAGAACTCATCAAGAACCACGCAGAGCGACCATGGGTCGAACAGTTCACCAAGATTCACCGATCACACCATGTCTTGGACGGTATTGGACACCATATTGCAAGAATGATGGACTACAGAAGAGCGGCTTGGAGATGCGGATTTAGACTCGGGCCTAGATCGCAACCCGCGGGATAGCCTCATGGTACCATTCCTAAACAGGCCGGAGCTAGGTAGGTTTAGGTTAGGCGTGGTGCCACGCTATCTTCCAATCGTGATTGCGTTATCCCTATGCCACCATGCTGTGCATGTATGCTGTACAAATACTGAAGAGACAAGATCAAATGCAAAGCCTTCTCATCTGATCATGAGTCACGTTCATCTGCGTGTATGGTACAAGAAGAAGATCTCCCCTCCAAGGTGGTGTGGAGGAGAATACATTTGGCAAGATAGCCAAGATCACAAGCAGATCTCATCCCCTTAAACCGCCATGGGAACTGTCTCACCTCGCCCAGCTCAGGCCTCATTTTCCCTGTTGGTGGACTTCTCATAAAACTCCAGGGTCATCACCGCAAGGAAGCACGGGATCTGCTTCTTCCCCTTGCCCCAGAAATTGATCAGATCTCTGATTTCCGCAGCAAAAGGACTGCCGGGCCCGCCGCTTATCTTCATGGTGCCGTTGTCCCTGTTAACCTCGGAAAGGATCTTTGAATCTGTTGGGATCTCGTTGTCAGAGGCAACAGTGACGAAGTGGCGTGATTGGCACGCTTGAAAGAATGTCATGATCCCGGCCAGGACGTGGCCGAGAGTTATACAGAGACTGAGCTTGAAAGAGTCACGTCGAGTCAGGGCGAGATGCAAGTGGTAATGCCATTGAGCCATGAGAAAAATAAGTGCGCAGCCCCGGGTCGTATGCCGTCAGCGAATCTCCATACGATGACTCCTCCACGAAGTCAGAATGGAGATGCGTTATCACGAACAAAAACAGAAAACGGGGTCAACGCGGTGATGACAATCCCCAAGCATCTCTGCGCCGTCAAGCGTGCGACGGCCGAGCTCCGACACCGTCTCCCAAATTGCCAATACGTTATAAGAGCTAGAGTAAGGTTGCGAATGCCATGGGAGTAGATGGCAACGCTCAACACTACCATACAAACTCATACGCCTGATCACCCAATTCCCCTTCTATTGCAACCAATACCTAACCACTTCCTGCACCATCTAGCTTCGCGCCGCGCTGCGCGATACCAAATCATCTTATCGCCCTGCTCGAAGGCTACCCGCGGAACATGCTGGCCATGATCAAGTACCGGGGCAAGCTGCACGTGGAGTTCCCGCTGGGAGTACTCGGACGTGGTAGTGCAGTGGAAATCGAGCAACTGGTTCACCAACATGCTCCGGCTCTCTCCGACCAAGAAGGACGAGGTCGTCGTGGTGGAGTGGCCCGTCATCGGCACGGTCACGCTCGAGAACGGGGGCCATGGGGACACCGACGACACAGCCGTATCGGCGGCATCTAGAGCAGCTGCAGGCCTGAACGGTCCGTTATCATCGTCACCAACATCTTCCCGACCGGCAAACCAACGCACAGGGACTGGGACGGGGCTTGCAAATGCCGAAACCGCCTCGTTGGCGTCCTCAACTTCATCGGCCTCGACCTCCAACCCCACCTCATGCGGCCCCGGCCACGGCAGCCTCCGGACAATTCTCCCGCCGCTCACCGCGCAGGAGTGGCGGCGCGAGTGGCAGTTCGCGATCCTCAAAGCGGCGCTGTCCGGGCGCAAGGGCAGGGTCACGCTGGAGGACTGAATGGAGGCTAAGATGGGCATGCGGGAGAAGGAGAGGGCGAAGGAGTGAACGAATAAATGAATAAAGCAGAAAGTCTGCCGCCACCTAATTTTGCCTTGCTTGTTCTCTGGGCAGATGGTGCTCAGTCCAACTCTTCGGGACGCGGCAAGGTCCGTTCTCGAACTTCCCTCTCGACCAAGCCGACACATCGCTCGACTTCGTGACGCGCAAGGAGGACGGGGGAGGTCCATTGTGCGGAATCCATTCAGGGTCGCCCACAAAATGACGAGGTTGATATAGTGGCGGAGATAGATCCTTGCTGAATCTTGTTCCACCCTCAACGTTCCTCCGCGCCTTGTCGGTTCCATACTCGCCTATTGAACATCTCTGTCTTCCACTGATCCCTACGATCTCAGATCAGATCAGTATCCAACGATGGCAATTTCCGAGGGACGCTCGACCCTTTCTCTTCGAATTCTTTGCCTATCGGCTGACACAGCCAGCAGGCGGCGACGGATAACAAGATCTGGTGGCTTCCAGTATGTGAAGCACGAAAGCAGGGAGAAGGACTTTGTTAGCAAAGATCCTGACAGAGAACGATGTTCAGTACTGAAATCGACTTCCTCTGTCGTCGTGCAAACGCATCAGTGAGAAATAAAAGAAGAAGCACTCTATGTTGACGACAGATTGATAGTCCCGAACGAAGACTATCTTAGACTCACTTCATGTCCGATGACTCAGGGGTCACAACGGCACGCCGTGAACGACATATAACACACACAAACCCCGCTTTGCAAACAGGCTTCTATTGTTATGGACCTCGGTCTAAAGATCCTCAATGCTCTCCTCATCCCGCTTGTTTCCTGCAATGAATCCCGGTACGAGATTCCTTGCATTTTTAGGAACAAGTAAGACCACGGGAGAATAGCCAAAAGATGACGAGCTGCGCGAACTGGAATAAGCCACATCCAGGAAATCCAAAAGATCACCGAAGAGGCACATCCATGATCGTTTTGTGTTGAACAGGGAATTGACGAGCTCGACATAGATGTCAGAGAGCCTTGGGGTGGGATCGTTAGACGAAGAGTCAGAGGGTTGAACACGTATCTGTATTGTATAAAGCTGTCCTTGAGACATCGACTTCTCGCACTGTTGAGGGCCTCTCCAGCAGTGCGAGAATAAGGTCCTATTTATCTCTTTCTGTGTATACCTATTGGGGGCCGACTTGGCATTGGGGGCCGTTCGCCCCATGGGGTGTTGTCGGCCGGGAAGCGTATTGTAACAGTCATTGTAACAGCCCTGCTTCCCGGGTGACAATAGATTACTCAAATCGTAAAGATCGTCAAATCGCACTTGATCCAGCTTCAGGCCATCGATCAAGGCACACAGACTATGCAGTAGAAGGTCGCTGTGGCGCAAAAGTCTGCGAGTCCGTTGTGGAAATCAGAGTTGGAGCCGCACACTCTCGATCCTCTGTCAGCTCATCGTCCTGAAAGAAAGACCGGCTGAAAGTCAAGTCTGGGACGCAGAAGAGAACCAAGCAAGAGACCCGGTACCGGGACGCTCAAGAAGAGATAGAGCGGAGAAGAAGCTGCGCGTACTGGTGGTTGGGGCTGGCGAGAGCGGCTTGAAGTTTTTTATGTTTCTGTTGAGAAAGGCACAGATATTGCGCTCCTATATAGGGGATCGACCCTTATTCCATTTGAAGAACAGACTTTATACCACCCAAGATGGTAGAGATCTGGAGTCCTTGAAGTTGAGCCTCAAGCTGCCCGGGGTCCCCAACGCTGGCTTAGAGGTCTCGTACGCTGACCCTAGATTGGACGGGGATCCAAGTCACAAGTCTATTGTTGAGGAGCCCGGTATAGCGGTGTGAGGCTGTCGTCCAGCTTTAGGAGTGGTGGACGACGACGCCACGTTGCTGCTCTCGCGCACGCCAAAGATCCCGGGAGTGCACTCAGGAGACCCAGATGCCTATCGCGGGAGAGGAGGCGGGACAGATTTGGAAGCAATTGCATATTGCCCGTGTTTGGCCGCATTGCAGCCATAACGCAGTGCGATCAAGGAACATATTGTACATTTCCCTTTTTTCTGTTCTCCAAACTGCTGTCATATCTGTTGCTAAACCGCTGAGTCCGGCAGTGCTCAGGCTCCATGGCTCCCGCTGCCGACGTGTTGAAGCCGATCTTCGCCCCAATGTATATAATGTGGTCGGCCACCCACTCTAGCGTGGACTTGGCCGGGGAGAAGGTCGGCAAGGTGTTGGAGGTGCCCGAGTTGACGCAAGAGATATTCCGGAACGAAAGTCACCATGACGATAGAATAGGTCTACTTGAGCAAAGGCAAGATGTAGTCCGGCACGTTGTGCAGATGAGGACACAACCCGTGTGCCGACTGGTGCGAGAAGATGACGGGTGCTTGGTTTCCAGAGAATGATTTGGTCGGTTGCCCGCGAGCACATCGTGCATGCAAGTCAAAGCGAATGATTCAGCAACAAAGTAGGGGGAAACACTGACCATCACGCCCAGCCGATTCATCTCCCGTACAAGTCGAGTGCTTAACGGACTCAGGCCGCCCCAGTATGGCCGGTCGAGCAGCTCCGGGGTTCGGCGAGTCGTCCTCGATCGTCAGTTGCACGGCGTCGGCAAAAGCGTTGTGGCAGTTCTGGGTATACTACCGATATGCTGCGTATCCGTTCGAGTGGAATCAAGTTGATCTAGGGACACAAATCACAGACGCTTATATTAGCATCCATGATTGAAGAAAATCCTCCCCCCACCCCTCCACGATCCACTGGGAGCTGGCCCGGATTCAACTGTGGTATGAGGACCAGTGTATCGCGCAGACATCGCCAGCCAAATTTCTTCGACATGCAGTCACTGTGAGGTACTGGATGGGGTTCAGTCGGTCGGTGTTGATCATAAAGTCGCGGTAATCTTTGTAAGCGGACGATGTCTTGCTGCGGTTTCAGCTGTTGAAGAACTCGGGTAGCGATTTCTTTTCCATGGCGTGAATCGTGTGCATGTCAAACCATGTGCTGTAACTGAGAAGGATGATCTGATGTGTCTGAGCCCACGAGGTGTGAATTGGCCCCAGCTTCATGGCGGGACTTTGCCTGTGCTGCCTGACCATCTGCGGCTTGTGTCGTGGCTGGAGTCTCTTGAGAATCTTCGGCGCCATCCTTTTCAGTATCAACATCTTCCACCTTTGCGTCGTCGTCGACTGCACGCTGGGTCTTGTCTGCTGCCCATGATGACGCAAAACTGCGCCTAGCTCTCTGGCAGTTGCTACTTCAGGTGTTTCAGAGGAGGCGTTGCATCCTCGACAAGCTCCTGACGGAAACGTAAAGGTTTGCGGAAACATCACAAAAGTAATGCTGGGTGACAGGACCGTGGTCTTTGACACGGTCCAGAGTTCGCCTATGCAGAGGCTAGTCAAGGACCTAATGGAGATTAGAAACCTAGTCAGGTCGTCCAACCCTATGTATAGGGAAGCACTGAAAGTGATGGGAAACAGTCTCTACGGCTCGCTGGGCTACTATGTGTCTCCACTGTACGGTCCCTCCTATGCTGCGTCAGTCACGGCCATAGGCAGATACTGTGCGAAGTATACAGCTTCGACGTTTCGCAAACGCAGTATGGTAGTAGCGTACGGGGACATAGACTCGTGTATGGTGCGCACCGCTCGTGAGGACTCCCAGGTCAAGATAGTAGCCCAAGAGGCTCTCGATTCTATGCACTCTATCTTTATGGGCTGTGCTCTCAGGATGATGTTCATGGAAGTGCAGGGTTTCTACCCGCCTGCGGCCACGTTGGACAAGAAAAGGTACTGCCTCGTGAGAGAAGACGGTGCCATCAAGACTGTTGGAGTTTCCGCTGCGAGGAAGGACACTCTCAGCATATGTAGGTTTGTGGCTCTCCACAAAGTGTCCAGCATTATGCGCAGAGATAGGCAGAGCGCTACAGACGAGGTTGCAGTGCCCATGGCGGCAGTCACGGAGGCTGGCAAGAAGGGAAGCTTTAAATTGGGTGACGTTGCCAGATACGTAATGTCAGAGAGCTTTGGGGTGGGATCGTTAGACGAAGAGTCAGAGGGTTGAACACGTATCTTGATTCTTGTATATAGCTGTCCTTGAGACATCGACTTCTCGCACTGTTGAGGGCTTCTCCAGCAGTGCGAGAATAGAGGTCCTATTTATCTCTTTCTGTGTATACCTTGTGGGGGCCATTCGCCCCATGGGGTGTTGTCGGCCGGGAAGCGTATTGTAACAGTCATTGTAACAGCCCTGCTTCCCGGGTGACACTCGTAGCTGGTCGCGTTACAGTCCATACCTTTGTCGTCACTTATCTTTCACAGAGTTCACAAGCACTAAGGCTATTATCCACTGCCCATACGGTCGACTCTTTGTATGTGAAGGAACAAAGGTCATGGTCATGTCACCATCGGTAAGGGCAGCGGTTTTAAAGGTAGGCACCTCGAGCTCGTGGACACTACCTTCGCCGTACATAAAAGGTGCTCCCGCCCTCGCACTTTCTGTTTTACCCTCCTCACCATCTCACACCTTGTCGAGGAGAGACGGTGAAGGACAAGGTGTGAGATGGTAAATATATATAACTCGCTTCATAGGATGGCCTCCGACTGATCTGCATCTACACGCCCGACTTCTCCAACCACGCAGACGGCAAGCGCGTATGACACTGCGTGAAAGATCTGAGGCTGCTCGACGCCGACGAGCCGAAGAAACCGAATGACAACAATAACAACGATGACACCGATGATCCCCCTTCGTCGTCATCGTCTTCGCCACGCGGACTCAAGCCCATCTGCTACGAATGCGACGCCTATACGCACCTCGACCTGAGTAGCGGCAACCAGTTCAAGCTCAGAGCGCCGTCGAACTCGTCTTTTACCTCAAGGGGCCGGATCTAGGGTCTGCAGACAGTCTTGACCACGAAACGCCAGAGGCTGATCTTTTCAGGAAATCATTTCGAGGCCCGTTCGACAGCTCATGCACCGTCCTCACCATCATGCCCCTCCCCCTACTCTCGCGGTGTTGAGATACCATTGAGCGGACCGCTTTACGACCCTGAACGCCCCGCACTGCCCACTGCCAACTCGGTGCTTCACCTTTCAGCACGGCGGATATACTTGGAGTACGACGTACACATCGGTCTGATGGTAACTTTCTTTGCCATGGATCCCGCGTCAGTAACTTCGGTGGCATCCTCAGCAAGACTGATAGCTTCGCGGAGGATATTGCCAAACTGATTGACGAAGACTCGAGTACCTTCGTTTCTTAGCGTCAGACTCAGAGTTTCCAACACGTACCGGTTCAGGCAGGACGTTCCTACAAGGCGGGTCTGGTCTTTCAACAAGCTAACCACTGCCACTCCAGCGAACCATGCAGAACCACCTGGCTTAGGCAACTTCTTCATCGAAAAGTTAGGTCCGTGGCAGGCTTCTCCATCACCGCAGCTAGACCGCAAAAACCCAGACGTCCTGCGGTATCTAAGACTCGTCTCGGTCCAGATCGATATTACCGAGAAAGAGATTAGGAAATAAACGGTCGTTCCAAAAGAAGAGATGCTCGAAAGGTAAGACCTTCAAGAGCCGGGGATTGCGATTCCTAAGATCAGTCTCTAAGGCGTCGTCTAGGAAGCCATCACAGGATCTCGAAAACGCGCCTGTGCAGATGGTATGGATAACATCGCATCCGCCGCTGACGCTTCGACAAGGATGCAGATACAACTGACTAGCGACCCCAACGAGCGAGTTGATCCCGCGGAGCTTACAGAATCCTTTAAAGAGTAACTTGGACCTACTCTCCTTAAGCAACGAGGTGCGACTTTCGCACACCAGCCTTCAACTACTGGCAGGCTCAAAATTGGCGACCCTGTTGTTTCTGTGAGGCGTGGAAAGCTATTACTCCCGTCATCGAGGATCTCAAGAACATGGCCATGATCGCGATCACCCCGAATCATATGAAAAAGGCCAAGACTGTGCTTAAAGCTTTCTGTGAGGCGTGGAAAGCTATTACTCCCGTCATCGAGGATCTCAAGAACATGGCCATGATCGCGATCACCCCAAATCATATGAAAAAGGCCCAGACCGAATTTGAAGCTCTCTGTGAGGCGTGGAAAGCTATTACTCCCGTCATCGAGGATCTCAAGAACATGGCCATGGTCGCGATCACCCCGAATCATATGAAAAAGGCCAAGACTGTGCTTAAAGCTTTCTGTGAGGCGTGGAAAGCTATTGCTCCCGTCATAGAGAGTCTAGGGAAATTCGAGAATCTCAAGAACATTACTGTCACCCGGGAAGCAGGGCTGTTACAATGACTGTTACAATGCGCTTCCCGGCCGACAACACCCCATGGGGCGAAAAGGGCGAATGGCCCCCATGGGGCCAACGGCCCCAAATGCCAAGGCGGCCCCCACGAGGACTACTGGAGAAGCCCTCAACAGTGCAAGAAGTCGATGTCTCAAGGACAGCTTTATCCAAGAATCAAGATACGTGTTCAACCCTCTGACTCTTCGTCTAACGATCCCACCCCCAAAGCTCTCTGACAGCTATGATGGCTACCGCGATAG